CAGTGAACATTAATTTGGAGTTGCTTAAAGGCATCGTTTATTAAACAATATTTTAATCTGAGATCATGAGATGCATGGCCCTACGTGGCAGCAGTGTCTGTGATATGGTTAATATTGAAGCCCTAAACAAATTGCGCTTCAGAATTATCAATAAATGAAATATCAAAATGAAGTTTAATAGATATAATACAATATATTATGAAGTGCTTCAAAAAGTAAAGATCTTTGAGTGTACTGTTTTACCATACTCATTTCCCCCAATAGGCTGTAGTGTTATAGAAACGTATTGGAAAAAGGTTTTTGAAATTTAGATTTCTGATCATAAATATCTTGATAATCAGACAGGCGATCGGCTTGTAAAAGTCACGGGATCCCTGACCGACCTAAAGGTTTATAATCATGATTGCAGCATGAGCTGAATCCAGGATTTTTGTTTAAAGATAGTGAGTTCTGGTAAAAAAAGAAAATGAATTCTCACAGAATCTAACGAAACTTACACTGAATGTTCAAGATTACAAATAAATGTCATGTGCCAAACAATTTTGGAAGAAAATGTAAACTGGCTGAGTATTGAGCATAGAAAGATAAGGAAATCAGGGTAGTACTAGCCCCGACACCATGTGTGTTGTCCCATATACATCTTTCTGTGTAAGTGATTGTTACTTTACCAAGACTCTGCCAAATTTATGATGATTTTGATGACTCCAGAACCTTGCATTACACACCATTACTTACATGCTATATGATCAACTTTTCTGATCCATTCCACACCTTTTCTTTCACAATGCAATCGCATTACCAGAACTCAAGTTTATCTTTAATATCTGAGGCAAAGATTCCGATTTCCTTTAAGAAATTATTTGAAAAAATAATACATTATTTTGTTACATTGTTCTTTTGTTGCTGAATGATGTTATTGGTGATGATGATGAATTGAGGCAACTCAAAATATTGTGATTGACAAAATAATTTGTAAACGTGGTCTTTGAAATTAAATGAGACAAAATGACAACTTTGTGCCTTGTTCTGAGTTTTAAAGCCCATCTGTACTAGTTAGGGTCGGAGGGATTAGACCACACAGGAGGTCACTGACAGGTGGCTATCTCAGCAACTCAGCTCTCAATATTAACATAAGAAAAAGAGGATCATGGGGACCAATGGTCACCAATAAGCCATTGTTTTCTATAGAGGGAGCAAGTAGCTTCAAGTAGTACAGTGGGCCTTAAAACGCACAATTCTCATCCTGACTTTTCATCACATAATCACTCAATCTCCCCCCCCCCCCCGCAACCGCCCCTGCATCCCCCTCTCTTTCACTCTCTCTCTCTCTCTCTTTCTATCTGCCTTTCTGTCTCTCCCCTCCCCTTCTCTCCCTCCCCTTCTCTCTCTCTCTCTCTCTCTCACCCTCTCTCTCTCTCTCTCACTCTCTCTCTATATCTCCCCTCTCTCTCTCTCTCTCTCTCTCTCTCTCTCTCTCTCTCTCTCTCTCAGTATGATTTAGTATGGAAAACCAGTTTCGATATAGTATGGAAATGGGATTTCTTTTTTCTTCTTCTGCAAAAAGTTATGATAATACGCGTCTAAGGATTTTGTTTTCGTTCTGTTATGTTTTTGTTGCTATATAGGTTGAAATAGTTTGAAACACTTGAAATACTATGGAACACTGCCATAATTATGATCATTAAAGGGAAATTCAAATATCCTTATTTTTATCATCTTAATAAAAGCAGAACAATAAGATAAACAGAATGACGAAAGTTAAGAATATTTGAAACTATTTGAAATTACTACGCCTATGCGAATCTCAGATCTACAGTTTGGTCAATGGATCGTGATTTATAGTCGCGGAAAAAGTCTTCCATTTTCTGCCAGGTACAACAATACGGCTCGTATGTAAATCGGAATCTGGTAGGAATCATCATTACTTGGAAGGCTCGGCCACCCTAATAGCAGCCATGCTACTTTTTAAAGTGAATACACAATATATCTTAAAAAAGAACCCACAATAGTTGTAAGTATGATGCATAAAAGCATGATGACAACCCTGCCACTTTGAAGTAATTCCTTTAAAAAAAAACAGTTGCGAGCGTTTTCCATCTGGCACAGTGATGGGAAATAAAAGGTCATGGGTGCCCAACAGGAAAGTTTCTGATCATTAATGGGTTTACTGAAGTGTCTCTTGCGCAGTCTTCCGTTGCTAAATATTACAAAATAGCAAGTTCCCTTGCTCATTTTGATAGGTGTCACCTTTTTTTCTTGTCTTAAACGCACTACGTCCCATTTGCAAGCCCCCAAAATGGAAAGGTTAAATTACACCGGCATTTGAAAGATAATACTATTTTAGAACTTTCCTCAAAACGTAAGGGCTTAAAAATGTCTTTTGTGGGGGGGGGGGGAAACAGTACTCCATACTTTTTCAAATATCTAAAAATTGCCCACTTTTACGTATAGAAGATAGCTTTTATTTCAGATAAGTGCCCCTTTTCCTCTCCAATAAGTACCCCCTTTCACCTTTTCGGGTGCGCGAAGTGCCCCCTTTTGATCTCTGATATATAGGTGCCCATTTTACTTTAAGACGGCGTGCCCCTTTTCATTTCTAATAATTGCCCTTTTCCCTTCCGATAAGTGCTCCTTTTCCTAATAAATGCCTACCCAAGCCTCTAAATGCACCCTTTTACTTTGACAATTGCCCCCTTTCCTTTATAATAAGACAGTGCATCTTTCCCCTTTCTAATAACTGCCCCTTTTCACGTTTTATAACTGCCCTTTTATTTTGACACGAGCCCCTCTATCTTTCTAATACGTGCTCCTTTCAAATACGAAAAGTTACCCTCGCTTCCTTTGATAAGTGCTCATTTTACCTGCATTTCCTATTGTCGCATATAGTGTCTGCCTTTGCGGTCGCATAAAAGTGCAATGTCAAAGGATCGGAACAGCTTTTTGTATTAACATGAATCCTATTTCTACCATCGTGAAGGCAGTGGTCCCAGGGGTCTCAGTCATACTGTAATCATGCTTGGTATTGCTTCACTAGTGTTTTAATAGAATATCATGTCTCTGCAACCAGTGAACGTGTGTATAAAGTTGGAAAACTGGCACATTTTTATCGAAAAGCAATGATTTCCAACCCCTTAAAGATACTATGTCCCTTTTGCAGCCAACATCAAATTCTGTATATAACTTTGGAGAAATTATGAATATGTCATATATGTCATATCTATGAAATTTTAAACGTTAGCAGTGTCCTCATATTCAAATTATGCAAGGAAACCCGTTTACTTGCTAGACTTCATCGCAGACACTATTGAGTGACTGACTGGCTGACTGGCTTTTTTTTTTCTTTGGTAATAAAATGAGCATTTGTCTACACCAATAACCCCCTTCTTGTACGGTAATGGCCAAAATTAAACTTTGCAAATCTTTGCGAAGCTTATAAAAACGTATGACCATTCGGTACAATGGTCTGAACATCAGACTATTACCGGCTCTGTAGCTCTTAAGTCGATTCGACAACTAATAGTCGTAATTTTCCCAATCAAAGACATTTTCAAGCCCCCCCCCCCCTTATTTTTAGGGAAGTTCTAAATTAGTATTTACTTTCAAATGCCCTTTGAATTAACCTTTTCATTTTTTGTTTAGGCCTGGGATATAATACCTTTATTACCTAGTACTGCCAATTTAAAAAGTACGAAGCTTGTTTCTTTTTACTTTTTTATCAAATATATGTCTCTGCAACCTGTAAACGTGTGTATAAAGATGGAAAAGTTGTAAAAAAGTGGCACAGTTTTATCTAAAAGCAACGATTTCTAACCCCTTATATCTAGTATTGCCATTTTAAAAAGTACAAAGCTTTTTTTTTTTTTTTATTTATTTTTTTTTATTTTTTTTTTATTCCTGTCATCTAATGCAATGTAATCATGCAGCGAAAACGGGTGTAGTCTGTGCAGAAAATACTGTCCTTTCCAATAATGCATCTGGTTTACTATTAGGTCTATATGAATCAAAAGTTATTGAGCCTAACTTCAAAATGTGGAATATGCCTGTCATATGAAAGGGTTGATTTAAGAAGTGTGACCTTTGCCGTTTACCTCTTGAAACAACCATGAAATAATATTCTTCTCGACTGCTAAAAATAGAATTGTGCAACCTCTCATCTGTCATGTCTTTTAAACCACATTGATCTTGTGAACTTAAAGGGGAGTCCACCCTGAAATTAAGTTAGTTTTAATAGGAGTAGAAAAATGAGAGAAACAAGTCAGTGAAAGTTTGAGCAAATTCCGATTAAAAATAAGGAAGTTAGGATTTTTGAAGTTGTGATCAATCAAACACAAATTGGCAACTCTATGACGTATCATGCGAGCTCAACTTCCATTTGCTCAGTACTAAAAATATCTAAAATTTTCATTTTCCCTCAAGAAAAATTTCAACCATACATGCACCCTAAATATAATAATTGCAAATATGTTTTCTATACTCCCCCTGCAAGGAACAAATATATATTCCGTCATCAATAACGAAGAAAACATGATTTTATGGAATATTATGCACAAAGCAAATGAAGGAGAGCTCGTATAATAAGTCACAGAGTTGCCAATTTGTATTTGATTGATCACAACTTCAATAATTCATAACTTTCTTATTTTCATTCAGAATTTGCTCAAACTTTCACTCACCTGATTTTCTTATTATTCTGCCACTATCGAAACAAACTTATTTTGGGGTGGACTTCCCCTTTAATAGGATACCAATCTAATCAATTGCCCCACGGTCGTCGAAGAATATAAAGGTCCAAACAATGAAGGAGTTTTCAAATTAAGGCAGCTGCACTTACATAACCAAATGTCATTTCAGTTTTAAAAAGACTTTATGTACTATGAAAAGATTTTTTTAGAAATCCCCACCTACCCCGAAATAATTTCTCGTTACAAAAAAAAAAACTATTATATTTTACGTTGTTCTATGGATCTCTGGTGTGCTATGTCGCCCTCATCGGCCATCAAAATCACAGTGTGTACCTTGGCAACGACCTGACACTTTTCGTGAAACAGAACAAGAAACCTGCAATTTTTCGAAATATTTAATTATGATGAGTGTTTGAAACAATATAGAACATGTCTAAGAAAAGAGCTAAGAGTGGCGCCGGCTCAGCTGGTGTCTCCCGATGGGAATCTGGCCTTTTATCAACAAATTTCGAAGAGGTAAGATAATGTTTGCGTTTTCCTCGCAGTTTTGTGAGCGGTGCTTGCCAACATCCGACCCCGGTCTTGAGGGCGGAGACGTAAAGTGTGGACCGCTGGAGAAGATCGTGCTGCACGCACGCGTACAAACTACAACACAATGCAGTTAAAGTCGAGCATTTATTCGTCACTTATATTGTTATAAATATGATATTGATATAAACTAGCCTTAATTGGCACCCTTAAGGCATAGGCTAAACATATGTGTATAGAGTGATGTACCTCATAAACGTCATGAACAAGGCCAAGGGCAAGGCACAAATTAAAAACAATGTGTTCACACGATTTGTGCGTGGTCACGCGATTTGTGCGTGGTATCTCCGTTGCCAAGGAGTGAAGCGTATTGGCGCACTATTTTCACACAATTGCGCGATAAAGCACTGAATGTGACCGAATACTGGACGAGCGATACCGCATGGCAAGGGTATCGTATAAATACCTCTTGCGCATCGGCAAGTGCGTCATTTGCAAATTCGCTGCGATGGAGTGAACACGGATGTGATTCTCTTCACACACATACTAAATTCATTGCGACAGCATACGTAGTTATTTTGCAATAGACTTCTACATATGGCTATGCATGTTAGCGCATGTGCTAACAGAACGCGGGAGTGTAGAAAATTGTGTGACACTGACCAATTTCGAGCTAAGTTGGTGATCTTTCCGGGGCCCTAAATCTGATTTAATTTGAGAGTTAAGCAAAGTTTTTCAGCTGCCTGATTTGTGCAAGTTTCGTGGCTCATAATTTTTTTTTTATTGTTACAGCTGTTGAAACGGCTGTCTGACCGAATACTGGGCGCGCTACCCTACTGCATTGCGCGATCATGCAAAATTGGTCATTTTTTTTCTTTTTCAAATCGAGATTCAAACCTTTTTTTTTCTATTCTTTGTGATCCTGAAAGTGATACTCAATAAATAAGGTGTCATATGAAAGAGCAGGTGAATCCCCATATTTCCAAAGGGGCGTCATCTTGGAATTCTAAAAATATCTTGGTCAAAACAGCGATTTAAACATTGTGTCCTGGCTAACTCTGAGGTTTGCCACTTTTGAGATATGACGCCCGATCGATAAGTAGTCCCAGTCCTAAGGAATATATCTATGCGCTTATTTTCTTTTAATTTCATAGATCAGCGGGCGAACGCACGGCGCATGCTCCCGAAAACTGCCTCGCGAGGCCAAATACTACCTCCGAAACAGTGGACATGAAAATGAATATTCCCATAGCAGTTCATGATATTTTTCTGGGATTCTTAAAAAAAAGAAAAAGATAATAGAGGAAAGGAGGGGGTTATCGACCATCTGCAGTTTTCGGCCGATCCGTTGGATGCATGGTAAAATCCCTTTAAAAAACATTGCATAATAGCATATCACATATCCCACACATACCATACCATGCCAGAGTCACTGAAGAACCACATTTGCAATGGAAAATATATCCTAAAATATCACATTTTAGTGATGTAATCGGCGGTCCCGCTACCAAATTCTGAAAAATCAAGTATCTTATGCGTGTCTGTAAGAAATATGGGTACCATAAAATGAGCTTTATTTCAAGTATTTTTCAGATGTAGAGCCCGACTTTGTGCGAGTTGCAAGCTCAAAAGTATCTAATCGCATGTATTAAATCAATGTAGACGGACACAGCACGAACACACAATATCTCTGTCTAATTCAAATTCCAATTTCTGATCAACGCAGAGCTAGTTTTCGACATGGCGAACACCGGGGAGCTCCGGCATGGGATACCGGCTCCGCCCGCTAGTGCTATAGATCAGCGCGGAAAAGACTCCCAAAAATAGGATTTTGCTTAAGTGGCCGAAAACTCCATCCTGTACTCTAATATAAAAATTCTGAAATTTTATAAGAGTTTATGATGCTGCTATTTCTCCCTGAATGCAATAATACGTACATGCGATGTACCAAAAAAATGTTGTCACATTGCCAATTTATATTTACTTACAATAATAGCAATTAGTTGAGTATACTAAGGCGCATCTTCAGGGAGTTCGCTAAATTTGGCGTACTCTGTGCATGCGTCTTTTTTACACTAATCTAAAATAGGCATAAACCGTATAAGTCTAACTAAATAGATCAAAGAAATTTTTTTAAAAAGAAGGTGTTTCCCTAAGAGATATTTTCTAGGCCTTTGGGACTGCTTTGTTCAGGGCTCAAACACGAGTCATTTGTATACAAATAACACACGGCCCAGCGTGCGTTAGTGGTATGCATGCCTTGCAGGCTTGCTACTTACCAAAAAGTCCACAGGATTCCACTTGCCTTGAGTAAAAATAAAATCCATACATCAGACAGCTGAAATGCCTGGCTTCATTATAAAATCCATATAAAGTCAAAACAGGTCTAAATCCAAGGCAAAAGTAAACAAAAATTTGTTTTCTAGTAATAGCTATCTAGGCGTATGCTGCGCTGCCCATAGGAAAGAAATGAGCCTGCCGCATACTCCTGCGGCAGACTTGCCGCAGATCTGCAGCAGACCTGCCGCAGACGGTCATCTTTTTCACATGGAAATTAGTTTTGCCGCAGACTTGCCGCATACTCTTTCAGTATGATGAAGAGTCTGCGGCAGGTCTGCGGCAGACTTGCTGCAGACTTGCCGCATACTCTTTCAGTATGATGAAGAGTCTACTGCAGACCTGCCGCAGACTCTTCATCGTGAATATTCATATCTCACTCATATAGACCTGCTGCAGACCTGCCGCATACTCTTTCATATCCAGTACGTGGCAATAAAGTATGCATGTAGAAGAACCAGTTATAAACTGATTGATACTTCGTAATCGATATTGGCAATATTGATATTACCAATTAGGTATATTCTGTTCTCAATTGTATTAACTTCATCACATAGATCATTTGAAGTGTATTCAAGAATAACTTTTAAACACAGGCTCGTACACATATATATACTAAATATGTATATTGTTTCTTGGTTAGTAATCATAGTTTCTTGGTTAGTAATCAATATATCTATTGCTAAAACGTGAATGTAATTGTAACATGATCAGACAAAATAATCTATTGGTTAATAATGGCAAAAGGAAAATAGAAATCACAAAAATGATGTGCATTGTCTTAATTTGCTTAACAAATCATGATAAATGTATTTTTCTGTCACACGTGTAAAGTAATAATGAATATGCATGAGATGATTGGTTTCAATTGGCCCTATTAGACTTTAATGGGATTTCAGTTGGACCAATCTGCCCCATTAGACTTTAAAAGGTTTTCAATTGGTTTCAATTGGACCAATTGAAGTCCAACTTCAGGCCAATTGGGGTCCCATTAAAGTCTAATGGGGCATAGGCCAATGGGCCCAATTGGTCCAATAGGGACAATCTGGACCAATTGAAACCATCTGAATTCCTATTAAAGTCCCATTGAAACCTGTTAAAACCTATCGAGACCAATTGAAACCAATTGAAAATTCAATTGGTGTTCAATTGGTTTCAATTTGATTTTCGTCTTGGTTTCAATTTGATTTTCGTCTTGGGTAGTTACAACAAAAAAGTGAGTTAGTGGGGCTGAAGATAAGATCACATATGGCACAACAAAAAAGTTTGAAACATTCCGTTAATTCCTCAGTCTCCTCTTATGTAATAAATTCCTCTTATGGTACCAGTTGAACTTGAAGCAAATTGTTTGGTTTGACAGAAGCTAAAAAGACAATTAACAGTGCTAATTAACACAGGAATTTACAAGATCATGGGCTCAGCCTGCAACCTCATATGGTACTGCATGTCCTACAAAACGGCCGCCTATAGCCTTGCTTCAGACTGTATAATTTCCCACTTTTCTGTGGCAGACCTGCCGCAGACTGTTCCTGTGGCGTACTGGTATGCGGCAAGTCTGGAGCAAAGTTTCATCCTGCCGCAGATCTGCCGCAGACTGTTCCTGTGGCATACTAGTATATGCGGCAAGTCTGGAGCAAAGTTTCATCCTGCCGCAGACTTGCCGCAGCCTGTTCCTGTGGCATACTAGTATGCGGCAAGTCTGCAGCAAAATTTCATCCTGCCGCAGATCTGCCGCAGACTGTTCCTGTGGCATACTAGTATGCGGCAAGTCTGCAGCAAAATTTCATCCTGCCGCAGATCTGCCGCAGACTGTTCCTGTGGCATACTAGTATGCGGCAAGTCTGGAGCAAAGTTTCATCCTGCCGCAGATCTGCCGCAGACTGTTCCCGTGGCATACTAGTATGCGTCAAGTCTGGAGCAAAGTTTCATCCTGCCGCAGATCTGCCGCAGACTGTTCCTGTGGCATACTAGTATGCGGCAAGTCTGCAGCAAAATTTCATCCTGCCGCAGATCTGCCGCAGACTGTTCCTGTGGCATACTAGTATGCGGCAAGTCTGCAGCAATATTTCTTTCTGCCGCATACTTCGGCATACTCTTTGCGGCAGACTAAAAGTCTGCGGCAGGTCTGCGGCAGGTCTGCAGCAGGTCTGCGGCATACTTTTCACTTCCTATGGGTGGATATCAATATTTTAGCGTGCAATATGACTTTTGACAGCGCTTTTTTTTGGCATGATCATGCATGCCCCAAAATAGGTGCATGTCATGTGACACGTTTTGACCAATCACGATGCTTAAAATACTAGAGCTATTTTTATGAAATCAAATATTCTCTGCTTTACTTCATCCCTTTGGTGCACATCTTGTGATCTTGATGTATACATGAGTCATTGTGAGAGTATTTTTTTGATATGTTTCTCACTCAAAAAGTTTGTTGCATTATATTTATTTAGGAGGGTTGGAAAGCCTGCATCTCCTTTCTGATTGGAAATAAACTGGACGATAAAGAGTATGCAAGCATTCTTTCTTCTGCCGTTGATTCCAGGCTCAGGAGACTATTCACTGTCATTCACAAGGATACATTGATGGAAGAGGTACGTATATGTATGGCTTGCCATGACTATATGAGACCCCATGCTGCCAGGGCATTACTAGAACAGTTTAAAAAATGGAACAGGGAGGGAGGAGGGGGTAATCGTTCAACAAATGTTTGTTTATACAAATGCCAGGAGCAGTTATCAATTGTATAGGTACTTCAAATTTAAATTAAATTCCTTGATAAAAACTAAACATATATATGTGTAGGATTATTCTCCTTTTTCATCTCATATAAACAAAAATGGAAGATTAAAACTAAAATATAGTTGAGCTAAATCGCTATTAACATTATCAATATATGTCATGCTACAGCAGGAGGGCATAGATACAAATCTTTTAATTTTTTTCTATAATGATTGGGTAACAAGCCGAAAAGATGTATACTTGTAAATCATAATTGACAATGTAAAGAGTTAACAGTGATATAATTTTAAAAAGGGTAAGAGTCCTAAACTGTAATTTTTGTAGAAATCTACACCGGTTGTCCATATTAGTAATAAAAGGATGGCCGGACATTTGCTCCACAATTTGCTCCAGTTTATTTTAAATGTATAGAATGGGGTTTACTGAGATATAGCGTTAGGTCCAGTGTTGAAGTTAAGAATTCTGTTAGTGTAGGAAATTGATGCGGAGCAATTGAGACAGGAACACGTGTCATGCACCCAAATGCATCACAACGTATTATATGAACAATTATGAATGCTCTACCTATAAAATGCATCATCAGTAAACGACCTTTTACCTTTGACATCGACAGGTCAATGAGCTGGGCAACTCAAAGACCAAGAAAGGCAAAGATGCGCCGCAGTTCTTTGAGATCTGTGAGACGGTCAAGTCGGAGTACCTGGACAAGGGAGAGGAGATCCCGCAAGGTCTCATGGCCAAGCTGCTCAAATGGAAGCTACTTGCTATCAAGGAGAAAGATCTAAAGAGGAGGGAGGAGGAGAAAAAGGTAGGTCATTCATACTTCTTTCCTTATCCTTCTTTTAAGCTAGATGGTCAATCTTGAGGTAGAGGAGAGGGTAGATATCATCGTTTCACGAAACAGTCATAAGTACAAGTTCTCCAAAAACACATTAAAATGCGTGTATCAATGAGATGTACAATGTAGGTAAACCTGCACTTATGACTGTTTCATGAAACGATACCCTGATCATGTAATAATAATAATAATTATACGTCTTTGTATAGCGCTTTTATAACACAGGCATTATTGGAAAATATCCATTAGGAAGATTTTGACCATTTTTTTTTTACATCCCCTTGTCAAGTGCACCTAAAAACTGACCTAAAGTTTTCTGTAATTTTCCATGAAGTTCATATTTATAGAGGTCATATCTTTCACTTGTATTCCTTTTAACTGGTATCATACTTTTTAACAGTTTTATGTAGTGTTTCAGTGTCATTTCCTGCATTTAACAGTTTTCAGTAACATAGCGTAAACATACCTGCCAACCACCCCGATTTAGGCGGAGTTTCTCCGCTTTTTACATACCAACTCCGAATTCCGAGTGCATGCCTCAAAACTCCGATTTTTAAATTTTTTATTTATTTTTTTAAATTTTTTTTTTTAGAGTGTAATGCAGTTGGAGAGTATATAACTATTATGTTTGTATTTTGAAATGTAAAGCGCCTTGAGCATGTTCATGTAAAGGCGCTCAATAAATACCAATATGTATGTATGTATGTATAAGACTAAAGCATAACACAGCACTGATAACCAGATCACGCCGACATCCGCACTCGCGCTCATAGAAGATGTACAGAACGCAGCCCGAACGTGATCGTTAGTTCCGCAGTTACCCCCTGTGTACCCCCCCCCCCCCCAATCTACGGGCTACTACCCCAATCCTTCGGTGGTTCGCGACCTCGTAGTCCATCCAGAAAAATTTAGTCCTAATTTCTCTTGTCTCAGGTTGGCAGGTATGCGTAAAGCCCCTCTGCACTAGTTTGGCCAGGAGGGATTAGACTTCCCTGCAAGGTCACTGAATTAACATAAGAAAAAGGGGATTATGAGGGACCAACAGGCAGAGATTAGGCATTGTTTGCTATATACATGTAGAGGGCACAAGTAGCCATAAGTAGTGCAGTGGAGCTTTAAGTTACAATGATTTCTTCTTCTTCCGATATTGTAGGCTCTAGAGAACAAGGACGTCAAAGGTGGGAAAGGAGCCAAGGAGGCTGCAGGAGGAAAGAGGGCTCGAAGCAAGTCACCCGCCAAAGGCAAGGGCAAGAAATCTCCTGAGGTCCCCTCTCCCAAGAAGGACTCCAAACTCAAGAAGAGAGGAGAAGAAGATGATGATAACAAGTATATCGGTGAGTTGTTGTTAAACTTTCTCAGCAACTTTGACAGGTATAACTTGTAAAGTCAGTTGACAGTATTCATTAAATCCTTGTGACTTTTAACCTAGGTTTTTTTTAAACTTGTGATTTATCTTAATCAATTGCAAGCCCTCTAATCAATCACAAGTTTGCAGTCTCCTATCTCTTATTTACCAGTTAGTTGCGATTAATATCAAATCTTTATAAGATGGAGCCCTGTAGAATGAAAATTTGTCAGGAGGAATTGAGTTAGTCTGCTGATTTTTGTTGCATCAAATGACCAAAATTACAGAGTTTATGTTGGAAATGAACAAACAAAATACCATGGGATCATATTTTTCCTTTGTATTAAATCTTTGTTAACAAATTTCAGTAAATTGCATGGACTAGAGAGTTTGACAATTGGCTTTTGTATTATGAGTGGACTAATTAATGTTTGGCAATGCCATTTTGGGATCTACAGAACAATTTGATCAATCATGGTAATATTTATAAACAGAGTGCGGGGCCCCGTTGCACAAAACTTTATACCATTGATGGTAACTTTGCCATCAAGGGTAACTATGATGGAAACCTGGATTTTGATTGGCTGTTGAACCCTGTTACCCTGGTAGTTGCCATTGGTGGCAAAGTTATCATCAATGGTAAGTTTTATGCAACGGTCCATATCTGAGCCCTGTCTTCACCAGGGTTTTGAGTGTCATTTTGACCTACATATAGTGCAAACTTGCTCGGCTCCAAAGACCCTTTCTGAACCGGGTGTAACAATCTGAATCTCTGTTCTCGTACAGATGACGAACCGGATGATGGTCCGCAGCATTACGTCATCATTGAGGGGTTTGAACAGGCCCCTCTCCTCTCTCTTCTGACTGACCTGGGCATCAATGTCAACTGCATTATCCGTCTCCTAGCAGAGGACTACTCCCTGTTTGAGAAGAGACGCAAGGAGGAGGAGGAGGAGATGGATGAGGATGATCGACCCCTTGAAGGTAAGGTAGTGGTGGTAATGATAAAGATGGTTGAGTTGGTAGAGGCCTTGGTGGTAGTGCATATTGATGATGATGATGAAAAAGAACATGATGATGATGGTGATGCTGATAATGAAGAGCATGATGATGATGATGATGATGATGATGATGATGATGATGATGTTGGTAATTATGATGATGATAATGAAGAACATGATGATGATAATGATGATGAAGAACATGATGATGATGATGATGATGACGATGATGTTGATTATGATGATGATGATGATGATGATGAAGAACATGATGATGATGATGATGATGACGATGATGTCGATTATGATGTCGATTATGATGATGATGATGATGATGATGATGAAGAACATGATGATGATGATGATGATGATGATGATGATGATGCTAAAGAACATGGAAGGTATGATGTCGGCAGACATGATAATAGAATTAATTATTGCAATTCAGACCATAATGTTTTTTTGCAGTTGACAGTGATATTGGTTATTCTGTAGATGATAGTGATGGCATTGGCTGACTTGTAGGTGGTACCATAATCGTTGACATAACATCAGCAAACATCATTATTAATATTGCCCAGCAATTTTTTATTTTTTATTATAGTGGTGGTTATTATGATATATGAGGAAGTTTGTAATATTGATGGTAATCTCTATGCATATGACAGCAGCTGATGCAGTAGTTTACAAACTGTACTTGTTATGCAGGTTTATCTGTGAAAAGTTCTAACCCCTTTCCCCTTACCCATTCATCCATTTCTAGTCATTGAGGAGGAGAAGAAGAAAAAGGAGGCTGCCAAGGAAAGGCTGGAAAAGTTTTGGCTTCAGCACGAACCTCTCCTGAAGAAAGCCACCAAGGGCTCCAAGCTTCAGGACATCGCTCGTCTTACCTACACCGTTAAGAATCTGATCGTACCGGATGATCTGAAGGACAATGAGAAGAGAGTGAGTGGGATCTTACTGGATGCAAAGTTTTACGTTGTGTACCATTATCCAGATTTTGTTTTTTCATTGCAAGTTGGGTCACTTTGAGGCATCAGAGTACGCCTTATTGGCCAGAATTCTCAAAGGAGGTTTAGATTTAATCCATAAATTAAACCCTCATTTACATTTAACCCATGGTTTAAAATTAGGGCAAATTAAGCGTATCTTGCCTTGCGCGCCTCTTATATTGGATCTCTGACTGTGTCATGCTTATTTTGCGCTAATCTTAGACTATGGATTAATTTTAAACCTCCTTTTGTGTATGTATTCAGGCCATTGTTTTCCATTTCATACAACTAGAATCAAGTGATATACTGTAGTCTGGGGCAGTATTATGAGATTCATTTTATCTCGGTGAGATGAAATACTCTTAAAATCTTTTTAAATCTGTATATACATGTACAGTGCGTCACTGAAAAATGAAACCAAGAATTGTCAATGTTTTATCATAACTTAATCACAATTATAATTAATAAGTGACACATATTTGTAAAGCTTAGATCCTCCTCTTTCATTTGATGCAACTCATATGATGCATATTTCATGCTTGAGTGGTTAAAAACATTTTGAAGAAAGGGTACCAAAAAGTCATTTGGCAAACAGCATCTGGCCTTTTATATGACACCTCAGTCAGAAAAAATGAGCCAGGAATTACAAAGTTCTGTTTGTTTAAAGTAGTGCTTGCATTTCCATAAGTTTATTTAACGATTTCGTTTTCACTGGCTACCTGCCGTAGCAACAAACAGGAGCTGACAAAATACTTAATTCTGACAATTGAAAGAAGCAAAAGACTTCATACATGACTGATAGATGGGATTATCACAGTAACATTCTCTCTCTCTCTCTCTCTCTCTCTCTCTCTCACCCTATCTCTCTCTCTCGCTCTCATTGAACTCCTTACAGACCCAGTTTGGTACGGACATGTTTGAGGATGTGGCCTGTATGATGTATGATCTGCTGGACTCTGAGAGACAGTACAGGACCTTCCTAGACAACATGAAACTCATCCAGGTCCCTGTGGTAGAGAAGGACCCTCAAGGTATTAAAGCTGGAAATGCGTTCGGATCATTTGGGTTTATAACTAAATTGAGACTTGCATAATTTAAAGGGGAAGTCCATTCTTGAATCGAATCAGCTTGAAATAATAAAAGCACATAAATTATTGAAATAATGAAAGTACACAAATTATTGAAATAGATCATTACAAATTTGAGGGAATTGGGATAAAGGATAAGAAATGTATAAAGTTTTAAAGTTGTGATTGACACACAAATGATACTCTGTGATTTTCAACTAAATCAAAGAAATCTGCTGAAATTTCTTTCTATTTTGTTTTTCTTTTCTGAAAAGGGGTGAGGGAGCTGTATACAATTTGGATTTGTATTACCTTAAAAGATGGAGTTTATTGTCGACCTATCTACACATTTCTTTAATTGCTCGAGTCAAAGTGAATTTCAATTACATGTTTTCCACTAATTGTACCGTCCTTCCACCCTACAGCGACTAGTGACAGTCAGGCTGCAATCCCTGCTGGGGGTACTGCAGCACAGCAGCCAGGGACAGGCCAAGCAGCTCCAACCGACCCTGCCGCCACCGCCCCCGAGCTCAAGCCCATCGTGGTCTCTGCAGACGTTGATACACGCTACTACAATGAACTGATGGATAGCATTCCCCAAGAGAGTATGAGCATTCCTCTTGTTATGCACTGCATGCTGGAACAGGTATGGACAACCATCCTCTCACCTTTAACCATTTCAAGACAAGTTAACCCTTACTGTATTGGGCTATTTTGAGCACCTCGCTGACTGGAGGGGGGGGGGGGGGGGGGGCTGGGTCCCCCCCCCTCCTATATGATCTATGATCCCGATAAACACAAAAATTTGCATGTTTGTAGATATTTACGTAAGAAACAAGATGGTATAATTAGTTTTTTCCTAATATGCAAATTTATGTTGTTACAGCCTAATTAATTATGCAAAATGCTAATTTTATGCATTTTACAGAAAACGCTGTAAATGTATTGAATAAATGTTTCCTTCATCTCAAATTCATGAGGTTCATTATTTTTATGATATTTGAAAATGCATAGGTTAATTTGCATAAATTATGAATACGCACATTATGCATTAGAAATTCATAATTTTATTTTTTATTATATCTATTGTTTTATTTGTAATGTATTCTTTTGTTCTGGAATGCATCAAGTTACCTTGAGTTACATATAAAAGCAATTTAATATAAATTCATATCTCCCACTTAGGAAGAAATACATGAATATATGCAATTAAAGCACTTTTTGATGACATGCGCATACTAATTGTTATTTAGCACCTTACAGGTATATTCGATTTCAACAAAAATGGTATCAAAATGTGTGTAAGACTTGAGGGACGACAATTAAAAATTCCAAGAGGTTGCGGCACAATCTCTGAAAATGTTGAGGGGGGCCTCCCAGCCCCCCCCCCCCCCCAAGTACAGTAAGCGTTAAGGGCTTAAATAATGATTACCATTAATTTTTCTTCAAATTGGGAACAATAATATTTTTTAGTTCATCGTACACTGTTGAAAAAAATATTTAATGTCTCGGAAAACAATAAACTCAGTATGAGAATGTTGTTGAAAAATTGGGGAAAAAGGGCAAATTTTAATTGAAAAACAATTATTTTGAATCTCCTGTGTATCCAATTTAAGGATTTTCAAGTTTCTATATTTGCCTTATTGAAATTCCTGGCATCAAAGACAATACATATAGTCATGAAACAAAGTTACATTTAAAACATCTTTTACTTTGTTTTAGGTTGTCGCTACATCTGAAGACCGGGGTCCACCCAGCGATAAGGACAAGATCCCTCGTGAAGATGGGCTAGACCAGGGACTGGCTGCTCACATTGACAAGATGGCCGCCAAGCTCCATATCACCGATAGCAACAAGGTTGAACAGGTAAAATTTTGTGGGACGTAATTAATATATCTTACATTAACTTTCTGATCTAGCAACAGATGATATTTGTGATCTGATTTTAACCAGTTGCTAGGATAAATAACAACACGCCCCCCCCCCCCCCCCAAAAAAAAAAAAAAAAAAAAAAAAAAACTTCCTACACAATCCTAAATTGATATCAGTTAAAGTTAGGTTGGATAGTTAACTTGATGACTTCATAGGACTCCAGCATCATCAAGTAATCTCAATATCACTGCTACATCATTGACGTGTAAAATGTAAAGATTGGTCTTTTTTTCAGTAGTGTTTATGTGTAATTATGTTCAGAAAATGCAGTTGGTGTAATAATATAGGCCACTTTCATTTCATGTACCTCTTTTTTGTATATCCTTCTTCATCTTCCCTTTTTTGCCAAATTTTTTTATTTTCAGTCCGAAGAACCACCAAACGGTGTCGCCTTGCCCAAGCCGCTTGCTCCCTCTATGCCTGAATTCTTCCAGTTTGGTGACGACATCTCTCTCCGACTCAAACACCTCCAGTCCATCAACGGTTTCAACGCCATGGAGGCGGAGCTTGCCATGTTGGACTACATCCCTGTTGCTAAGCTACGGGAGTTCCCTCGTCCATCATCTAACATCATCAAGCAACGGGCTGCAAGGTTGCAGGAGTTACTCCATCATCTAAGGTATGGAGTATGGAGTTTGACGTGGCTTAATTGTAACACATCACCTTTAGCCCAGCAGAAGGGTGCAAATTATTTGTTTTGGTGAACTAAATACAGTGAAACTTGCACCTAAAGACGGCTCAAGGTTTGTTTAGTACAATCATGTTTCACTGACGAGCACAAAAGAAAATGTGGTCTTTAGAGACAGTTGGTCTTTCTATGCAGGAGATTGCTAGAGCAGGTTTCACTGTACTCTTGATTTTAGATGTTGCTTGTAAGTATCGGCTTGCGTGGTGATGTAGATATACAGTAGGCTTGCGGGTGCACCATGTGAGAGAGAGGGAGGATTGAGGAGTCCTGAAAAGGACTCTCGGTAATCTTTCTTGAGGGTGTGTAGTTCTGAAAAGGACTGTTGGTGTAGTCTTGAAAAAGACTGTTGTTAATCTTTCTTAGCTTATAGTTCTAAGGATAACTATAGCGCCGATTGGAGAGGATGGGTGGCGGAAGTGGCTCGACGTTTCGAACAGGTTGACTATTCGTCGTCAAGACTACCCCTGGGAATGTATTTTTTGTGAAATACCTGTCTGTTTCCCCATCCATCTATCTGCCCCTTTCTGCTGGGTGTACGTACACCACAGCTCTAGTATAGGTGCAGTCTTCATAATGTTCATGTGTTTAGACTAATAACTTGGCATCACCCAACATAATGGCCATGCTTGTGATGCAGCCTCATATAAGTCTTGATTGTCATTACAGCTCTGGAGTTGTAGACCCTGCTGAGGTAGACCGTGCCTTCAAGCAGTTTGTGTTTGAGAGTCTGGTTCTGCGGGGGACGGAAGAGGACGGATGTGTCTCACAGAAGGTGGACTCAGAAGGCATCGTCTGGGACGACCCCTATCCTCTCTTCTCCAAGAAAGACAAGGATGAGACCTCGGAGAAGGAGGGAGGAGATGTCCAGACATTGACGGCAGAGAATGTCCAGAAGAATGCAGGTAGGTGATGACCGGTAGACCTAGGGGGTGTTTCACAAAGATCCTAAGTCGAACTTAACTCTAAGTTGGGCTTAACAATTATGGAAAGCCGTTAGCATCTTTGAATTTTTTTTGTTAAAGTCATTTTTAAAGGCATAAGATGTTGATTCAAATCATTAATGTTTTCTATTATCAAGGAGATTTCATGTTCTTGATGTGGAAATTATGAATGGTCTAAAATACTCGAATTTTTGCTTTTGAATATATATTTTTTTTAATGCTACAAATGGCTTTCCATCATGTTTAAATCCAACTTGGAGTTAAGTTCAACATAGGATCTTTGTGAAACACCCCCCTAGTGAAGTCCGCAGGCACAACTCTAGCATAACTTTACACACTCCTGATAGGGCTAGTAGCTTTTCATTGTAGTATTTCTCAATCTATAATTTCACATGCTAGTGTTGGTTTCTGAGAAGTGGGTAGCAAGTGAACAAAAAGAGAAATTAATTCTGTTACATCTGTATTCTAGTGTCACGTACACTCCAATATTTTTTCTTCAATAATGAATTATCAAAAAGTGTAAATTCTGTAGATTTGTGACCATGATTTGTTTGTCCCTTGAGAGACCAATGCCAGTAAATGGTGAGAGCAAATAGTGGCATGAACGGCCTGCCATAGTTAAGTCCAACTCAAATCAATCTTAGTGTTTGTGAAACACCCCCATGTACTAGTTTGTATAGGATATTGAAGCCTACCGACTCGCATCTAATTTTTTGTGTTGATTCTGTAATTACCCCTCATTGATTCAGATGAGTTTGATGTGGAAGAGACAGGACACCAAACCAACTTGACCAGCACAGGTATCTTGAAGCCAGAAGGTCGTAAGTCACGTCAGGGTTCGGCCAGTAGCCTCCGATCAGGAAAGAGCACAGGTAACTAGACTTTCAAACTCATTCAAAAAATTAACAGTTAAAGTTGCTCATGTGTAGGTATATAGAGGGCAGCACACTGAACCAACAGGTATTACGCTCCCGTGCGTTCTAGTCTCCCTTTATGCGTACATCCGTACGGGAGTGTAATACCTGTTGGCTCAGTGATCGCCAAGTTGCCTACTTCACGAACGACTATACACCACGCATGAACATCTTTAAGACTTCACTGAAAGTGTAAATAAATCAGCTTTTCCTCCTCAAGTTGGCATCAATTATTTGTATTTTCTAGTTTAAGAAATATAGATGTATAATATGAATTGAACCAAAGTGAAGGAAGATAAGAAAAATTGTCAAGAAGAAGTTGCCAATATGTACAGAAAAGTAGTGATTATACTTTGGAAATATGATGATGATTTAAAGGAAAACAAAATTCAAGACAAGTAAATAAAATGTTATTTTAATTTCCATTGGAATAACAGAAATGCACATAAAAGGATATAATGCCTATGTATTCTAATCTCATTTCCACTTTGTTTTTTCGTTGTAATTTTGCTAGGGCGACCATCAAGCGCAGGTGATTTGATTGTAATGCTAGATTTGGTGCCATGGTGCTTAATTGCATGCCATGTTTGTGCAGTAATGCTGCATGTGCCTTGGGTGTTTAGGGAGTGTTATCATCCCGTAGTGTTCAAAACACATTATCACATTCACTGCAGTGGGTTCATTGGTGCTTAATCTATGTTATAAGTTGGTGCTGCCATGGTGCTTAATGCATCTCATAGCTGCACAATAAGATTATACTGCATGCGCCTTGGGTGTTAAGAGAGTGTTAGTGTCTCACAGTGTTCAAAACACATTATCACATTCACTGCAGTGGGTTCATTGGTTCTATCTACCTTATAAGTTGGTGCCATGCATATCGTAGCAGCGCAATAAGACATTACACTGCATGCACCTTGGGTGTTAAGAGAGTGTTAGCGTCTCGCAGTGTTCAAAACACATTCACTGCAGTTGGTTCATTATAGTGCTTAATCTACCTTATAAGTTGGTGCCATGATGCTGCATATCAGAGCTGCCCAATAAGAGATTATAATACTGATTAGAATAAATATATAGATAAATAAATGCACATTTGGTGTTAAGAAAGTATTATTCTGCCCTGGCCCCAGTTTCATAAAACTTACCATCAATAACAAACTGCAAAATTTCTATAACAAATTTGCCAACAGCCAATCAAATGCAGGTATTTCAGTAGCTTGTAACAGTTCTCATAATTTGTTATTGATGACAAGTTTCATGAAACAGGGCCCAGGTGTTTGAACACAATATCACGTTCACTGCAATGGGTTCATTGGTGCTTTATCTACTGTAAATTTTTCCCTATGCACCCAAAGATGCGATCATGTGTTGGAACAAATAGTAGCGAATGTGACTTGAGTTTTCCCTGTAGGAAATAGCTGCTTCACCATAAATGGAATGATGACATATATGCACCATTGTACCTATATCCCTGATATAAATGGTTGGACGTTGTTGTCATCTTAGTGTGAACACTGTTATTGTACCTCCATTACCCCCCCCCCCCCCTCCCTCCCGCTCTCTTTCCCCTTCCCTATCCCCTCCACCATGTTAACAATCATGATATTTTTGTGACTTACTTATGTGCTCTAATATGAATATATAAGCCTGTATTTGTTGTGAAATTTATTACTAGAAATGGATGTTGTAATAATTTAGACCAGATATCCGTTGTCTCCATGTATAACCTGAACCTCCACTCCACACTCCTATCCACCCCCTTCTCCTGCATCTGTCCCCCCCCCCCCCCCCCCCCCCCCCCCCCTCTCCGAAAAAAAATTGGAAATGACACAATTATCACCCCCTCCCCTCCCCTCCCACAATCTCGTGGCTTGTTTGTGTGGCGGATATCATACATACATTTAGTGATGGTATTGGATGCATGGATTGATCTAAACTCGAGTCAGATGTTTTTCATTTGCCTTATATATTCACATAATGTTGTATGCTGTGGTATTTATCACAAAAGAAAATATGTGAATGTATTGGTGGGTGTAAAATGGAAGAGAAATGAAAAAAAAAAATTGAATGTTACCTGGTGCCTGTTTGAAAGGAAAGGAAAGGAAAGGCTGGAGTTCATCACAACGGAATGCACCCACAATGTGTAAAGAGAGCATATATGGCTGAGATTGCTGTGTGCGGTTTGGATTGCATGCGATACCTTTGGATAAAGACAAGTCTATTTTACACCTAGAAGTTAAAATCATGTCCTTGAAATTTGATTAGGATAAAAAGAACCCTGTAGTTAAGCTGCCTCCCAAATTTGATTTGGAATACATATTTCTGAACATTACATGCAAAGGGGGCTATATAAATGCTATTTTTGTACATCTTAAGATATTCACTTATTTATCAGTCTTGGATCTCATAAGAAATGAGAATTAAATTTTCTTCGTCATGTAAGCATTGACAATGCAGAACTCTTCATTCAATTGCACCGATTTTACCATCTTTTCATCCATACTTCCATGAGAGAAAATGGCATAAGTTCAGGTATATACCATATTCTTTGGGTCTTTTGCGATGAAAGTGTTGATAAGGGATAATAATGACAACAAATAAATATTAATGCTATATTTGCTTTCCATAGTCCACTTTGAGAAAGATGCCTCTGGGTATCCCATCATCCATCCCAAGGACCCTGCCCCTCCCTCAGACAGCCCTAGGGAGGAGGCCCAGGGCGATGCCCAGAACGAGGAGATAGAGCCGGAGTGCAAGGATGCGGTAATTAGGCCCGGTTCTAGCAAGAGCAACATCAGCATCCATGATGTGATTGGTGATACTCAGCTGCGGAACCTGGATGAGTGGTGTTATGCAGAACACTTTGAGGCTCCTGTGCTCATACAGGTGGGTTAAGGCTTGCGTTGGCTTGCAGTTTAATAGCTTATTGAAATGGACTGGAAGAACAGATTTACATTATATTGTTAATACACTGATTTGATGGTTTGGAATATGCTTAATGGATGGAGCTGCTACCAAAGGAATCAAGATAATGCCTGCTAAGGGCCCTTAGGCTCTTATCTAATAATGGAAAAAAAGAGTAAAAGCTCTTTGGGCTCTCATCAGCAAACAATATAAAAGACATTAATCAATGCTACATGTTTAAAGAGTCACGCAGGTGATTAGCAAATTAAAAATGTGTTGATGATCACCCTAGTATACAGACTTGCTAAAAAAACAGCTTTGCGGCTGAAAGCATGTTTTTTAAATCTCTGTATTGAAATAAATAAATAAAAAACCCACACAAACAACTCTTTTTGAGGTTAGAAATTGGTGATGATGGTTGATAACCATACGTATTATTGCAACAATCTGGAAATATTGAATAGGTCAAAATATAATTGCATATATAGATATATCACAATTAACAGACATTGTAATATGTAAACTATATTTGGTGCCTCCAACCGGAATTACGATGTTAGAATGATTGCCAATAAGAGAATATTAGATCCATGTTGACAAATTTCCCATGTTCAGGTCAATTCACTTACGCTACAGAGAATTCCCTTTTACGCTCTAGATACTTTAGAAAGCACCTGCACCATACTTCTTCATGGACACCTGCTAACAAATCTCAAGTGCATGCAGTCAAGAGAAAAACAAGGTCAAATTAATGATGTTCAAAAGGATTGGGTAACTTTGTCTCAGATTCTGAAACAAAATCCTAGATTTAGATCATGCAGCAATGATATTTACATGTATAAAGCTTTAGGTCAGTCAGGAACCCCATGACTTTTACAAGCCGATCGCCTGTCTGATTATCAACCAATTTATGATTGGAAATCAAAATTGAATTTTGCGTTTTCCTAACGGTTTTCATAATACTACATGGTAAAACCAGTCACTCAAAGATTTTTACTTTTTTGAGGCACTTCTTGATAATTTTGAAGCGCAATTTTTTTTAGGGCTTCAATATTACATCATATCACAGACCGTACACATAGGGCCGTGCATCTCAGATTTAACATTGTTAAACGATGCCTTTAATGATGAATTACCTTAATCATTCATCCCCTAGATTCTTGAGGAGGCGCGTGAGATGTACCCTTTTATGGATACCTACTACCATAAGAGAGACCACACCCTTCTGGTCGTCATGCACAACCCAGTAGGACCGGAGCTCAAGAACACCCAGCCATGGGACACCAAACTACATTCTGATGTGGGGTTCAGGTAAGCTGCTCATGAGGTCATTTAAATGTTGATAAGCTTTAATTCAAAATGAATATTGTATTATTTTTGATATTGAGAGGACAAAGAAAAAGAAAGAGATGGGAATTTGATATAACGAGAGCAACTGAGAGGGTGCACTTGAACATGCTTAAAAACACCCCATCGTGTGACACCAAACTGCATTCTGGTGTTGGGTTCTAATTGGTATGAATAGTTTTTGGTGGAAAACCATTTCTGATTATGGGGATTTCATTTGACATTTGTTGGTTCCTGATGCTAAGTCAATATTGAATTGTATGGCTAATAAGATGAGAGTAGAAAAAACAATTAGATTGAATTATTGTCCCCTAAATGAAGAAAGTAAAAATAAACTGTTTTCCTAGTATGTGCATTAATAAAGAGAGAGAGAGAGGGAGAGGAACAAAACAAAAAGAAACAAATACAAAATGGGGGAATTCCCCTTTGGGGAACACAATGCATTAGTTGATCGAGCGGAACATTTTTCTCCAAGCATTTATTTAATATTTTTTAGACTCTTAATTCCTTTTAAGGTATACAATCTACTTTACGACAATTGATATATAAATACTATTTATTCATTTCCCCAGGAATTACATGGAGCATGTCTCAGAAAATATTGCAGACTGGGTGAACATCGAGGAGACTAAGTACCAGGCTGAGATGAGACAGAAGGATCTAGCCCGGCAGAGGGAACTAGCCCTGTCCCGGGCTTCTACCCCAGCCCCATCTAGGCCTTCCAGCTCCAAAAGCAGGAAGGGAAGCGCAAAGAAGTCCAGGTCCAAATCACCAAAAGGTAGGCTGATCGTTGCTTTTGCATATCAGTACTATACCTGTATGTGATTGCATGTAATATATTATACAAATGATGCATGCGCATGAGTTCATTATACGATCTATCCGCACTCGAGTTGAGGCTGTGTGTATCTATTGCACGAAGCCTGAGTGCGATAGATACACACAGCATCAACGAGGGCGGATAGATTGTATAATGAACGAATGAAAACATGCATCATTTGTTTTATACAACGAAACTCCTAGATCCTTCTTATGATGTAAAAAGTATTCATTCAGGATTGTTTCGTGACAGTATATGACTGACAAATAAATCTCAAGTTTAATAAGGCTTAATTTAGTGCGCACACATAACTATAGATATAGCAAGCGCACTAATTACCTCTATACCCATTTACGCATAGTGCTGCGCAAGAATAGGCTCATGCCCACGCAGTACGTATTAAGCGCTCTAACTCTACGCGCACTACTGCGCTATGAAATCGAGTTCAATAGTACTGGAAAATATTGCACTCCTTTTCATAAAAACGAGTGCAATAGACTCAGTAAATGAATCACACGTGACCAATCATTTGATTAGGATCTGGGGGTGAGTTGTATAAAAGTGTATATACATGTATATTTAACTCCCATCATGTGATTAAGGGAGGTTTCATTTTACATTTCATGCTAATTAAGAAGGTATAAGGAAGAAGTTCAGTAACTGGTGCCAATAAGCTTTAGCGATTGGCTTTTGTAGGTGATTGATTGTACATTTAACCTCAGAGACCCTGGATATCAAATTTGAGGAGCTTGTAATTTTTCTTGAAAATCAAAAGATATTCATGAATATTTGTTGATATATTGTGTAATATCAGGAAATATTATTCATATAAAGATGAAGAATAGAAAATTGACCGGTATTAAAGATACTGCTATGAAATCCTATTTGTTCATCAAATTTGATTGCACGATAAAGGGTTGTAGATCCTGTTTTAACATCTTTTAAGAAATTTAAATCTTGAAATACTTAGCACAAAAGAAATGTATTACCTCACTGTGCAGTTACATGTACCTCTTTATCCTAAGTCAAAGGTCAAAATGGTCCATTGTATTTCTGTTACAGGACGGCGTAGCGCCAGTCCAGCTCAGACCGTGGACAATCTTGACCCTAACAGCGGTCAGTTCATGAGACCTGGATCCATGAAAGCATGGAAAGTAGAACAAGATAAGATCCGTGAGGAGGAAGAGAAGAAGAGACTAGAGAAGGAGAAGAAGGCCGGCCGCAAGTCAGCCCGGTCTAGGTCTAGATCTGCCTCACCGGTCAAGAAGGTAAAGTAAAGGCAATCATTCTCTAAATTTGAAAGGTCAAATAGAAAGGTCAAATAGATTGCGTGCCTTGTTTTTGCAGAAGAGCTTCCAAAATATAACTTTTCTAATTACAATTGTCATTCCTAGAGATACAGACTTGGTTAAAGTTTTGGTAATAGTATGATACCTATCTATTTTTAGCAGTATAGCAGTTGTATTTGTATAGTAGTTGTGCTAAAAATATATTAAACAATTGTTTTAATAATTATTATTGTTGTTATTGTTTTTTCATTTCTAATTCTCCTTTTCAGGGAGAGACTGACGACAAGAAAGACAAGAAGCCTGGCTCGGCCAGTAAGGACGGTAGAGGGAGTGGCAGTAGGAAGGGGGATAGAGATAAGAAGGAGAGTGGTGCAGAACCACAAGAAGATGCCACACCCGAACCTCCAAAGGAACCTGAAAGGGAGTACAAGGTGAGTCTGAGTCAGATCATGGGGGAGGGGCCGGGGAGGGGGAAGGCAGGGGGGTAGAGACAAGAAAGAGAGTGGTGCAGAACCACAAGAAGATGCCACACCCGAACCTCCAAAGGAACCTGAATGAGAGTATAAGGTGAGTCTGAGTAGGATCATGGGGGAGGGGCTGGGGAGGGGGAAGAGAGGGATAGAGACAAGAAGGGGAGTGGTGCAGAACCACAAGAAGATGCCACATCCGAACCTCCAAAGGAACCTGAAAGGGAGTACAAGGTGAGTCTGAGTAGGATCATGGGGGAGGGGGGGGGGGCTGGGCAGGGGGAAGGAAGGGGGATAGAGACAAGAAGGAGAGTGGTGCAGAGCCACAAGAAGATGCCACACCCGAACCTCCAAAGGAACCTGAAAGGGAGTACAAGGTGAGTCAGAGTCAGATCATGGAAGGGGGTTATTTTTTTCTGTAAAGTGACATGCAATTATGCCTATGTGTTTTGCGCTATACAAAAAAAAATATTATCATTATAATGATTAATTTCTTCACATCTCCTGAAAACTTACTGACATATTTTATTTTGTTTGATTTTCTTTACAGTTTGTTGGATATGACATGGGTAACAACATTATTCAGGCCAATGGTAACACAACCACCCTATTTCCAAATGATGGGGGCCAGATTCGCTCGGAACACACCCAGTTCATCAATGGTAAGCAACATGAACTTGTGATATGTTCCCACTAAGTAATGATATGGGTAACACAGAGCTGCCAACCATTCCGTTTTTGCCAGAATTACTCCGTTTTTTCCTCCAAATTACTGTATTACGTTTTTTCTTTGTAAAATACATTTTTTTAATTTAATTTTTTTTTACATACCGCGTGTCAAACAACTGCCCTAAAATGGTGATTTGATCACAAATTCAACAGAAAATTAAATTTAAAACATACTTGAAAAGAAAAATATTGTCAAAAAGAATGAAATGCCGAAAATACCAAAATAACCACAAAAAAAAATTCCTGCTTGTATGGAAAAAACAGCATGATGAATGAACATTTCTGCATTTGAAGTGTGTTGCGCGTGGTTGTAAGTTTTGTTTTTATGAATTCCTTTTTTTGCTTGAAATTCCTTTTTTTTGCCATCATGATTCCTGTTTTTTGGTCGCACAAGCTCTGGTAACAGTATAATTCAGGCTAATGGAAACACAGCCACCCTATATTCCAAAGTTTGAGAGGGAAATTTTTTTTTTTTTTTGGGGGGGGTGTCAGATACACACTGAGCACACAGCAACATGAATCTTGTTTGGCTTCTCTGTAATGGCATAGGGTACAACATAAGTGAACATAATGGAAACACCATGGAGACAATCTGAGGACTGCATTATAGGAATTAAATGAAAGTAATTCTTGTTTGATATAATTTTGACATACAGTACTTGTACATTTATGACATACACTGTAGAATTTGATTTGCTATGTCTCCATTGTCATATGATGAGAGTTCAATCCAATTTCAATAATGGTTAATCAATGTAATGCAATTGATCTTCAAAGCATGTTTTGTACAAATAAATTTACATGAATAGCAGCGGATTAACTGGATCGTTCATTTTTACATGTAATGTTGGCATAAACACCAATTTAAAAGATAAAGCATAAATGTTAGGAATAATGTAATGCATGACATAAAGAAGATCAATATCAGAAGAAATATGTGCACCTTTTAATATTATGTTAACCATTTTCCAGGTCCCAAGTTTGTCAAGACGTCTGTTCTGAAGGATGGGCACGTGTTTGTGGTGCACATCCTCGACCCACGAGACAAGGAGGAGGTTGAGGGGGAAGCCCCCCAGGAGGGTGGGGGAGAGAGCAACAAGGAGAATGTGATGGAGAAAGCTGATCAGGAGACGCAGGAGAAAGACCAAACAGTTGATAAAGGTGAGAAAGATGTTTTCCTCATACTTTTCATAGTGGATACGTGTACCAGAGATGCCAATCCTCCCTGGTTTCCAGGGAGGCTCCCTGAAAATTTGATTTTGAATTGTAATGCTTCCCTGATTTTTTGAAAGATTATTCCTATTATGCTGTTTGTAATTGATAGAAACCTCTCAGATTTCTGAATGAATAATCCTTACAAACAACTTGATTGTAAATGTACTTTTATTTAATGTTTTGCAAATTTCATGCCAAATTAATTAAGTCTAGTATTTCCTTTATTTTCCTTGATTGACAGATGGAAAGAAGAAGAAGTCAGACTTACCCCTCTCTAGCTTCGGCTCCTTCACTGCTAACCTGAGCGATGGAATGGTTGTCTCGTTCAGTAACCATGGTATCGACGGAAAGACTAAGGGAGCAGGTATGAAAACAAAAAAGAAATAATGTGCTAACAAACACACTTTTTTCATGCTCATTAAAGGTACTTATCCATTATCAAGCTAGGCTACTAATAAAAGATAAAAAGTTCAAAAGAATTTACTACAATTGTAATTATTGTAACCTGTATGCGAGATAAGGATTATGGTAGCCTTCCAACTTTTATTCTGAAACACTGTTATTTTCAAGATTATGTGCTACCGCAGCTGCAATTAAACCATGTGCACATATAGCGATTTAGACATTCTTAATATTCTGTGCAGAACAATTTCTGAGTAGTTTCTATTTACTTACCCGGCCTCCATGACATTAGTAGGCTTCATGTTTGAATAAATGACATGCGTGTATGTTACTAGAGATACTGTTTGGTCATTTCTTGAATAAAAAACTTTTAAATCTGTGATTTTATTTTTGTTTAGTTGTAGAACTCAAATTTGTATTTGCCTAAAACTTAGAAGTCAGAGAATTTTATGTATTTTCTTACCCGTATACATTTACCTTATTCCTGTTTAGCTGAAAAGAAGGAGATTGAGGTGGTCATTCCCCCAGCATCGACACCCACCCCAACCCCAGTAGCCCCCTCACCTAAGGGGAAAAGAGGAGGATCAGGAAAGAAGGGTAAGCAACAACAACAACAGCAGCAGCAACAACAAGCGGAGGCAGAGAAACAGGCACAGCTCCTGGCCGAGCAACAACAGAAAGAGGTATGTAACGTGCTGTGTTGACAGGTAGAGGTATGGAAATAGAACAAATGGAGAGACAGAGAGAAACAGAGCTAATGAGATAAAGAGAGAGAGAGAGAGAAAGATTGGAAGTGTAAAAGAGGCAGTCATGATAAAGAAACAAAGAGAGATGGAGATCGACAGACAGACAGAGAGAGAGAGAGAGAGAGACAGGTACAGCTACTTGCTTAGCAAGAACAGAAAGAGGTATGTAACGTACGGTGTTGACAGGTGGAGATATGGAAATAGAAGAAAGGAAGAAAGAAATGGGGAGAGAGAAAGAGCTAGTGAAATAATTAAGAAGAGAGAGAAAGATTGGAAGTGTAAAAGAGGCGGACACAACAAAGAAACAGAGAGAGAGAGAGAGAGAGAGAGGGAGACAGACTGACAGACAGACAGACAGAGAAAGAGAGAGACAGGTACAGCTACTTGCTTAGCAAGAACAAAAAGAGGTGGGTGGGAGAATAAGCATTGTACAGCAATTAAAAGATTTACAAATAGAGGAACAAAGAAAATGTACATAGTACAAACAAAAGGAAGGAGGAGTGAATTTTTAAGAGGAGAAGATTTAGACAAAAAATATACCTCCATTCCTTTCATCAAAATATACAACTATTTGTGTCACTACCACATAAATAAGTAATTTTTAGGTTATCAAACTAATTTCTTTTCTGAAAATATAATGTGATTAAAATATCATATCGTGAAACCAATGTTTGAGAGAGAGAGAGGGACAGAGAGAGAGACAGAGAGAGAGAGAGAGCCACACACAGACAGCATTAGCAGGGAAAGAGCAAAGTTGAATTGTAAATGATCTTTTCTTCATGTCTTGTTGTATTTCAGGAAGAGGAGAGACGTAAGAGTGTGGTTGAGGCGGAGGCAGCAGCATCAGAACCAGAGATCCCTCCTTTCCAGCAACTCTTTGTCTCCTGCCCAGATGGGCTCCATGTATCATATATGCTGGAGCCAACTGAAGGTAGGGAGCCTTCAAATTGAGTTTAGAAGCAATATAGGGCTCGTTGCATAAAACTTACCATTGATGGTAACTTTGCCATCAATGGCAACTACCATGGTAACAGGGCTCAACAGGCAATCAAAATCAAGGTTTTCATGGTAGTTACAATTGATGGCAAAGTTACCATCAATGGTAAGTTGTATGCAACGGGCCCAGGTTTACAAAGATTATACTTTCAAGACTCACTAGTTGACATTTAATTCTGTGTTCTGTTTATTTTGGCATGAATTTGCCATAATTTATATTTGTGCTTCAGAAAATCTGCTTCATTGTGCAAAACTTAACTGGACTTTCGTAAAACATAATGCGAATGAACTGTACCGTCCAGCAATCCTTGATACACAACATTTGTTCACTATCAAATTTTAAGCAAATATGCACACTTATCTTGGAAACAAAATTCATGTAGCAGCATCATTCTTAGGCACTAGGATAGTAAAATACTGACTATGTTGGAGGAGCCTGCATCTTTTAATGTTTCAAACAGAAATTTAGCACCATAGGAATGCTGTGAATCTAGGCCTTAATTGTTTCATAAAACTTGTTATCAATAACAGGTTACAGTAACTGTTACAATTAAGTTACAGAAATCATTTGATCGTCTAGCTGTGAGCAGATTTGTGATTGATCTGTAGCAGTTGTTATTGATCTGTAGCAGTTGTGATTGATCTGTAGCAGATGTGATTGATCTGTAGCAGTTGTGATTGATCTGTAGCAGTTGTTATTGATCTGTAGCAGTTGTGATTGATCTGTAGCAGTTGTGATTGATCTGTAGCAGTTGTGATTGATCTGTAGCAGTTGTGATTGATCTGTAGCAGTTGTGATTGATCTGTAGCAGGTGTTATTGATCTGTAGCAGTTGTTATTGATCTGTAGCAGTTGTTATTGATCTGTAGCAGTTGTTATTGATCTGTAGCAGTTGTGATTGATCTGTAGCAGTTGTGATTGATCTGTAGCAGGTGTTATTGATCTGTAGCAGTTGTTATTGATCTGTAGCAGTTGTGATTGATCTGTAGCAGGTGTTATTGATCTGTAGCAGGTGTTATTGATCTGTAGCAGTTGTTATTGATCTGTAGCAGTTGTGATTGATCTGTAGCAGGTGTTATTGATCTGTAGCAGGTGTTATTGATCTGTAGCAGTTGTTATTGATCTGTAGCAGTTGTTATTGATCTGTAGCAGTTGTTATTGAAAACATGTTTTATTAGCAAACAGGGCCCTGGTATCATGCTAATAACAGTTATCAAGTAATATATTAATAGAGTAAAAACGTATGCATCAAGCAGTTATAGGGTTAAATTTTGGCCATTTCCTGTAAACCTTTCCCTTTTCACCTTTTCAGAAGATGAGGTTTGTGACCCCAATGTCCCAGGTTGCCTCCTGATCAGGCAGAGTTACCTGACAAAGAACAGCAGTGGGCAACCTTGCGATGCTCCAAGAGAAAATCCTGCCTTGCAGGAGATCTCCAGGCTCGTAACAAGCGAGGGCAGTGTTATCAAGATGCTGAGAGATGGCAGCACACAGGTATTGATTTCTTCATTTTCAATTCTTATAAACAAGTTTTTATATTGATAAAAAATAAACAAATTTTGTGGATAATTCTGTTTTGCAACTATCCTTTGCTAACATAACCTTTCAGTTGAATTAAAGCTCAAAAGAAATTATGGGAAAGACAACGCAAACTATGAGTATACACGCTAGTGGGCCCAGGGTTGCTTGGTTAAGGTGTGACTCTAAAGTATATTAGTTTGACTAGGTGGTCAATATATCATTGAAAAACTGACCAAAAGTGAGGATCCATGCATTGGATATCAAGTCACAATCTTTGCACCAATCACAACTTTGTATCTGCGAGAGCTAACTAATTAATTTTTTTGATTTATAAACATTATTGACGATGGCCAAATGACGGAATGCAGTTTGAAATTGCTTTGAAGTGATGGATACGTACATGTATGGTTTGTAGTCTTCACCAAACTCCACTGGCCACTGATATTAATAATGATATTTCTGCTTATATAGCGCTTAATACATCGGCAAGTCCGTTTTCTAAGCGCTTTACATTTATTACCCCCGGTCATTGGATTCTGGCTTGCCCGCACACATTGTATGCACTTTCTCCACTCCCTGGGGAGCATTCCAGCATGAGCTACTAGGCTCCACTGATCTGTTCACATTCATCTTTGATGCCTCTATCCTGCAGGTGTTGTTTGCTAACGGTGCTGTAAGCAGCAGCCCAGCGATGCCTTCATCCTCCACCGCTAACCCAATGAGCCCCACCCCTCGGGACCAGTCTCCCCTGCGAGGGGGTAGCTCCCTCAGTCAGAGGAGTGAGAGCCCCTCTAAGAGAAGTGAGTCCAAGAATTGGTAGCTTTTCAATTTGAAGGATTTGTGTTTGTTGATCTTAATGGATGATATGTCTTTTCACAATACAATTCTGAGCACTATAAGGTGTGGACATAGACATAGACTTAAACTAAAACTTTGTTCAACTTCCTCAGAATTTGAAACCTATAATTTGTGTATTTAAGGTACTATGTCCCTTTTGCAGCCAACCTCAAATGCTGTAGAACTTTGCAGGAATTATGAATATGTCATGTATGTCCTATCTGTGAAATTTAAACGTTAGCAGTGTCCTCATATTCAAATTATGCAAGGAAACCCGTTTACTTGCTAGACTTCACTGTCAGACACTATTGAGTGACTGACTGGCTTTTTTCTTCTTTGGTAATAACATACATGAAAAGAGTTGTAAAGGGTACATGAGCATTTGTCTATATCAATAACCCACTTCTTGTGATGGCCAAGATTAAACTGATTGAATCTTTGCGCAGCATAAAACGTATGACCATTCGGTGCAATTGTCTGAAAATCAAGACTATTACTTTTGGGCTCTATAGCCCTATAAAGTCGATTTGACAACTAATATTCATTATTTTCCCACTTGAAGACATTTTCAAGCCCCACCTTTTTTTAGGGAAGTTCTAAATTAGTATTATCTTTCAAATGCAGTTGGAATTTAACTTTTTCATTTTTTTGGCCTGCAAATGGGACATAGTACCTTTAAGGCCTCTCAGGAAAACAGTTTTAATACTGAGACAGAGTCACCCTGTTTGAATAATACATATAAATAAAGAAGCTCATCTTTTCTAAAAACCCTCTCCTTGAATTGCTTTCTTTCTGTCTAGGTGCAAAGGGCAAGATCTCAGACCCCCTGGACCAAGAACAGCCTCTGCCGGAGTCCTGCTCCAGCCCGGAGTGGATAACGACCACACCCACCGGTCAGAGGATAGGGACACGCCCAGACGGAACCACCTTTGAGCCGACTGAGTGCCTCCTCTACAGCGCCACAGACCCCGTGTCTGGAGAGGTAATGGTCATTGCATGCCCTACTATCAGTATTAAAGGGATTGGGTATCTTTGCCTCAGATTCTAAACAAATCCTTGATTTAGCTCATGCTGCAAGCATAATTATAAACCTTTAGGTCAGTCAGGAATCCCATGACCTTTAACAGCCAATCGCCTCTCTGATTATCAAGATTTTTATGATTGGAATTCGAAATGTCCAAAACCGTTTTCTGAGGGTTTTTATAACACTGTACAGTCTATTGGGAAAAACAAGTATGGTAAAACCGGTCACTCAAAGATTTTAAACTTTTTTGAGGCACTTCGTGATCATTTTGAAGCACATTTTTATATTACACCATATTACAAACACTGATAACACGTAGGGACATGCATCTCTGATTTGTACAACTGGAGACATTGTTAAACAATTAAACTTGACTCTAAAAGTGGTGACATGACACATGCTCTGGCAACAGGTGCTCTGAGGTTAAGTGTCCTTCACTAACCAATTCATTACCACGACCCTATACCATAACCCTATACCACAACCCTATATACCATAACGCTATACCATAACCCTATACCATAACGCTATACCATAACCCTATACCATAACCCTATACCCAACCCTTTACCACAACCCTATACCATAACCCTATACCACAACCCTATACCATAACGCTATACCATAACCCTATACCACAACCCTATACCCAACACTATACCTAACCCTATACCATAACCCTATACCCAACCCCCATAACTTAACCCAAACCCTAAACCTTAAAGTAAAAGCCAATTACAACCCTAACCCAATCCTGTTGATGAAATAAATCCCACAGCAATTGTTTCTGGAGCACGGTTAAAATAAATACCATATATTCCAGCGTATATTCCAGAGTAATACAGTGTAGGAAGAAAAAAAAGAAGAGATACAGAATAAGATTATTTTTGGTTGTTCATTGGTTCCCTTAAAACTTTTTCCACCAGGTTCTTACTACCAGAGAGGATCGGGTCATCACAGTAGAACGTCCAAACAAGATGCTCATTGTTGATCACAATGAGGGGACGCGAATCACTACCTATTACAAGAAGGTTATCTTTAGACAGCAGTGTGATGAAGCGAATGAAACAGGTAAGTCTTAAAACTGTTGTTAAAGATCTTGCTCCATGGATAAATTCTGCTTAAAGCCCCACTGCACTACTTATAGCTACTTGCGCCCTCTATATAGCAAACAATGACTAATTGGTGCCTGTTGGTCCCCCATGATCCCCTTTTCCTCATGTTAATTGATAGCTGATTTGATGAGATAACCACCTGTCAGTGACCTTGCAGGGAGGTCTAATCCCTCCTGGCAAAACTACTGCAGAGTCGTACAGGCTTTAAAACTATTTTGAAAATCTTTGAAACATAATGAAAGTTTCAAGCAAAATGCCTATTGTTTCATGCGTATACATAACGATTTGAGTGGAGACTGATGTTTTACAAAAATAGTGTCATTGGCATGATGTATGTTACATGGCTCAGATATGCCGCAATTTATTGCAGGATGATTCTTAAAATACTGTAATGCAAGTTGTTCATGATTATTGCTTTGACCCTTTTCAGGAGAGATTCCTGTATCAGGTATCAGAGACGTCAAACACGTCAAGGTGGAGTGTGTGGGATATGCAACGGTCATCTTCAACTGTGAAGACAGTGTTGCCACAACCATATTCGGTAATGGGTCCGAGATCATTGCCATTCCAGATGGTTCCTATGAGATCCTGCATTGCGAGGGTTCCAGAATGGCTGTTGGCATTGAGGGAACTGTGCGGTATACGCCCAAGGAGGCTGAGAGCGGTGAGCCGAGCTTGATTGGATCGTACACAATGCAGCATAACGATGTGGTTGCTGTAGAGACTTGCGACTCGGATGGAAACCATTTTGGGGTGAAGTGGAATGGAGACATCTACACGTCGCTTGTCCCAAGCGAGGAGCGTAAGGTGTCCCTTGATGGAGAAGGAGAGGAGGAGGAAGCTGAGAAAGTTCTTGGGAAGATGTCTCCTATTCCAAGATTCTTTGTCATCCACCCTGATGGAAGCGGCACAGAGATGCTCCGGCAGCAAGACATTGCGCCTTACGTCCACCAAGCTGGGATGGATCCCAACGTGGCCGTCCTCAAAGACCCTATCCCTGATCACCCTGAGATCAATGGTATCACCATCATGCAGCCTCACACCTCCACCGTAAGCCAGAAGTGGCTCAACCGGTTTGACGAACCCAACATAATCCCAAGGAATCTCCGCTCCCGAGGGTTCGACAAGCTTCCTGCCATGGAGGCCAAGACTCCAGGCCCCAAGTTTGGGACCAAGGTTGGAAAGGGTGTGGCCGTCAACAACGTGCCCCGCCCTCAGCAGCGAGGACCGGTCCCTCAGTGTCCCAAGCAGCTTCAGCTGAGGCAGTTTGTGGCCTACCACCCCATGGAGAAGGAGCTGAGAGGAAAGATGAAGGAGGGACTTGAAGCATATGCCAAGGAGATGAAGGAGAAGATGATGGTAGCCAAACAGAGGGCCATCAAGGACCCTCGCTCTCAGCAGGAGAGGGTCAAATCAGGAGATCTTCTGGCTCACATACTGGCACAGGTTGGTCTCTTGTTAATGTTGAAGCACAAACATTTGGGTGCAAGAAACTTGCATATAACACAAATGTGGTCCTACTTTTGTAATGTTTCTCCTGCAGAATAAGTTAATTCTAACTCTAACATTTGTGCTTGTTGGAAAAACATGAATTGCCACAAAAATGGTCATCATTAGCAATTAGTGAAAGATTGTCCAAGTTTTCAGTTTTGCAGTATTCATTATACTCTCCAGAACAACAGAATTAGATGTATGATCATTTTCATGAAGCTTTTAAACCTAGATTATATAATGGCAATGTCCCTCTAGGTATGAATTTCAAAACAGAAGAAGTGGAGCAATTTAATGACAATTAAAGCTTGAAAAGTGAAAAAGATTTGTAAGCATTGGTCATCAATTCTCTGGTTGTTTATTTCTTTCAATGCCACTACAGTTTCTTAAATGAAAACAATTTTTTTTTTTTTACATGATTGTTTACAACTTGTCAGAAGAAAAAATATATTGAAGACAATAGGTTAATTTGTTCGTTCGTATCTCCTTAGATCAAGATTAATGTAAAGTTCCTATATTAAACTTAAATTAAATTTAATTAAGTTCTTCCATCGCCTGATGGCTGTCCCATTTACAAGATCAAGATCAAAGCAATAGGTAGAATCATTATAATTTCATTTTTCATTGTGACAGCTTGAAGATGACATTCCCAAGGAGAGTGATGGAACCCAGCCCACCTTCACTGAAGCACCTCCTGCTAGCCAGGGCCCTACCAGCACCAAGCCTGTAAGACCCCTCAACGTGCAGGCAGAGGATAATGCAATGACCCTCTACGAGATGTCTACCGCGCCCCCTCCTCAACCCGCTCCTCCGAGACCTAAACCAAAGTACACAGATGCAGACTGGGAGAGGGTCAGGTAGGAGCAACTTCTGACATTCTTTCCTCTCCTTTCCATGTTTCCTCTTGATTATATGTAATAATAATAATAATAATAGTGGGTTCTTGTATAGCGCTCATGTCTTTCAGACCTGACACTACTGGCGCTCCCGATTATAACCCCGGCTTTAGCACGGCTACCATTACACAGCTCTAGCATTTCAAGGAATTAATTCCTGCCAGGTACCCATTTACATCACCTGGGTTGAGTGTGGCAGATGTAGATCAAAGTCTTGCCAAAAGACATTAGTGCCGCGGCGGGACTCGAACCGCGGACCTTGTGATCGACAGTCCGGTTACATATCCACTCGACCACCACCACAACACCTCTACACTATGAATACTTTTTTATTAAGATAATATTCTGGAGTTTCTTTGTTGCGCATATGAAATTCACATACTTAAAAGCTGGCATGGTCTAGTGGATAAGTTTCCACACTTTAAACCACAAGGTACGGGTTTCGAATCCCTGTCACAGCACCAACGTTCTTAGGCAAGACATCAATCTACATTTGCCACTCTCCACCCAGGTGTATTAAATGGGTAGTGACCACCTGTATACCTGTAGCTATGAAGACCACATTTTTCATGTCCCTTGAATATTGTTTCTCATTGAAACCTGTATTAAATGAACCTGAACTTAAAGACCACCTGACTGTAAAGACCACTTTTCATGTTTCCCTTTAGTGGTCTCTATATGACTGTAATATAATTTATTTAAAAAGCCTTAACCTTAAAGCCCCACTGCACTCGTTTGGCCAGGAGGATAAGACCTCCCTGCATATGGTCACTGACAGGTGGTTATCTCATCAAATCAGCTCTCAATTAACATAAGAAAAAGGCGACAATGGGAGACCAATGGTCACCAATTAGGCATTGTTTGCTATATAGAGGGTGCAAGTAGCTGTAAGTAGTGCAGTGGGGCTTTAAAACTCATTATGCTTATCAAAACTTGATGTTCCCGTGCAGGAGAGAGCATGAAGAAGAGAAGGCGTGTCGGGATGCCCTGCTCACCCGGACGGTACCGCCTTACTTTGAGAGTGACTGGGGCAAGGCATTCAAGAGAGCAGAGGAAGCCGTGGCTAACGGTGAGCCTGCCCCAGACATGGAGGCCCTTACCAAAGACTTGCCTGCCAATCGCCCTGGTGTCAGCACGGCAATGAGTCTGCCAAGTACCCCTGCGGACTCCCCTGCTGCCCCCTCTGCTCAGCCAGGTCAGTTTGAGTCTAGATGCCAAAGGTCTCTGAGCTACTGAGCATGATTACAATAAATGCCTGTTGTAATATCTACTAAGTCTGATAAGTTTCAAGATGATCGCACAGTGATTCATAGATTGTTGTACCTCACCATTTTATTGTTACCATTATCTGTAAAGTCACATGGATTAGAAAAGAAAACCTTCGGGTTATAGGTATTTAGTTAATCTTTTCTTTTCCCGCCATCCCTGTGACTCTTTTTCAAATGTACTTTTGTTTTGTATTCACTAATTTATTTGTTTTTGCTGAATAAATAATAATGATATTAATAAAAAATTATGGGTCCTGTTACATGTCTTGACCGATTATATCTCTCCTTCGGTCAAGTGTACCTCAATTAAATTGATGATAAAGAAATTCATACAATCCATTGCGAGGTGCTATCAATAGTACATGTACATGTAGCAGGAATGTCAATTTTTATGTTGATATTTTATGTTACAGCTAGGGCTTAGAATTTTAGAATAAAAAAATATAATGTTGATCTTCCCGTTAATTTTACTGTATATAGGTGGTAGCAGCTCTGCCCAGCCAAGCGATATCTCTGAGAGTATATCCCCCATGAAGGCTGCCACCGCAGGGGGGTCAAACCAGACCATCACATATGGGATGCAATCCTCCACTCCATCAGCTCAGCAAGGTAAAAATGATGACAGGATTTAGAAGGAAATGGAATTTTGATTCCTTATATGGAATAAAATTTGTTATTATTGCAGATTTCTACTTAACTGCCCCCCACTCCCCCCCCCCCCCCCCCCAAGTGTTGGAACAGCTAGGCTCCCTTCCTCATCTGAAATCATCAGCAATTGTTTGAACAATGCAGTCTGAGTTTGAAAATGTACATGTACTAGCTGTACCTTTTCTACAATCCTATGCAGCTATTGAGCTTCCCTTATAAGTATTATTTAGAAATGGTAATTTAGTTTATTCATGTATCTAATACCAATTTGAAGAAAACACAAAAAGAAATTATTTCATTTGCTTTTTGTATTTTATAAGAATGTGGCATTTTCTGTTCATAGCAGGCAGAATGAAGAGCTGAGACAAATTTCTTGTAGGTCGCGCCCTGTTATTTATCACATATTCGACTTACGATATTCGTGACAACGGGATTGAGTCATGCACTCGTGATTGGTCAGTCATGTCATGCATGGAGCTCCTAATAGTTCCCTCCCATGGAGATTGTATGTGGGAGGGAGGCAACTATTAGGAGCTCAGTAATTTATCCTATGACGGCGCATGTCACAACTACATACTTAGGCATCTCTTTCAATACGCTATGTTTAATCAATATTATTAGTAATATTATTTTTTATTATTTGGTGTCACCTGTGCCTGGGAGGCGAAAAGCGACTAAATCACTGTAACCCTCAGGTCTTCTACTCTCGCTATAACTAATTGGGGATTTGCAGGTGGACCACTATACACCAGGGTTTCCTCACGCTCTTCTATGAATAGTGCAGTGGGTTCATAACGTGCAAAGGTGTTGACTGCATGTCTTCTACACTGGGCCTCCATTTAACATCCTATCCTATGTTCATTGTCTCCCGCTTCCATCCACTTGCCTATATAGGTCTGGTTCCAGCCAGCCCCTCTGACACACGACCCAACAACCCCACCCCAGGGCATGCTACCGGCCAGGGTACCCCTACTGCTCTTAGACCAACCAACCCCACCCCAGCACATGCTTCACATCCTCAAGGCACTGGAAGACCAGGTAACACATCTTCAATCAATCACAATTAACCCTCTTCCATTTTCTATAGTTCAATTTCATGTTATTCTAATTCTAACAATATGTTTACTTTAATTATGTTTAATTTGTTTCAATATTTGTACTTGATGAATTAAAGTAGATTGAATGTAACAGGAAGATGATCCTTTTATGAAAGCAATTATGTTGTGTTATTAATACTTTTGGTTTTGTTAATTCAACAATGAGAGTTTTACAAGTGTCTATTATAAAGACTCAGAAGAACAGAGTTTCGGGGGAGAATTAACTTTTTTTAATGTTCAAAATCATGTTGTTTGGCTTTATAGAAAAAATGATTACCGGTACATTTTTCTTTTAACATGCTGCAAAGAGGGTCACAGTGAAAAAAGTTATTTTGTTGAATTATTAGGCTACCTCAACATTTCTGCTTTTCCTGTTTGATATGCATTCCAAAGAATTCAAGCCTGAGTTTGTGCATGGTTTTAGGCTTATAGTTATAGATACAATTTTCTTTTTTTACAGATTTTTAGAATTTGTTTGACTTGATTTTAATGGCAATTTTGCCTCATTCCCTCACTAATTATGGTGTTATCGTTGTTGTGTTTTGCATTGTTTTGTCTTGTTTTATCTAACCCCCGGCAGTAAACCCCACCCCGCAGAGTGCGAGTGAGCACATCCTGCCCAGTGAGACCCCCTCCAGCTATGCCTCATTCCCTGCCCACCCCTCCACCATACCTGAAATGGCGGAGGAGGGGCCCCTTACCAATCGGTCTGCTATGACAGGTGAGTGCTATAGGAAAGATGATGGTTGAAATCAATATGATGATGAAGATGAAGATTGTAAAATGTGGTTACTATTGCATACTCTGTATACTTCAATGCAACACAATATACAAATAATGAATGGTTATGAGTTCAATAGTGCGAATATTTTCACGAGTTGAAAGATTAACATTCTATTCAACGAGGCGTCAGCCGAGTTGAATAGAATTAATGTTAATCTTTCAACGAATGAAAATATTCGCACCATTGAACGAATGAAAAACATTCATTATTTGTTTTATACAACATCGAAGAAGATCTAATAGAACGTTAATCAACAAATTATGCTTTACTCCATAAATTCAAGTTGGATTCAAGCCTTCTCGATTACATTCAGATTGCCTTCGCGTCAGATACACGCAGTGATACGCGCGCACACGGCAGAGAGGTACGCAGTCTGCATATAACCAAAAATGCACGGCGCATATAACCAAAAATGCACGACCGTGCAATATACCATCTATTGAATATCATGTGACCAACAATCCTCCAATCAAATGACAGGGATCCACGTAGGTGTTGTATAATATATAAGTATGAGCGGATAGAATGAGAACAAATGTCCAGAGTGCCATTAGGTCAGGGTCAAAGTTCTCAAGACAAATCAGCAATGTCCGGGTGAATGTACAGGTATGTTGTGAGAAAAGATTTTTCACTTATTAGCATTCTCTTAACAGTTATTCAGCTTTACCTTGGCATAACATAATAACGTTTTAATAGCCCGCTATTTTAACTATCCCGATCACAAATTAACAAGTTTATTTGCGTATTCATCAGACCGCAGTTGCATTAGCAGGATATTTGGTCGAGAAAACATCCTGAGAAATCTTGGTCTTGTTTCCAAAATATCCCGCTATTTGGGAAATAGCGGGCTAATTTCAATTGCGCTCATTCAAGCTAATTTATGATGAGCGTATCAGTCTAGTGAGGACGCAATTTCAAGCTTCGTGGGATAATATCCCGAGTCTGAAAATAGCAGGTTATTTAGCAAACTTGAGCTGATGAAAACAGACCTATTTACACTCTCTCCTTCCTTCTCACCTAGCTTTGTCCTGCATCCCATCTTACCCGTTCATCCTCTTCTGTCCTCTTTATATGTCTCAACAATTAGAGTCTTCTCTTTCTTACTTCTCTCTTCTCACTAGTGTCTGCACTTTGTCATTCCTCCTCCAATCCTGCAATCCCAGCTACTTACGCCTTCCACTGCGCTCAGATACCTCATCTCTGCAAGATCCATCTTTTTCATGGTCAATGTCAAACTTTTTCATGCATACATGTATAAAAAAAAATTAAAAATTACTGTAATTCTATTATTGCAAAATTATGTCCTGAATTATGTTAAACTTTAACTTATGTGTGTGTATTTTACTTTCTTTATTGAATCACTTGATGGTCATATATGCCCACAATTATACAATTTTCACACAACTGCGCCATGAGTGTCATTTTTGACAGACATAGCGCATTATAAATGTTCGCTCACTATTATTATTATAATCCAGCTAGAAAATTTACACACTCTTCTGTTTTTTTCTTCAACACATCAGGAAGTATCTCTCCCGAGCTGAAGACAGCCTTCCAGACCCGGATTAACGATGTCCCCATGGAGTCTCGTCCCAACGTCATTCCCTCTGCCGGGAGTGATATCGTCCTCACCCGTAGCCTGCTGGTGGATGTCAATGGTGAACCGAGGCAAGACGCCGTCAGACTGCCAGCAGCCATCTTGGGGCAGAAGCCCGGAGCATTGCCTAACAGCAGGGTAAGGGCGAGATAGGAACCATGCCATACCCATTTTCTTGTAGCTACCTTGTTCCTCATAGCTTTAACTTGAAGCAGAACTGAAGAGAGGCATTCAATATTTCTTTCAATCTTAATTGATGGTAATGTGTACTCTCTAAATTTATGAATTTCATGAACATCAACCTTTTCAGGTTTATGTGCTCCTGTTCCTGTGAAGATAAATAAAGAATGCGTGATTGGGGGAGAAAAGGACAGTTTTAGATATCTGAAATTGTCAATCCAGATTGCTGATGCATTAATTATGATAATTTTGTAAGATTTGCCTCAAAATTTTAAATCTTTTATATATGTACACATGTGACCTATTTATTCCTGGTCAAGCCATTACAATTGCTCAATATTACGTGGAATAATCTTCAGAAAGGTCATTGGGTGCAGCATGTACAACACCAATATTTAGCACCACACTAGAAATAGATCTTACATTGTGTCCATGCAACTCTACTTTGTTCACTTTCCATAATCCCATAGACAACTCAGATCTTCTAACTCTTCTCTTCTTGTAGTCCCAAGAACAACAAAATCTTTTAGGGATCAATATTTTGCATAAGCTAGATCAGTTCTTTGGAATCAATTACCACAGCCTCTAGGAAATAGCATCCGGAAACTCATTCAAGTCTTCTCTTAAAACTCAATTGATCAAAACCGCTTTTGATTAATTCAATATATCTGCATTTCATTATGTCATTCATTTATATCTCCTTATTGTATATTTGTTAAATTTTTTCATCAATTGTATTGTTCATGTGCTTTGTATTGCAATTTACATCTAATTATTGTTAATTTTTTTCATGTATATAAAGTCTCATATACCTTGAGGATTTATGCCCATGCCAGGGTATCGTGATTTTCAAATAGTAATCATTATTATTATCATTGTATGATCTCATGCACAACAGTTTGATGAGCTAGAGGATTCAGTCCGTCGTAAGATCTTCACATCCTCCATCGCTGGAGCGCAGGCCAAGGGTATGGCTGACCTATCACGCATGAGAGGTTTCGAGCTGGTGCCGGGAGAGGTCAACTTTGGCACTCTGCGAGAGGGCTGCACCTACGCCTTCCAGGTCAACCTGAAGAACGTCGGGGTGGACAGCTGTCGGTACAAGGTGCGGCAACCTCCTCCAGGGACAGGACTACAGGTGGTCTACACTCCGGGACCGGTAAGTAACATTTAGGACCAGGAACCCCTTTGTAGCTCAGTTGTTATAGTCAGGGAAACCTGTCTATGAAGGCCTTTAAAGGAGGTGTAGCATGAAGAGACTATGTGTCTTTCCCGTGGCCTGACTCGGGGGCAACATGACGCGACAGCAGTATTCACGTGCCTGCAACATATGCAAAACCGAAGCGTGAGGAGAACTTCGGTCTGTTTCGCGAACGCTTGTTGTCTAAAAGAAGTCTTAGATTTTCATTATTATTAGTTATTTTATTATTATTGCCATGCTACACCCCCTTTAGGGGTGAAACTTACTATAAGAGAAACCTCAGTGGGAGAGGGGTGAAGGAACAACTATTGACATGTTACATTTCTAATCAAGTTCTACCATTTGTATTTGTATTTCATAAGGAGACAATAAAGGTGATCACTCTAGATGAAGAACCTTGTAGGAATCAATTGATTTGTGAACCAAGTAACATGACTATATTTTGGTCACCCCCCAATAGAACAGCTAAGGAAAATGAAAGTTTCTGTCATTTGGCTAAAAGTGAAATCATGCAGTTCTTGAGGTCACCCGACCGCAAATGTGTATTTCTTACAGTGCATAAAGCAGTAAAACTAATGTACTATTGAATGTTGAGGGATATGTATGTGACCTTTCATTGAGACACACAGCATAGCCAGTGCTGTAGTATAGTACCATTACTGTTACAGTCCCATAAAGTTGGCTATGAATTTTTCATGGCATGCAATGCATCTTTGTGTTTACCATGTCCCTGAACATATGTTATCGTTTCCCTCTGTAGGTGGCAGCAGACATGAAGGCCAAAGAAGAGCTAGTGTCCTCTATGCCGTTATAGCTGCTTCGGTGGGAGATAAGAGTAATATGATATTATGAAATGGATTGAATTGAATTGAATTGAATTACTATTGTTTTGATCTGTAGGTTGCAGCAGGTATGAAGGCCAAGCTGGAGCTAGTCCTCTATGCCATAGCTGTAGGAGTGGAAGGAGAAAGTGGGCATGGTTCCATAGATCATCACATTGAGATCACCACGGAAACAGAACTCATGTACCTTCCCGTCTCAGCTGATATCCTTTTCAAAGCATGTCTCTTTTAGTTGATCTACTTCCACCAAAGAATTGTTTGGAAAATAAAGAATAGCTAGGAGCTCAACTATGAACTTTATACACAGAAATCCCCATTACTAATAAAACAGTTGGTTTTTAAGTGTTTTGATTCAATGAAGCAATTCCAAACTGTTTGAGATGGGAATTTGTTTGAGCTGGCAACTGTTTGAGCATAATGTATTTCAGATTTCTTCAATGTCTGCTCTTTCATAGTTCTTGAGTGATAGCTAGAAGCACTTTTATTACACCCTGTCTGTCTTTCAATTGATTGTAGGATGGAGTGGGTTTAATTATTCTATTAAGTCATCAACAACATTCATGATTTTATAAATGTAATGCTTCCTGAGATAAATTTCAATCATTTAAAACATACTTGTGGCTTACACCCAGTAAATAAGATCAAATGATCGATCTGTAATGAAAAACAAGTCAGAAAAAAATCTTTGAACATTCATGGTCTTATGAAACAATTAAAAATAATAGTTGGCTACACCTTTGAGGCAAGTATTGGTAGTCTGAGCAATAAATACGGAGAAAGGTGGGAAAGGAGCATTGCTTAATCCAAATTGGTACCTTTTCTTGCACTTACAACATGTATCTCTCTGTGCTAATCAATGCACAGATTGATGTTGGGGGATGGGGTAAAATGGGAAGAAACATAATTGTTTTGATGTATTCTATTCCATTGAGAATAAGCCACTCTGTAAACTTCATAATCCTTGACTGCATGGCACATATCTTGACAGCGGCTGAGTATGATGAGAGGACCCATGTTGGTAGGCAACCCAAGGTGTCACCTGGCATCCGACTGATCGCTACAAGACCGCCCTCTAGAGAGGGAATCATCAGACCAAGGAAAGACATACCACAACGTGAGTATTATTATTCTTTTCTGTGTTCTTATTATACCTTTTAAAGCCCATCTGTACTAGTTTACAGAAGGAATTAGACCACCCTGCAAGATCACTGACGGGTGGTTATCTCATCAAATCAGCTCTCACTTAACATAAGAAGAAGAGGATAATGAGGGAACAATGGTCACTGATTAGGCATCGTTTGCTATATAGAGGGCGCAAGTAGCTATAAGTAGTGCAGTGGGGCTTTAAAACAATTTTTGTTTTAACAACAAAAGTTTTTTGTAATGGATTATATATCTGACTGGTCATGTTGAAGAAAGAGGGGAATCTACTAGTTTGGAAGTCTCTTTCAATTTTATCTTTTGCATTTGTTAGTTGAGCTAACATCAGTTTCAAGATATTTTTCATCAAAAGAAAGTATGTATAAAAGTAATGTTGATGTCGCGCTGGATCGTACAGGTGGTCGTACAGGTGGTTATACAGACTTTGTTTTTTGTTATTTTACAATGCCATTGATTTCATCAATTTGCTTTCTCTTCTTCTTCTTCTGCCTTTTCTTCTTCCACTTCTTTTTTCGTCTTCCTCTTCCTCTTTCTTCCCTTCTTCACCTTCTCCTACTTATCACTATTATATTATTCTCTTTACTCTTTATTTCTATCTCTCGTTTCTTCTCAAATTCACTCTCCTCGTACGTCTCTTGAATCTCATACTATACTATTCCGTTTTCGCCTCCTATAATACCTTTTAAATCCAGACCTACTATATTGTGTTACTCAGTACGGGAGCCTATTCACATACAAGCTATGCTTTTTATTTAGGCTCCCCACATTTTAAATTGTTCTACCCTATACATATTTCGAAATTTCGTACTTATTTTCCGTACATTATATTTGATCTGAATTCTCTAATTTTGTTTAAAAAATTTTTTTTTCTTTTTTTTTCTTCTGTGAAATCTATTCTTATAATAATATACGACTGTATAAAAAAAGAAAAAAAAAGAATATAAACTGTTTTTCTATGTAAAATGTGGAATAAATAAACTTCAAACTTCAAACTTCAAAAGAAGGCATATTTTATATACTTTACCGAAAGTTGTTTTTGTCCATTACATACCCTGATCTTCATCTGCCTCTCTATAGTGTTTAGTACTTATTTTGTACATGTAATTCAATTCAGTTCAGGTCATTTCCATGTAAAGGGGTAGCTGCTAGAAAAATAAGTGAAAGAGATGATCTTCAATGTCTCAGTGCCTTACAGCAGCTTGGCTAAAGCCAGGATGATAACACATCGTTGATGGTGCCCAAGTACCGGTACCAATTAAGATGTATATGTGCACATTATAACTATAGTTATCAGCATATATTCATAAAGGTTTTCTTTTTCTTTTGTATAGAATCCCAAGAGAATCTGGACATGTAGCTTCCTAGATGATCACAAGATGATTCAAGATGATCACAAGATGATTCAAGATGATCACAAGATGATTCAAAATGATCATCCTCATCATCCTCGGACCCACTTGTAGAAATGAAACAGGGAAAGGATAAGAAAAATAGGTCCAGTTAAAGTTTAGAGGACACCCAGTCTACTTGATATTTTGAGCTTTTATCAGCTGAAACAGTTACTTCGAGACATATCATCTGATCTGTAGAGAATGTGCATTTTAAAAAAGTCCTTTTTAACTTCAGAAGATACTAGTAGTTTGGTACCAACTCCTGATAACAGTTACATTTTATAGGGGATCAGCAACCCTTTTTTGGAAAAGATAAACTGTATGCACTTTCAAACTTACATGTATTTTCATAAATGCCTTAACTGCTTGATATAGATTTATATGTACCAACTGATGTGCTTAAACGAGTGATTAAAGTTGTTACAGTGAGTCTTACATTATAAAGTGACTGGCATGATTGTTACCCCTGCTTAGAAGCAAAGTCACATTCTTCAACATTTGATATGAAATGGGATTGAAGAAAAATATGTCCATATAAATGTAGATGTTATTTATTCTCACAAGTTTTAAATAGGTAATGAATGTGTGATTTTAATAACTACATTATTGAAGATGAAGAAGACAATTAAGAAAACTCGGGATCCTTGAGAATATTTCTCAAACATGGTTTGTGACATGGCATTGAAACTTGTGTTGTCTTTGTGATACTCTATTATGCAGTGGGAATCATACTGTATGTATATATTATTCAAATGTTACAGTGAATTTTGTAGTGTACGTCTATTTTCCGTCCCATCTTGCAATAATTCCTTGCATTTCTGCTTCTATTGTATAAAACTGTATTCCATATGACATTGATTCCATCCTTTTTATATATTCCTTCTTTTAAGACAAAGAATTTATATTGATTTAAAAGTGTATAATATAACCTATCTTGTATAATATTGTATTTTGAAAGTGGAGATGTGCTTTAGTGTATTTTGTAAAGAAAGATTTGATTCAACTTATCGACCTTGAGTTTTTGTATGAAATGACTGTGTAAATAAACTACATTTGGTACATGCATTATGAACTATATGAAAATTATCTCGCATCGGTATTTCAAAGATGAATGTTGTGAGCGAGGTGATTTGTATAAAGAGATGGACTTTTTCATAAATGGAGGAATGTTTTGAATGAGATAAAGGATATCTGTAAAATGAGGTGTTAAATCATAACGGGATGACGAGAACAGGACGTAAGAATGTTAGTAAACCAATCTACTTTGTGCATTTGAGCTGATTTGGGTTTGTATGACAAAGTTGCTTTTGATCTAACAAAATACAATACTGTAGGTAACATAATGAAGACAACTGAAGAAACTCAAAATTTAACAATACCATGATCATATTTATTGCTATACACAATATATTTTAACCAGCAATATTCTTCCTAGTATACAATTCAAAATTCAAAATAATTCCATCCAAAAATACAGTTTTCATAAGACAATTACCAGGCAAAATCAAAGGTGGTTCAGAAATAAACAAAATGAATTTCATGTCAATTGTGCTCAACACTTTATGGCCAGGTAATAAACGGATCGGAATTTGCACTAATCGTACTCCATTCTATAACTGAATTTACATGCATGCATATTGACTATAAAACAGTCACATAAAATGGCGGACAAGACTTAAACAATGTGTGTTCTAAAAATTGTTGCGTTGTGACCGCTTTGTGACTGAAAAACAAGTAAAGGGCAAGGATGACAACATATTTGAATATTTGGCAACCACATTTTTTTCTGACATTGTTCACCAAAAGGTACTGCATACATACTGTATGGTACTATTACAAACTTTGATGTATATATATAATGATAATCCAGTGGACTTGCACACATATGCTAGTAATAGGCTATGGCATACTGGTCAGGTTTTTTCAGTTCACTTTTCCCCTAGTATTGCTGGGTTAGGGAAAACATCAATACATGTACTACATTTTGAGCTGTAAGAAGAGCTAAAATACATTTTAAGTCATTACACATGTGGCAGGAATAATATTCTGACACTAACATACAACTATCATGCATGAACTTTCACATCACTGCAAATCCAAAAATAACTCTACATTTCATATTTTTGCTAAAGGGTAACTTTTGTCCAGCATGGTAGGAAAGTAACCAGATTGATATATGCTATAAACATTGGTGAGTCAGAAAAATAAAATGATAATCTCAGCACAATTATCTTTAACCTCTTTGCTACTAAAAGCCTATAAATGTATTTCAATATTAACTATCATAAATCAGCCAATAAAATCACATTATCCATTTGGTCTTCTACCATATCAATCAAACAAACAATAAAGTCATGATTAATAACCCCATGAAATCCTCCAATTATCACACTCAGGTAATATAATCATTTACTCTTTAAACAGGACTTGATAATTCTGTAATTAACATAGAAACATATCAGACAACATTATTTCATAACACTCATAACTTTTCTTTTTCAGCAGGGTTTTGGTGGTATATCTGAGAACCAAATTCCATGGCTTTCCATTAACAACTTTTGCCTTTTTTCCATGACCAAATGGCATATAAGTACGTACCATTTTGGCATTCTTTGCAGCAGCCAAGCTGCCACAGCCACATACGGCCCACACCCACAATCAAATTTCCATGTCTTTGAGAGATTTTTTTTCTTCCCTTTTTCAGAAGAATTTACTTCCCCCTGATTTTCCAGGTTTTTCCATGACAGTGGTAACCTTTTTCAAGGTTTCTCAATAATTATATAAATATTACACATAATACACAGCAGTGAGGGCATTAGTAAGAATTACCCACACAAAGTAACATGCCTCATGATGTTTTATCTTTTATAAAATGATGTTTTATAACATGATTTTACTAATGACCGGTCATTAGTAAAAACTTAGGCAAAATAAATGCCTGGTCACGTGTACGCTCCCAACCAATCATTTGATTAGGATCCACGTCATCATCTTATAAACATCAAAACCTGTATTAAACAGTGTTGACCGATAGCACCCTTTTTTGTGCAGACACAACTCCAATATCTTGGAGAAACATTCAATCACCTTTAACATGGATCATATTCCCAAACTCTCTGATTGTTTGGTAGACTAATGCAACAAGTATTGGACTGCCACAATTGATTTTTGTCACATGTATATAATCACATGGAACAAAATATTATTTTCCACACAAAGCGGCAGTATAGGATTTCGATTGGCAACAAATCAAAGAGTAACTTAGTAATTCCACACACATCACTCAAAAAAGTTTACAGGCAGAATATTCATAAAATACGTAAACAAAGATTAATCTTTTTCAAGTGATACAACTAGTAAAGCCATTATTTTCATGTGATTAATTTTTTGCACACAGCGACCCAAAACATATTCACTGGTTCTTAAATTTGCGTTGCATGCATTTAAACCCGTCCAAAACATGCATAAAAAGTCATGCTTATGTTTTTGCGACTTCTAAAGTTCGCGCTTGCCGATCTTAGCACAAAATACGCGAAAAAGTAATGTAACAGAAATATTTCTACTTTTATAGCAGTTGAATGAAAACTCATGAATATTACTGTCTAATCTAAACAACTCACTCAACTGACACACTGCAAACAAAACTATACGATAATCATTACCAGTAGTTGAGATTAGATTTTAAAATTGTTATAAAAGTACATTCATGATAAGTGAAATAGAGGGAAAAAAATCACTTTTAAAATCTCAATATGAATCACATTTAAAAGAAACATGATGCCATACAATTAAAACCAAAACTAAGATGAAAAAGAGCATTTTCGACCATTAAATAGAATTCAAGGTATTACAAGGTAATTCTCTCATAAATAATCATAATGCAGATCAGCTACTGTCACAATTCTTTGTCAAACTTAATACGTCAATGGTCATGATTAATACATCGTTGTGATATTACTTCAAAAACATTTTTAAATGTGTTGTCATCTGAATTCAAAAGGGTCACAAACTTGACTTAGTACACTTCTATGAACATTGTTCTACAGATATGATTTTAAGAATATGTGTAAGATCGTTCAAAAAAATAAAAGAGAGGAATGAATAGAGTTAAAAACAGATAAAATTAAGCATGATTTATCTAAAAATCTTTACTAACATTGCAAACTATGACTTGGTAGGATTTCAAAATGACATGTCACAAATCATATTTGACAGGATGGCAAAGAAACTATAAGTAACAGTGGGATAAAAGGAAACAAAAACAAAGTAAATTATCAACTCTTATTTTTACTTAAAAAGTGGAACATGAAATGATGACAGGTATTAAATAAGATGTCATGAATTGCACTGGATAATATTTCAGCGCATAATCATAATACATGTAAGATCAATGATGCAATGAACATTGCTGTTTTATATACTGTTATGTAAACATCAACTATTGTACTAAAATAAACATGAGGATTATTCAATGTTTGAAGTGATGATACTGTGATGCTTGGCTATGGGTGGTAAATTTAGGACCTTGAGATCAAACAGGTAGACCACCCCTCTTTCCTAACGGATCCATTAAATATAAGGGCTTGCAGATACTGGGTTGTAGCTTAGGTAAAGCCATCAGCAACTTTAGGGGTTAGGTTGTGACATCTTTTTCGGTACGACTAAATTCAAAACCCTCTCTTCAACACTAATCTTTTTCGAGCCATAAACATACAGTGTATTGGTTTGGGCAGCTTTTTGACAACTCATGGAAAATCTGGTTTCTCCTGTATCTATAAATGTATAATGAACAGGTGGGAAGGTTATATAGAAAGAGATAAGTAACAGGTACATGTAAACCTGAAACATAATGGATGTATTCCAATCTCCCATCCAATCTGGTAATTTGTAAAGCACCAATATCTAACTGCCCAACAGGGTCTCTAATATACATGTAAGATTGGATAGAGATATACATACATGCCAACATTTGAAAATCAGAAATCTGTACAAATTATGCTATTTAAAAAAAAAAGAGGAACAATCCTAACTCTCCTATTCAATACTACAGACAAATTTGTACAGGAAGAGGAACACCTGCATTAAAATGATAATTATCATCTCCCAAAAAGAGGAATGTTCCTCTTTAATCTGAACAGTTGGCATGTATGGATATACATGTACCTCTCTTGAAACAATGTGAGTGGTTGTTTAGGCCATGGCTTCGATGATAGGGGTATAGAGCTTATCCTTGCAGTTGGAAAGTTTGTTCCCGGGAGTATGGACTACCCCTCCTGGTCCAGCTAGACTAGTACATCCCATCAAGTCCAGGTCTATCTGCCTAGCTGCCTGACGACCTTCGTTGATGGCATGCACAACCAGGGACTGGCCTCGTCGACAATCTGAGAACAAGACAAGGAAGTTATTATTACTTGACAGCCATGATTGACAGTTACAGAGATGTGACTTGTTTTACATCAAGTAGACATGGACAAACATGTACAGTGTATATAGGTTAGAGATGGTTCATGTACATGAAGTATGTTTATAAAATGTTATATATTGATATATGCCTGGAAAACATTTTCTACAAACTCCCGCCTGTCAATAGATTACATAACAAGCCTCAATAGAGGCTGCAACAGGTGCATATGAATGACAAAAACCTATAATCATGCATAAACTTCAAAGGTAGCATTCCCAAGAAACAATGCACCCCACAAAACCAATAATTACATGTACATGACTTGTAGAGACAATATTGAAAACTAGATGGAACTTCAACTGCGCGCAGTTGAAAGTGATGCCTCCGTCATAGAGCAATTTTACAAACCAAAACGGAAGAAATTTTTCAAATTCAAGGTGGGTTGTAATCCATTAACAGGTTCTCAGAATATCGAGATTACAAGCTATTTCTCATATACATGTATGACCCTTTGATCTTTGACCTCATGACCCCAAAATCCAAACAGTTCATTGCCTCACCAAGATACATACATGTCCTGAGTTTCATGGTAATCTGTCCATCTGTTCTAATGATAATGTGATCACAAGCTATTTTTGCATTCATAATGAGCCTTGCGACCTTTGACCTATGACCTCATGACCCCAAAATCTAATCAATTCATTGGCTCTGCAAGATACATACATGACCTTAGTTTGGCAGGAATCCATCAATCGGTCCTTGAGATAACGCGATCACAAGCTATTTTTGCATAAATAATGAGCCCTGTGACCTTTGACCTTTGAGCTCGTGACCCCAAAATCTACTCAATACATTGGCTTTGCAAGATACATACATGACCCAAGTTTGGCGGGAATCCATCAATGGGTTCTTGAGATAACGCGATCCCGAGAACGGGACGTACGGATGTACGTATGTACGGACGGACGGACAACCCGAAAACATAATACCTCCGGCTACGGAGGAATAATAAAATGAGTACATAAATCCTCTCCAAGAAGCTAAGAAAGATAACCAATACCAACAGTCCTTTTCAGGACTACACACCCTCAAGAAAGATTACAGAGAGTCCTTTTTAGGACTCCTCAATCCTTCCTCTCTCTCACATGGTGCACCCGCAAGCCTACTGTATACATAAATACTGTTGTTCATTGACGGCCAGATGGGCATTAATACCTTGGTCATATTACCAGTAACAAGACCGACACCAGAACAACAGACCGATCAAACAATTACATTATTCCCAATGGCAAAGAAATCTGTTGGTTTGGCGGTGTAACAGAGGTTATAATACTGATTGTTGAATGATACATCGGCCGAAACCTTTCTGGCTCTCTGATAAAAGTGAATCAAACTGATGACACTTACCTCCCGCAGCATACACCTTATCCAGACTGGTGTGGTACTTCCCGTTAGGGGTCTGGATGTTAGACCTTGGGTCCTGGTCCACTCCTAGCTCCTCAATCAGGTTCTGTTCTGGTCCTAGGAAGCCCATAGCAAGCAGGACCAGGTCCGCTTTGAAGATCTTCTCGGTTCCAGGGATCTTCTCCATGTTGTAGCGTCCCGTCGCATCCTTGGTCCATTTGATCTCGATGGTGCGGATTCCGGACACATTGCCTTCTCCATCATCAAGGAACTCCTACAAAGTAAAAGGTAAAATAAAGCATTCACTTATAAATTATCATAGCTCGTCTCCATTCAGGAAAGACAACTATGTGACTTACTTTCATTCTTCAATAATGTGTTCAAATAATTAAAGATACATTTTTATTCCCCAAATATAAAGGTAGGGCTAGCATTGAACTTTTACCAAATATTTAATGAGAATCATCATAAGAATCAAATTGCACAAGCATATTTCACGTGGGAGTTTGAGGATACATTGCTCAGCGATTCATGTCTTACATTAGTCCAAATTCCTAATTCATTTTCTTCTTCAGGATAATCTGCCTCCTTCACTGCTGAAGATTCTCAAGACTCTACCCACGATGCAATCCTAACCCTAAACCGGACTCAAAACCCAGTCACAAACCCACATAACCCTAACTCCATACCATTGATAGATAAATAGAACCAGGAGCAGATGTCTAATAACATAAAATATTCTGCAGGAGCACTCATCTTTACAAGTTTTCAACCTAAGTTATTCTGCTCTGAAATCACCGGTCTGACCCTATTGGCAATAAGCTACATTGATCTCACCTCGCTGAGTATCTCAAAGTGACGTGGGTCCTGTCCATGTTTGAGCTTGACCTCTGAGTGACCGTAGTCCACTCTGAGGATACGTGGCCAGGTCGGCCAGGGATTGTTGGCCGCTCGGCTAGGAGGGGGCTCGGTCAAGATCTCAAAGGTCGTGATTGACTTGGCATCCTGGTGGAAAACGGATGGAAAACAAAATAAAGATTAGCATACAATGCATTCATCACAATTATTGGTAATCAATTAAGACACCATAATATTTCTCAGGATCAAAAAGATTGTAATCAAATATCAGTCAAGGATTAACAACATTAAAGAAATACTAAAGAAATTTACAATTTTTTTACTTGGTGACAGATTCTGCTTTCGAGGTTACCATTTGTGCAATCCAATTTATAGATACCAGACACCATTATTCAAACTGCTATCATCAATATCAACATCACTACCGCCAACACAGAGCTGCCAACCTCTGAAACCAAAATCAGTAATCTGAAAGCTAAAAATCAGTAATTTTGGATGGAAATCAGTAATTTCAAGCGCGGCGCTTTCAACATCAAGAAGACTGCATTTGCACGTACATTGTAGAGCTGCACACAACACCACAACACAAACTACTAGTACCATGGTAATAGCATCACTCTGAATGACAGGACTTGAAGTAAAAACAAGAACATTCTGTTTATAACATCATTTTAAGTGCTATAAAAAAAACAATGGTTATTAGAGGATTGATGTATCATTACCCTGTTTCACTTACGTGTGTATATTCACTTCAGGTTTTTACAATTGCAATTTTACTGTCAGGGAAGGCATTTTTGACAAGTTGTGAAAGGTGGTCTGCTGCTGAAAACGCGATGTTGTGCTCTATCAAAAATTGAGTAAACTTCACTTCGGCGTTCGTGACAGAATTGTCCTTTGCGACGAAAAACTGGGCGATGTCATGACTGCGGGAATTGGAACTTGCCTCCGCCGCTGCAGTCCGGTGCTTCACCGACTTCAGATGTACCTGGATATCGTTCGAACCGCCATGACCAATTCCAAAATCGGATGAGCAATGTGTACAACAGGCACTGTTTGTATTCCTTTTCGACGGAACAATGCATGACCATTTCACCTGAGAAGGTTTGCAGTTTTTTAGAACGCTTCTTCGATGAAGTTGAAGTCATTTTTCTCCGTCGGTTACTCGAAGTTTGACGCGACCACGGCCGACCTGCTGCACATGCGGTAGTAACACTCGGCCAATGCATATTTCGCCCAGATAAATATCGTGCCACTTGTTTCAGCACATCCACCATGCATGCGCTTTCGTATCGGTCAAAACTTTGTGTGTCAGCTCATTCAAAATTTATTCGTGTATCATATTTTGTTATCAACAATGAAAAGGGGTATATGAATAAAATGAAATGAATAAACATGATCCAACAAATAATGTGAAATAAAACACAATGACAATAATTGTTGAATATAAATTCAAGTTTAATCAAGGAAGTACATTCATTTTCCTTATGACAATTATCATCATCATCATCATCATCATCATCATCATCATCATCTTCATCATTAGTCGAGTCGTACTTTTATTATCATAACAATGAGAACCCATCACTAAGGGGAAAAAAATTGTAGACCTGCTATAAACTACACATGGACATGGTACCGTACGGGTTGGTTTGCAAGGTGGCTAAATGGACTTGTGACGAGTTTGCCGTCTCCCCGATATATATTGCATGCTGAAAGCTAGCACACGCAGCCCATATAGGCAGGGCGGTGTGCATATCTTTCGATGGTAGCTACATGTGTGTGCAGTGGTCGTGGCTGAGGCGCGGATGATATTTCCGTGCGCTCAAAAGTTAACCACCGGGCCGAGGCCCGGGAAGTATCGCGATCATTACCGCTAAAACACTCGCATATGCATAATGCATGTGTTAATACATAGGCATGTCCAGAAATCGGGGAATCCGTAATTTTTGAAGGGGTTTCCGTGCTTCCGTAATTGCCGTTGATTTCCGTACCAATTACGGAAAATCCGTACTAGTTGGCAGCTCTGCCAACACCAACATCATCATCAGCACCAGCATTATTAATCATAATCACCGCCACCACCACCACCACGATCACCACTATCATCACCACCACCTCTATTACCACCCCCACCATACCACTACCACCACCACCATCATCATCACCATCGTAATCATCAACAACTTACCATCCTGAGTGAAGTACCGATGCAATCCACACCAGTATCACCTCCTCCAATGATGAGGATGTCCTTGCCCTTGGCATCGATGTAATCGGACTGGTTACCCATCTGTTTCTTCTGCCATGGCTCCAAGAACTGCATGGCATACTTGATACCGTTCAGGTCACGACCTGCATGTAGGTAAGGTTTTCAAGAATTATTATCATTATCAGTGTTTGCAGTATCCAAGTACAACATTCAGCCTACATATTCAATATTCATCCCCACCTTTATCATTACCACCATTGCTACCATATCATCACCACTACAGCAATCATCATCACTATAATCACCATCATCATCATCATTGTCAACATTACCATCACCATTGTCATCATTATCATTATCACTACCTTCTCAATCATCATCACCACCATCATCACCACCATCATCACCACACCCGTCCTACCTGGTATTGGTAGGCCCCTGGGCCTGGTTGATCCCATACACAGTAAGATGGCATCATTCTCCTTCATGAGGTCCCAGCCGTTGACATTCTTTCCTATCTCAGCGTTAGTCACAAACTTCACCCCTTCATCTTCCAGGAGTTTTAGTCTGCGCTCAATAGCCTGCAATGTTACAATGGAATGATTATAAATGCTGAAAACTAATTCTTCTCAAAATATTTTGTTTGGTACCCAAGTTATTACAATATCTATTTTAAATATATATCTACGTTGTATGGTTTTCATGTACCGGTATTATATTTTTGAATAAAAAAGGGTTTCAAGAAGTCAACCAGAATACACCTACACTACTTCTTCACTGTTAAATTTCAATACTGCTATGCTAGCTGTGCACAATTTTCACAGCTAAACTATTATCTCAGATTATGAGATAACAATTTCAGCTGAATTTGGAGTGCATTCATAAATGATTGATGAACTTAGTGGCCCCAAATGGTTCATCTGACACATCTTCTGGTGACATTTGCTCTGTGCTTTACAATTACTTGGCTGGGGTTGTGTACATCCAGGGTGACAGGTGGAAATTTGAACGTTGTTAAGGTATTGACGAAGAGGGAAATTCTGCTACAGCATGTGCAGTACAAGCCCCAAATGGACTGAAATTAACTATTTTTTCCTTACACTTTTGCTCATCTTCATCGTAGGGATACCATACATGAGTAGGCCCCCACATCGGTCATTCCTCTCATAGACGGTCACTAGATGACCGGCCTTGTTAAGCTGGGCAGCTCCAGCCAGGCCAGAGGGTCCACTCCCGATGACCGCTACTCTCTTGCCGGTCCGGTGGAGAGGGGGCTCGGGGCGTATCCAGCCCTGCTCAAAGGCGTGGTCGATGATGGCACACTCAATGTTTTTGATGGTGACGGGTGGGGCGTTGATGCCTAGAACACACGCTCCCTGGAGGAACAAGAAAGATATACAATTGTACGTGTAACCTAGAAAAATAGAGTGAACAAACTACCCCAATATCCCTCTCCATCAAACGTTCATGTAGTTTGCTCAGCATTATGAGTGTCCGTAAAATGGAGCATGGTTGGAATTCTCTCAAGGGAACAGCGAATGTGCATACATTGTGGCGGGCAAGCCTGAATCCGATGAACGGGGTGATAATATATCTGTAATGCGCTTGGACGTTGTTAAAGTATGAAGCGCTATATTACCGCAGAATACTATTAATAACTATCACCCTGAATTGCAGAATAGAAAGGCTTAACCCTTAGTATCATTGAAATTTAAAAGCGCTTGTGGAAGGTCGCTTACCTCACAAGGAGCGGGACAGCATCTCCCAGTGAACTCTGGGAAGTTGTTGGTTGCAAGCAGTCTCTCGAGGGCCTCCCTCCACTGGTCTCTAAAGACGAGGTCATTCCAGGAGGGTATGATGTTACCCAGGGGACAGCCGGTGTGCGCCTGGCAGAATGGAGTACCACAGTCCATACATCTATGTGAAGAAAGGGGGAGGAAACAGATTAGAAAAAGGGACTGTGAATCACAAGGTATAGGGCTTGAATTTCTGCCACAACACTACCATCCTTATGCAGGTGTCATTTGTAAGACGCACCTTTTGACCCCCGGGGATGGTGCATAATGGTTGCGTCATGTTTCCCAAACTCGCGACGCACAGTACCGTCATGGCCGCAAAATGTCCGTCACAATACTGACCCATATGTGCGTCATAGTAAGTCACTTTACCACGTTGCGTCATTTGGTGTGTCAATGGGACCGTCACTTTCTCCAAGCAGAAGTGTTTCTCAAATGTGCGTCATTGGCTAGTCATTTTCATGAAATGGTGTGTCATATGTTTGACTCAAATGTGCGTCGATGGAATGTAATGGTGTGTCACTTTCTGTGACGGAAGGTGCGTCATGGTATCAAAATGTACGACTCACATCGGTACAATGACGCACCATTCCCGGGGGTCAAGAGGTGCGTCTTACAAATGACAAGTGCATTAAGCCTTCATTAGTGTAGGTGCCACACCTGACCCAAACATACACTTGATCAAAGAATTCAGTCGTGGGTTAAATTTATTTTAGAGTTATGATCTACATCGAAGCCCTTGGAATGTCATAGTCGAACGTGACAGACATGAGCGCTGAACAACAACAAGGGAAACGCCTGCATTACGTAATTCGATATGATGAAAAATTGAGGTTGGAACATTATTTATAGGCAGGGTGGCCCATTAGCAGGCCCCCAAAAATGAAATCCTCTGAATATAATCAGCTTTTTGAAGTGAATATTGATTAAGAATCATGAACAAATAAGAAAAATTGATTCATTTATTCTCATATTAACTTGTGAAAACATAATCCAAGTCTACTGACCTAAAAAGACCTTTTACCTTGTGACCTGGAATTTGTGTCATATGACTTGTGATACTTGATAACCCTTGGGTACAAGTTTCATGGAATTTGAACAAACGCTTTTGAAAATATGCTAAAAATTCAAAATCTTGATGTTGATGCCACAAAAAAGTCTAAGTTTGTTGACCTAAAATGACCTTTGACCTTAACTTAGTGACCTGAATTCTGCTCACATGATTGGGGATACTTGATTACCCTATAGTCCAAGTTTCATTGACTAAGAACTTATACTTTCAAAATTATATCAAAAATTCAACCTTAGGTCACCAGAAAAGCGGCACCTATGTCTCGCTTTTTTGCTACGCAGGGGAGACAAAAATCACTTTGTATCTAACAGACAAGATTTTTTTTTAAATATGCACACAAAAAAATCTTCACTTAAATATCCAAGCTAGCATATGGAATAGAAGAGGTTCTACCTTGCTGCTTGGACTTTGAGTTGTTTCTTGACTCCTTTGTGATTGTAGATCTCACCCCAGTCCTTCATGCGTACTTCAACATCACGGTACTGATCATTGTTCCTTCCGTACTTCACAAAGCCTCTGAAACAAACGGGAAGAAAATAGATACATACTCTCAATTACACAGAAAGTGAACAAAATGGTATGTTCTTTTACTTATATGGTAAACATTACCCCCCCCCCCTCCCTTTTCTTCAAGAGTACAAGGTTTAGATCAGACAGCCTGACTGAGCCTATATTAATTGCCATGAGACAAATAAAAAGCAATTTTACAACAACACTCCTCATTGTGAACAAGTGAACAGAGCTTGATAGAGCATGATAGAACTTGATAGAGATTTCAGGTAGCATTATGAGCTTGTATCATATACATGTATGAAGAAAAAGCCACGATTTTAAGCACTTTGGGGGTTGACCGAGATATGCTCTGGTGACAACTGCACCAAGCTTTTTTGTTTTCTTTCAAAGATTTAGGTTTAAGCCCATGAAGTAACTGAGTTTCAGGATAGATTTAGGATTAGGTTTGGGAGTGTCGTGGTCCAGTGGTGTAAGGCGCTTGACTGGAGATGCGAAGGTCAAGGGTTCAAATCCAGACAAGGCACTAATATCCTTTGGCAAGATATTAACCTGCACTTGCTACTCTCCACCCAGGTGGGAACCCGGTAGGATGCGACCGTCATTGTTGGTCAAACAGTTTTTGAGAGTCAAGTAACGCCTGGCTGGAATGCTGCCCAGGGAGTGGAGATTGTGCACACAATGTGTGCGGGCAAGTAATGAATCCAATGACTGGTAATAGTATGTCTGTAAAGTGCTTATAGATATGGTAGATGTATTTAAAAGTGCTATATAAAAGCGGAATATTATTATTATTATTATTAAACTTACCTGGTCTTATCCAAGACCCTCTCAATGGTCTTCTTCTCCTGCTCCAGGTCTGGGATGGTAGACTCAATGTCCGTCACCTTAGGCTCCTGCTTGACATGCCTGCCATCATCTGATCCATTCATCCCATTGGATGGTTGACCGTTGGGGGCGTGGCCATTGAGGGCGTGGCCATTGGTGCCATTGGTCAGACCGTTCTGAGGAAGCTCCGCCTCCTGCTTGGCCTTTTCCTCTGCAAGGGCTTTATCTCGCTGCTCCCGCAGAGCTCGACGGTACTCATTGGGGAAGACCTGGACAGTTGGTGGTGGAAAACAACCAGTCATGTTTACTTACATGTACATTTTCTTACAGCACAACAAGTGCTGGTGTATTTGCTGTCTTGCTTTTTAACGGTTTAAATGGTCACCTTCAATTTTTTTTTTAACTGCAGAACCAGAAACTTTTGTAAATAACAGCATTTAAGTCTTGTGATGTTTTGGTTTCATGGCCTCAAACTTTCCTGAATCTAGACGACTTGTAAATGCTTGAAACTTCTTGCACTTAAAAATTTCTGCTATTTATAAGTCAATTTTACAAAACATAAACTTTTAGCAATAAATAAATAGATGTTTGTTTTCTTTGTGCACACTTCCAATGGAAAGCTTGTTGGTACAAGACCAAAATTTCATTATAGATGTGGCAATCAAAGAAGCATGATGTTCTGCAGTTCTTGTTCTTTGCATGATTCTACAAGAAGGAACTGTGGCATCTCAATAGAGGCATGCAGTCTAGGACTAAAGACATCACTATTAGCATGACACAAGGCCAGGAGCACTGATTTCCACAAGACTGGACACATCAAGAAGAAACTCCAAACACAACCTAAATGTATCATTTACCTTGACAAATCGTTGGCTCTCTGTTTCCCAGTTTTCCAGTATCTTGGTCGCGACCTTTGACCCAGTGTATGAGACGAACTCTGCTAGACTTTCCTTCAAGAAGGTGATGTCGATGTCTTTGACTAGTGGCTCAAGGACAACAGACTCTGTATTGCACTTCGGATAGAAATCATTCCAACTGAAATGCAGTTTAAAAATAAAAAGAAGAAAAGAAAATAAGAATGTAAGAATTCTACATTAAATGTACACTGGGGTAAGTTGGTTGGTGGATGCATAGAGAGATGGATAGAGAGAAAGACTGAGAGACGAAATAGGGTAATTTGGCAAATGGAAGTACAGATGTATACCTGAATCAAAGGTACAAATTCTGTCACTATCTTACCTTATTCATAATGCATTTCTATCTGACAGAAAATTACATTGACACTTAACAAAAAATTGTGTAAATAATGAGATTTCAAGCAGGAAATTCATCAGGATGGGCGGTCTCTTGATTTAAAGAATTATGATTTTCTTAGAAAATTTACAAGACATGACATATAACCTACTAGGCAACATCTCCTATAGCTTGCACCCAAGAAGATCTGGAAGCACCTACCCCCTGCAAGATACAATGCAGCCAAAACAGGTTTGTGGGGTAGTGACTCTCAAAGAAAAAATCTACCTGGTGCAGGAGAGCATAAAAACATGAACATAGTTCAATGATCTTATACTTACACATTATAGACATAGGCGATACCACCTGACATGCCTGCAGCAAAGTTCCGTCCAGTAGCTCCTAGAATGATGGCTCGTCCTCCAGTCATGTACTCACAGCCGTGGTCTCCTACGCCCTACAAAACGAATCATCACAACAGTCTATCAGGGCCCCGTCTTACAAAAGAGTTGATATCAATTGCAGCTATGTACGTAAGAGATAGGAGACTCCAAACTTGCGATGACATGGATAATAATATCTGTAGACTGCTCAGAGCCATTATTAATAATAATAATAAATTTATATAGCGCAGCTTTCATACAAACTATATTCAGCTGCGCTGGTTCAGATCTATTTTTTTTTTACTAAATTCTACAAATAAAGAATCTCTCAATTGAACAAATATGTTTTTAATTTGGATTTGAAGACATAGAGAGATGGAGTGCTTCGTATTTCTATTGGCAAGCTATTCCATAGCTTGGGGGGCAGCAATAGCAAAAGCATGGTAACTGAGAGTCACTTTAGTTTTGCCATTAGGAATCTGGAACAATAACTTATCTGCGGTACTGCGCAGTGTGACTGGACTTTGAGTTGAAGTAATTCTGTTATGTAACTAGAAGATTGACCACTCAATGATTTATAAACAATTAACAAAATTTTGAATGAAATTCTTCGACAGACTGGAAACCAGTGGAGCTCTCTCAGAAGAGGTGTGGTCGAGGTGAATTTTGACCAACGATAGATTATCAAGATTAATATCATAATTCATTTCATTAACACTAACATTAGATATGAGCTATTCACTGCAATATGTAATAAAGAAGATGTCCTACCTCACAGATTGCAAGAGCTCCCGAGTTCCTGACGCAGAAACGTTCAGCAGTCCACCCCCTGAAGAAAGCCTTCCCACTGGTGGCGCCATATAGGCACACATTGCCGACGATGATGTTGAGTTCAGACACGAAGGCTTCGGGTATGTTACGGTGAGGGTAAACAATCACCGTGCCACCAGACAGGCCCTTGGGGAGAATGAGAGGTTGGGATTATTAATCTTCTCAAAGAGGATCACTTTTGTCCACGGCAGTACCATGGTGAGTACGCTTAACATTCAGGTATTAGGTAATTTGAAATGGTTATGTAAATTGCAATTCAACGACTGCTTTAAAAACAAGTTATTTTCTATCAAGTTGGATGCAAATCTCTTTACAAGAGCTACACAATTTCAACTAACTACTGTAAAAAACAAGCATTAGCAATGTACAATGCAAGCATGCATCATCATCACCATTACTAGCACGAACACCAACGTCATAATAATCAGAATCAGAATCATCATCAGTATCATCACTACAATGAACACTGTTTGAAGCCAGAAGGGCGTTAATTCCTACACAACAATACAAAATTAACAGATCAAATTATTGTATCATTATCATCAAATATTACTTGATATTATGATATATCATTCATGAATGTCTTTAGAGAAGCCAGGGTAGCTTAAAGACCAATGACTTCTACATGAACACCCTTGGCCAGGAAAGCTTCTTCTTACCTTTCCTACATAGTCATTGCAATCACCTTCTAGCTCTACATGAACACCCTTGGCCAGGAAAGCACAGAAGCTCTGGCCGGCTGAACCAGTCAACTTGATCTCAATCGACTTGTCTGGAAGGCCTTTCTCACGATACTTCCTGCAAAACAAGAGTAGAAAAATTATATAAGTTTCTTCTTTCTATGTTGATAACTTATTGTCAAACATCATTATCATTGCAACAAAAACATTATGATCACCAATTAGCACCACCACCGTCGTCGTCGTTATCGTCGTTGTCGTCATAATCATCATCATCATCATCATCACCATCATCATCATCACCGTCACCATCATCATCATCACCACCATCATCATCACCATCATCATCACCATCATCATCATCATCCTCATCACCCTCATCATCACCCTCATCATCACCATCATCTTCATCATCATCATCTTCATCATCATCATCATCATCCTCATCATCATGACCATCATCATCATCATTATCATCATCGTCACCATCATCATGACCATCATCATCATGACCATCATCATCATTACCATCATCATCATTATTACCATCATCACCATCATCATCATTATCATCACAATCATCATCATCACCATCATCATCACCATCATCCTCACCATCATCATCATCATCATCATCATTATCATCACCCTCATCATCACCATCATCATCATCATCATCATCATGACCATCATCATCATCATCGTCACCATCATCATCATTATCATCATCCTCATCATCATTACCATCAACATCATCGTCACCATCATCATGACCATCATTATCACAAGCATCATCGCCATTACCATCGTCATCATCATCATCATTACCATCATCATCATCATCATCATCATGAAGACCGTGTAAAGAATCTATTGATGACATTACCTTGAGATGTGAAAGCTCAGGGTGGTTCCGAAGGCTCTTGATTCATTGGTGATGTCCATGTTTATCTTAACATGCTTGCTAGTTCCCTTCAGAACATCACTCGCTCTTTCTATCAACAAATTATCCTGTAGGGTAGCAAGAATGGAAAAGCAAAAATGTGATTACAACTCATTTGAAGTTCTGGAAATGGACATTTTGTGAGTAGTTCTGAATTGTTAAGTAAATTGATAACTTCAGATTTTTATGCACAATGTGTCACAATTCAATACACCCTTTTACGGTTACAACAGTGCGCGTGCACAGACATGGGCGCCATTTTAAATTACAATTTAAATTACATTACATAGTTGTTTACTTGTAAATTAAAATGGGGCCCATGTAAATACGATGTGAGCGGACAGTACAGGCAGTGACGCAGCAATACACGCGCATCTGAAAACATTGTTAACGCAATGTTTACGCGCAAATTAAAATGGCGGCCTTAACCGTAAAAGGGTGTATTGCTCCAGGCAAGTCAGACTTAGTAGCATTCCAAATTAATGAGTTCAGAAATCTTGTATGCAGCAAACAGAGGAGAAAAACACATAGCTGATATCGAAGAGCATTCAGGTTGCTGCAAGATGACCATTTCTTTTGATTAACTTCCCTTCCGGGGGTGGATATTTTCAAATCTTTGCGCGGTAACTGCACAGACCCTTCAGTCGTAAAGGTACATTATACTCTAGTTCAGTGTTCAACAAAACATCCTTTAACGTGTGAATACCCGAGTGAAGTCAAATTCTTAATGGGAACACACACGCTTAAGTCTTTAAACAGTACATGGACTGTTCTCCTGAAACATAAGAAAAGTGTATTTAATTTCTCACCAATCTTTTGTCCAGGGCAAAGTCCTGCTTAGCAGTGCCTCCGATGTGCCTGGCACCGGGTCGAAGGTCAGAAGCCTTGGTCAGTACCTGGTCAAAGTTAAGAAGCTTGCTCTTGCCATTAGTCTTCTCCTGGACAGGCTGGAGCATGTCACATCGACCAATCATCTCCTACAAGAATGACGCAAGAAGAAGTGATAGATCAGTAAAAACAAAATAAAAAATCTTTCTTTTACAGAGTGTTCAATGACAATAACATGAACTTGTTGCTTCTTGGTATTTTGTGGATTCTGAGAGAAAATTTAAAGAACATTGTTTTACAATACGCTTTCATGAATTGCCCTGTAATTGTTCTACGTACAGATCATAAGAATCTATGTGGGCTAAGGCACCTGACTGGAGATGCAAAGGTCGAGGGTTCAAATCCCGACACGGCACTAATATCCTTTGGCAAGATATTAACCTGCACGTGCTACTCTCCACCCAGGTGTTAAATGGGTACCCGGTAGGATGCGGCCGTCATTGTTGGTCAAACAGTTTTTGAGAGTCAAGTAACGCCTGGCTGGAATGCTCCCAGGGAGTGGAGATTGTGCACACTATGTGTGCGGGCAAGCACTGAATCCAATGACCGGTGTATGTGTAAAGCGCTTAGAGACATTTGTATTAAGTGCTATACAAAAGCTAAATATTATTATTATCTTATTAGTGATAAAAGCTGAGCAGAAGTACAGGGCTAGAATTGTTCAATGTAAGAAAGTTGGACACTGTCCACAATCCCACTAGCCCCTTATGTGTGAGAGGAAAAGGCAGCAACTAAAGACAATCATAAAATATGCAGTGTCAAATTTGCTGATTGAGAGTCCAGACACTCCTAATTCTATCCTTCATTCAACTGTTTGATCGGCACATTACCTTTTTGGCAGAATAATTCCATCCTTATTTTCCACAGGGTTGTCATGGCTAATCAAGATTGTAAAATTTGTAATTTTGCAAAGACATTGTATTCCACAAAGTCATCCATCCGTCAATAGGTGCCTATAGTTTTGTGCAGAATTGTATTTATGGCAATCGAGCGACTGTGCAGAGAGGCAAAGCAAGCAAGCAGAGGGTTATATAGGTTAAATGCAAACAAACCTGGAAGGTTCTGAATCCCATCTGTGCCATGTGAGAACGGATCTCCTCTGCAAGCATGAAGAAATAGTTGACAACATGCTCAGGTTGACCCTCAAACTTCTTCCTCAATTCAGGATCCTACCAAACATAGAGAAAATAGTGATTAAAACAAACATGGATTGCAACATGACATCCATTAATAATTACAGGTAAAGAAAAATAACAATGAGTAACACTTTGTCAACATCAGGAAGTTTAGACTACATACATGTACATGTAAATTGTCATGATTATATGATCAAGATTAAATATCATATAGCCCTGAAAAAATATTTCCACATTGTCAATATCATCAATGCTATCATTATCATTATCACTGTTGTCATCATAACCATAACCACAACAAACTCATTTCTGTGATCCTCCTCCTCCTCCTCCTCCTCCTCCTCCTCCTCCTCCTCCTCCTCCTCCTCCTCCTCCTCCTCCTCCTCCTCCTCCTCCTCCTCCTCCTCCTCCTCCTCCTCCTCCTCCTCCTCCTCCTCCTCCTCCTCCTCCTCCTCCTCCTCCTCCTCCTCCTCCTCCTCCTCCTCCTCCTCCTCCTCCTCTCCTCCTCCTCCTCCTCCTCCTCCTCCTCCTCCTCCTCCTCCTCCTCCTCCTCCTCCTCCTCCTCCTCCTCCTCCTCCTCCTCACCCCCCCCTCCTCCTCCTCCTCCTCCTCAACCTCCTCCTCCTCATCATCATCATCACCATCATTATCATCATCATCATCTTCATTATCATCATCATCCTCCTCATCATCATCATCACCATCATCACCATCATCATCACCCCCCCCTCCTCCTCCTCCTCCTCCTCAACCTCCTCCTCCTCATCATCATCATCACCATCATTATCATCATCATCATCTTCATTATCATCATCATCCTCCTCATCATCATCATCACCATCATCACCATCATCATCACTCTCACCACCACCACCACCACCACCACCATCATCATCAACATTCTGACATACAGACCTGAGTAGCCACTCCTACAGGGCAAGTGTTAAGATGGCATTTCCTCATCATGGTACATCCCATTACAATAAGAGGCGTGGTGGAGAAAGCGAACTCATCTGCCCCTAGAAGAGCTGCTACGATCACGTCATGACCTGGCAATGGAAGAGTCAGTAATTGAAGTGAGGTTTTATTTCAGGTGATTTACTAATCATTGTGAATTTGGTCAAATGATGGCCAAGTATAAGGCACCAAAATGTAAAACAACAGAGTAAAGACTTCATTGCTTCACAACCAAGGATATCCACAGGGGACAATGCAGCAGGCATATGTGGCTTGGACATAGTCAAGACATTTCATGGACTGCCTGTCAAGTTTGCTTGTTATTCAGCTCCTATACATTTTATTTCAGAATCATCCAATAGTTTCTTTTCATTCATAGATATTGGGTATAGCTATGCTAGATTCTATAATAAGAATATAATTTTGATTGTCACCAGACCTCAAGATTACATTACAACATCCAATCATATAAAGAAGTCTTTCACACTCTCTCTCTCTTTCTCTCTCTCTCTCTCTCTTTCACACTCTCTCTCTTTCACACTCTCTCTCTCTTTCACACTCTCTCTCTCTTTCACACTCTCTCTCTCTTTCTCTCTTTCTCTCTCTCTCTCTCTTTCATTCTCTCTCTCTCTCTCTCTCTCTCTTTCTCTATCTCTCTCTCTCTCTCTCGCTATATTAATAATATTAATAATAATAATATGTCTTGTTTACCCAGGGTAGCCTCATCAGTATTCATACTGTTCTCCCTGAGGGCCCTGCAATCATATTATTACCCCGGTAATCGGATTTGAGCTTACCCGTACACAATGTATGCACATTCTCCACTCCCTGGGGAGCATTCCAGCCAGGCGTCATTTTTACAATCGTACATTTGCTAATCTAAGCACATTAGCTTTCGCATCCTACTCTCTCTCTCTCTCTCACACAATCACTAACCTGTCCTCAGCTGGCCGTCTGTCTGCAGGACGACCCTTGACCTAAGGTCATTGAGAACCAAAGTCTGATGAGTCTCTGCTAATCCGAGTTCCCATGGCAACCCAGCGTGTTTGATTCCGGTCCATGTGCTAGCCCCCGTCCCTCCGTCGTGGCCTGAGATGGTGATGTGTTCAGCTTTACCCTGTCATAGAAGGAATGTTGTGAACCAGGGAAAATACTTTAACAATTTTGGGGGCTACTTTTCAAGCTTGCTTGCATGAAAATAACACTCTTTATTTTGTTTTGCATTGAACTCTATGCAATTTTGCGGGGCTCTTTTATGACTTTTGGGGGCTCTTATTGGAATTTCAGGGGGTTAATTCGCCGAGCCCCCGTGTATTTTTTCCCTGTTGTGAACAGTCAACATATTGGCCTGATATCATGAGAGAGAGATTCTAATTCCTTGGTTTAAACCTCCATGATGATCATCATGCCCCATGGGGCAGGCAATGATACATACACTGTATATACAACGCCTATTTACACTCATTTGTGTCCATGCTGGAAGTTGGAATCATGATTTTGAAGATGATTTAAATTCAAAGTGACCCTAACTTCGGGCCCTAAAAACTTCCTGCATAAAAAGATTGACCTCCAGATGGCTGGGTTGCTTGAACAGTCTTACAGATAGGAACGTGGAGATTAAGCCTAACATACCCCCCCCCCCCCCCCCATACCCTGTTTGTTTCCCCCTTCTATAACATGGGATATTTTTAAGGATGTCTACTGGTATTCTAAGCCTAATCAATCAACAGTTAACCTACTTCCACAACTATGGTGAAACGTGAAATAGTCAATTTACTTTACTTCTCTTTAGGGAGAATTATAAAAATCTTGGTTGATACCCCCAGCCTAAACACCCAAAACATTAAAAACTGATTATCTACAAGGTTTTGGCCATCCAGGTGACATATTACGTTGTGCCTATTGTGTATAGATGGTGTGGGGTTAGTATCTTTGGAGTGAGTGACTGCAGTATGACATTACACGGGTCACTGAAATAAAACCTCACCTTGGCAACCCCAGCAGCGACGACCCCTACGCCGACCTCTGACACGAGCTTGACACTGATCCTTGCCTCTGGGTTGGAACACTTGAGATTGTAGACGAGCTCGGCGAGGTCCTCGATGGAGTAGATATCATGATGAGGGGGCGGGGAAACCAGCCCCACTCCGGGGATGGAATACCGGGTGGAGGCAATGGCTTCGGTGACCTGTGAGAGAGAGAGAGAGAGAGAGAGAGAAAGGTCAAGAGGTTAATTAGAGTGCAATCATTGATAAGGTCAAATCATTATGGGTGGTGTTGGAGCTAACAACTGGATCCAGTCAGGTCCTCCACAAAGATGATTGCATTTTAAAGAAGCAGGAACACCATGGCATCCTTTCCTGTACCTAATTTGTTTAATGAATTCCCAAAAATCTTTTTTGTGTTAGAACCCAGTGGGCGAGTACAAAATTGAAACCAGGGTCAGGTACGAAAGGGAGTTTGAGAACACTCTTGATAATTTGCTAGTCAAATTGATAAATGACACCCCCTCCACCCTCACTAAAACAAACATAAAAGACCAAAAACAACAACCCAAATTGGGCGGTACTGGAGACCAGAGTTAGGAGGTTTAGGAGGTTTGTCATACTCTCCTTATGCAGGCTCGAACCCCTTACCTTATATCCTGGCAGTTCACCCCCTTCTCCTGGCTTAGCACCCTGGGCCATCTTGATCTGCAGCTCATCTGAGTGGGCCAGATAGGAGCTGGTCACCCCAAACCTCCCAGAAGCTACCTGCTTGATGGCTGAGCGGGTGTTATTCAAGGGGTCCTCGGTGTGCAGGTACCGGTCTTCATTCTCCCCGCCCTCTCCCGTGTTACTCTTGGCACCGATCCTGCAGGGCAATGAGAAAAATAATCCAATGAATTGAACAAAGATTCTACCTTGCAATGTACAATGCATGTAGATGTAGACTTGTGGACATGTGGATTTACATTTTCATGTTTTGAGTGGAAGCAGTAGCTTACTCTAAGAACCACCGAGTTGATTATAATCATGTCAAATTAGTCTGAGTAAATCTGACAGAGAAGTATATTTCTCATGAGTGATCAGATCATATATATTTGCTTTGGATACAATTACTACTCCCTTTCATATCATTAAAGAGAAAGCATCATTACTTAAGGTAACAAAGGGATTCTAGGTTAGGCGAAGTTTGAGACTAGGCTAAAATAAGTGCTGAGTTACAAGCAATAAAACAGAATTTATAAACAACAAAAACAGTAATAATCAGAACACTTAGGTGTTAAATATACATAGACGTTGACATCTTAGACATTAAAAAGTAAAATTACCCAACATGAGCAATAAGAAAGAGTAAAAGGTGAAAGAGGGAGGAGAGTAGATCGAGGTGGGGAGAGAAGGGAATGAGTCAGAAGAAGGGAAGGATATATATAGAGAGAGATGGGTTGGCTCACCTGTTCATAGCCTTTGCCAATGTACTATGGGCCTCTATGGATAGACTACCAAAGCTCATGGCACCGGTGTTGAACCTCTTAACTATGGAAGCAGCTTCCTCCACCAGGGAGAGGTCAAGAGGTTCAGCGCTCTTCACCATTTCAAGCTGACCTCTCAGGGTACACATACGCACCTGTGGAATAAGATTTCACAATTATGATTATAGGCATTTCTATAGCGCCGTCTATCTAAAAATTCTAGCCTAGCTGCCATTACAGCGCTCTAGCATTTCAAGGAATTGATTCCTGCCAGGTACCCATTTACCTCACCTGGGTCGAGTGTGGCAAAAGATTAATGCCTTGCCAAAGGACATTAGTGCAGTGCCGGGGACTGAACTACGACCTTTGAATTTCAAGTCAAAAGCTTAAACCACTCGACTACGACACTTTTACAAATCAAATCCACATCTAAAGACAAACTCAAACTCTCAACATCTCTAGTTGCCACCTCTCAGGGCACACATACGCTCCTGAGAAGGTATTTAATTCAATACTTCAGTCAGAAAAGGAGTATGTTACTCAATTTTGGCTTAGATGAAATATTAGCCAACTTCCATATTCAGTTGATGCTTCTGGCTAAGTATTTTACCCTAAATACAAGACAGCTCCCTAGCAGACTTAAAGATAAAGACCAATTATGGTCATGCGATTGCATTGTGAAAGAAACGTTGTGGAATCGATTAGAAAAGGTTGATCATCTAGCATATAAGTATTGGTGTGTACTGCAAGGTTCTGGGTTAGAAGATGTATATGGGACTACGCACACGTGCGGGACACATGCGTTTATCTCTCACATAACAATAGATAAACTAATTTACCAAATATATCAATAATTAGGCGGTTTCCCGGCAAATTTTTTATCATTTTATTATTATTCAAAACATATTCTTTCACATGATTGGTAATAAGAGCTTCCATTTCATTTTTTGAAATTGGGGCGTTTCCAATACTGGTCTTTACCTTTAAGCCAATTATTTTGGAAGCATTGATTGGAGAATCTTTGGAACTTCATTACTTCTACACACAGCCTGATCAAGAAAACTTTAACCATGCAAAAACAGTTGCAAATTACCACAATTTCTAGCTAGCAAATAACTAAAGAGCATTTTACTTGTAGGTAACAAACAACTGCAGCACCAATCTACTTGCCTGATAGGAGACTTACCGATTCTTTCTGTGACTCTACAAACTTCTGATAGGCATTCTGATTCTTGTTACGTGCAGCATCCTGCAGGTTTGCAATGCTGACAGGATCGTTGACATGCTTCTCACCCCCATCACGCCAATGGTACGATCCACCCTCCAGGTTACTAGATATGTCTCCTTGAGCCTCTGCATAAGCCATTCTGTGCCTCTCAAAAGCCTATATTGAACAAGGAAACCTGACTTATGTTACACTGAAGAAGCTCTCATTCTTCATAAATGTGAAAACCAACTTGTGAAAACGTCTTTGTCTCCGTCATGCCTGAAAATGTCTTCATGCAGAAGACATTGCCACACACAGTAAATAGCTTTACCTGGAGTCCTCATGATACACTAATAGAATTACAAGTTCAAGACATAAGTTGATGATTTAGAATTCATAAAAGGCTGCACACAACAGACTTCTAGCCTAAGAATCCTGGGGGTTTTGGGTGTTGTTTTTTAATTTTAATATTAATTTTAACAAAATACAAATTCTAACAAAATCACAGGATTAGTGAGAGGTCCAATTTCCTTCTACCTTCCATCATCAACCATCTTTTATCAACTATGGAATCTTATTTCAAGTGTTCTGTATACAAAATGTTATGCTTTTTTAAGTAAATATGTTCATGTTTATTCAGGGCCCCATGGAAGACCACTAATTATTGGTGAATGGGCTACCCTGACAACATATTAGAAATAAATAAATAAATAAATAATAAAATTTTATCAACGAACGATGACATTACCTCTTCTGCCAGGATCTCAAACGTGGCTCCACCAAGCCTGGATGCTGTTCCTATGAAGCACTTATCTACCACCTCCTCTGCAAGACCAACTGCCTCAAAGATTTGAGCTCCCTGAAACAAGATGAGAGGAATTAATAAGACATCTGAAACGTGTTCCATACCTGCCAACCTTTCACAGCAGTAACTAGGAGTCTCTCAAGGTAAAATTAGAATACAGTCCATTTTGTATACTTTTCACACTGACTTTTTCAAAAAAAGAGAGAAATCTAGGGTTCAACGCAATAGCTTGAAGCCAATAAATAGGAATCATTCCTCCAAAATAGGAGTGGTTGGCAGCTATGACGTTCGTGTGATAAGAATGATCTTCTAATGTCAACTTACTGAAGCTTAGGTGCGGTCAAAGCCCTAAATGCATACCTGATCGCAACATAGATAGGCCTAACGCCAGGCAACAAAAAGTATTTTTCCCTCCCCCTTTTCATTCAATGTGTGCTGCTTTTTACTATATTCATGCTTTATTTCCTTTCCTATCCCAGCCTTACATCATAACTCTACAGAAATGACATGTTCCTTTTCATTGTATCCTTCTCAGTATCATCCAAACACCTAAGCTAATTCCATGCCATATTACCATACCCTCCATCTTAGCCATCACCTTAGAGATGCCCTTCTCAGTAGCCGCAATGACCATCTACACAACCTCAAATATTATCATAATGCTAAATCCCAGTCATACTTTGTAACTTTGCAGGAGTGAAACCTCCATCTTGGCCATCACCTTGGAGATACCCTTCTCTGTCGCTGCAATGACCCTCTGCTGAATATCCTTTTAAGGCCCAATCTGTAGCCCTTTATAAATACTATAATAATGCTTTATAAATAATAACCTCTTGCTGCTTTTAATCCAAATCTCACCTTGTAACTCTGTAGGAGTGAGATGCCCATCTTGGCCATGACCTTAGAGATACCCTTCTCCGTAGCGGCAATGACCCGCTGCTGGATCTCCTTGGGTCCAAACTCCACTCCCAGAAGGCTCTGCTCATGCAGGCTGATCAGGCACTCGTACAGGAGGTAGGGACAGATCGCATCCGCACCATAACCTAGCAACAGGCACAGGTGGTGCATCTCACGAGCCTCTCCTGTCTCTACTATGAGGCCGACGTGAAGACGCTGTCGGGTCTTGATCAGGTGGTGGTGGGATGCCCCCAAGGCTAGCAGAGGGCTGGATGATGGGTAAGCATAGGTAACAAACATAAATTACAATGTCAATGCTGAAAAATTCCATTCCAATAAATGCACAAGATGTACATGTATACACAGTAATTATTTCATTTAATCGAGCAAATATGCCCAAAGTACCAAAAACACCCCCAAAAAAATAATTCCAATAAGTATCTCAAGAAAAACTTAAAATACTATTCCTCTGATTCTGAGTAGAGAATCAAACTTAATACATGGGGGTTTACATAGATCAACATCACATCGCCAAATTAGACTACAATAGTGGTCAAATACCTGACTGGCACTCTTTCTGGACCTGCAGCTCTGTCGGACAAGACCAAAAGAGTATAGCCCTGCTCTGTTGCCTCGGAACACTCTGCACAGATCCGGTCTATCGCTGGGACCAGTCCTGCATATCCAGCTTCCACAGGGAAAGTGATGTCAATGGTCTTAGTCTATAGAAACAGAGATAGAACAAAAGAGAATATATAAAACCAATGAATTACACCATACACATTGATTAAGGCCACCTCTTCACCCCACTCCCTACATGAACCTAGATGTCCCTGTAGTAAGCCACCTCTTCACCCCACTCCCTACGTGAACCTAGATGTCCCTGTAGTAAGCCACCTCTTCACCCCACTCCCTACGTGAACCTAGATGTCCCTGTAGTAAGCCACCTCTTCACCCCACTCCCTACATGAACCTAGATGTCCCTGTAGTAAGCCACCTCTTCACCCCACTCCCTACATGAACCTAGATGTCCCTGTAGTAAGCCACCTCTTCACCCCACTCCCTACATGAACCTAGATGTCCCTGTAGTAAGCCTCTGGTAATGAGAGATTTCAGTAATCAATGGGTTAACTTAATAAAAGTAACTGCTGTAATCAAAAGCAGCACATGAATGTCCATCCACCTAAGCAACCTTGAGAAAAGTCCAATACATGTATCTCGTATCTTGAAATGGAATCAACCCTTTGTAAAAAACAGATCAACAGATCAGAGGAACAGAATAGTGTCACTTTGGACAAAGCACAAAACAGAAAAGGTAGGAATTTTGAAAGTTGAGATCACAACTTGATGAGGAATTCTCGTATCGCTTTATTCTGATGTGTAATATCACACACAAAGATAGCCCATCACTACTAGATAACACATTTTCTCATTTATGATGGCTCAGGGAGATCTGTACATGATATATCATTGGTTACTTAATGTCAAGATGTAAATAAACCTTATTTTCAGAATAACTATTTTGTTTTAAAAAGGGGCAATGAGAACTTTGTACCAAACAAATAGCGCAATTTTTCTTTGTCCCATCTTCTAAAAGTCTCCCCAATCTGTTTCTCTTACTTTTCTTCCTCAACTCAAACCCAACATAAAATGAATGGTTTGATTCTGCTTATTTTATTCTGATTCGCTCAACCACTCCAATGATACAATACCAACCTTCCATGTGCGAAGAGATGTGTCTTTGATGATCTCAAGGTCGTGCAAGGTCAAGACGGGAGTTTCCAAGAAGAGACGGTTGCACTGCTTCTCGCTTGGCTCCAAGATGTTGTCTTCAGGGCCGATAGGGCATGCCTAATTACAAAAAGAGTAATGTTGTCATTTTATTTTTAATGTAAAAACTACATAACAAAAGGTCAAGGGAGATAAGAAAAGTGGTCTTTACACACATAATTATAGATCTTATATAGCACCTAACACTTACTTTATCAGAAGTCTCTAAGCGATCTACAAATAATGCAGCATAATTACCCTGGCTTAAGCAGTGCAGCTGTTACGCGCGCTGAGTTTCAAGGAATAAATTCCTACCAGGTACCCATTTACTTCACCTGGGTGGAGTGTGGCAAATGTAGATCAATGTCTTGCCAATGGACATTAGTGCAGCAGCGGGACTCGAACTGCGTACCTTGTGATCGACAGTCGGGTGACATATCCACTCGACCACAACACCTCTACATGATCCTTTTTATACAGTTTTCAATGAGCACTGTCCAAGAGAAACGCGCTCTTCCTGATTGATGATCTGTACAGATGGGCACTATCAAAATCAAGTTAGATTGAAGTTTCTACTTCTTGTCGCTGCCTTTTGGCATTTTGTTTTACAGTGCCTGATAAAAATTGTGTCAGATCATATTTGATTGCAAAGAGTCTCAGTTAATGCCCCAAAGATCTAGGAAGTTGCATTGTTGTAGTTGTAGAGGTGTTGTGGTCGAGTGGATAAGTCATCGTACTAACGATCACAAGGTCTGCGGTTCGAGTCCCACCACGGCACTAATGTCCTTTGGCAAGATATTGATCTACATTTGCCACACTCAACCCAGGTGATGTAAATGGGTACCTGACAGGAATTAATTACTTGAAATACTAGAGCGCCGTAATGGCCGCCTTGCTAAAGCCAGGGTAATAATCGAGGCAGCACCAGGAGTGTCATGACATGACAGACATATGCGCTATATAAGAAGCCATCATTATTATTATAATTGATTCTCACCAGTGACATGACGATACTCTCCCTGATGGGATCAATAGGTGGGTTGGTGACCTGGGCAAAGAGTTGCTTGAAGTACTCAAAGACCAATGGATTACGCTGAGACAGGCAAGCCAGAGGCGCATCGTTACCCATAGATCCTAGGGGCTCTTTCCTGGTTGGAAAAAACAGGAGGATAAAAATGATAGTTTCCTGAAAAAACAGAAGAATAGCAGGATAATAACCTGATAATGGCATTTAACAAAACCAGAGCACGTCCACTTACCAATTTATGCTTCGAGGCTCATTATTTCACAATCTTTCAGTCACATTGATACATTGCTTTCAAACCTACCTGTTATAAAGTAAAATACTACAGACTACAGAAGAGAGTAGTCTGTTTGAATAAAAAATGTAAAATCTTTTTCCTGCAAAATTACATGCAAAGGGGTAAGATGGTTTACAGAAAATCTATGAACACATGCTCTTTTCTGTTACAATCTCATCTTCCTGTTACATGGTACCTTGCCACTTTCTCACTGGTTCTTACTTTGAATGGTTGTATCATGGATGGCACATGCTCCAGCGACGATTATTCCGTGATCAATATCCTAATCCAAATGAGTCCTCAATGTCGGCTCTAGATTGAACACTTTACCAAACCCTAATCCTATACCTTACTTAAAATCAAATTGGAAACCTAACCTTGACATTTGCATTTGATGAAATAAAACTTGGGAGTAATCATCACTGTAGCATGTGTCAAAAGAACATCCATTTAAACTTGTTAAGACATCTCAAAAACACTTCATTTCACACATATCACACTTGACACACCATGCAATAGACATTATTGTCAACAAACACGCAAACAAAAGAAGTAAGAAAGGGGGAGAAAAAAAGCTTCCGTCTTCCTGTAGATCTATCCTAGCCCAGACTTCAGGTTCCTGTATTCGGACCTATGAAGAAGCAGGAATGACAGCGGCCACAGGGAGGGATGGAAGGAGAGCAGTTCTTCAGGCTAGCTTACTTGTTCTTCACCATTGGAACGAGAAGCAGGTTGATATGCTCCACGCTATAGCCAAACATGGAGAGACGATGATCGGACTGGACGGGAACAAGAGGATTGATCTCTGGCTCCTCGCCCCTCGTTTCCAGGTGAGCCTTGTAGAAGTCCTCTAGGGTGACAGCCTGCGGGTAAAGGGGGAGGCAGAGCAAAGATCTTCCGATTAATACAGAGATCAAGATCAACTACATGATGGAAATGGAAGCTTGTGTATAATTTTTGGGGTAGCACAACTTGTCAAAACTGACAAGCCTCTAATGTTAAAGGGGCTGTAGCATGGGAGATACTGGTTGACGCCATCTACGTCCTCTTTTGGACAACTGCACGTAAACGAATGAACTTGATTAACTGGGTCAGCGCACTAGCGTTCGCGAAACAGACCAGAGTTCTCCTCACGCTTCGGTTTCGCGTATGTTGCACACACGTGAACACGTAGGCCTACTGCGGTCGTGTTGTCCGTAGTCGTATTACAACCGATTTGCCCCGAGTCCGGCCATGGAAAAAACAGATACTCCTCATTCTACAGCCCCTTTAAAGACTGTGCAAAAGTGTAGCGGTAAACTGCTTCCAAACATCCACTGCAGCAAAACTAGATACCGGTAAGATGAGCTCAGTGGACTTCTCATTTCTGTACCTCAAATAAAAAGATCTCTGCATATGCTTACGTGCCATTGATGCACACAGTTAGCCTATGGTGTGTTCTTTTGCATTTAATAAAATGCGTTCAATAAAATTCATCTCGGCAGTCTTGACATTCATTTCCTAATGGGTTTTGCAGCAGCTGAATTTCAAAGCAGTTTACCATGTCATGTCTTACCATATACGAGTCAAATTTAAACTCGGACCAAGGCGGTAAAGTAAGTGGGCAGATTTATACTAGCCATTCAATCTAGAAGAGGGCAAAGACAAAGGAACATACCTGTTGGTCCATCCACTGCTTGACCGGTCTGAGGGTAGCAATGTGATGCTTGATGTCCACATCGTTGATGAATTCTCCGAGCTCTGTATCAACAAGCAGCATCCTGCCTGGCTTGAGACGGCTCTTAGACTGTGTGTCCTCCGGAGCAACGTTCAACACCCCTACCTCGCTGGCCATGACCACGAAGCCTGACTTGGTGATGTAGTAGCGTGAAGGGCGGAGGCCGTTGCGGTCCAGGATGGCTCCGACATAACGGCCGTCAGCGAATGTGAACAGGGCTAGTGAGAAGGAATGAAATAAATGTACATGTAAATATCATCTGCTGAGTGCCAGAGGGACCTAACCCTTTGTTACATTTATGAGTTAATGCTCTTCTGAATCTGAGAAGTTGATCTTCTTTTATTGATTTTCTGTTCATGGTTACGTAGTTCTAAAATTGTAAGCCTTGTTCACTTCCACAGAAAAAGTGGCCTCTGTAACCAGCGCAGCTGAATATATTTTGTATAAAAGCTGCGCTATATAAATTTATTATTATTATTATTATTATTAATGTTGTGGCCTAAATAGACAGGTTTGACTGTGTATGGTTCGGTTGGTTTTGAATTGAAATTAAAAAGCAGAAAAGTCTTTCTTATTATACCTGGTCCGTCCCATGCTTCCATAGCAAACGAAGCCCAGCGGTAAAAGTTCCGTTTCTCCTCACTCATCATAGTGTCCTTATGCCAGGCCTCTGGGATCATAGTCATTACAGCCTGTAGGACAGAGCAAGAAGGAGGTAAGTCAAAATGTAGAAAATAATGACAAAGATGAAGATAACTATGCCAGGGGGGTGTTTCACAAAGATCCAAAGTTGAACTTCTCTCTAAGTTGGATTTAACAATTATGGAAAGCCGTTAGCATCTATGAAAACTTATTTTGTAAAAGTTATTTTAATAGGCATAAACTGTTGATTACGATCATACATCTTTTCTATTATTAAGGAGATTTCCTGTTCCTGATGTGGAATTTATCAAAAGTCTATAATACTTCAATTTTTGCTTTTTTAATACATTTTATTTTAAGGCTACAAATGGCTCTCCTTAATGTTTAAGTCCAACGTAGAGGTAAGTTCGACTTAGGATATTTGTGAAACATCCCCCAGGTCTCTGATACCATTGTTATCACTGCCTGACTTCGAGAGCAAGAGGGGTGCCAATGACAATTTAAAAATTGACGCTCCTGAAGGTTAGAAGGAGGTGATCCAATATTTCAGCCTGGCTTATTAAAATACTTCAGTAGCATATAACTAAGGTCATGCTTGGGATTGGATTTTAGTTAGATTCAGGTTTTATGGTTCAGGTGTCAAGTCCAGAATTGACTTTAGGAACTTGAGAAACTGAACAAGCAATCGTCACAAGAGTATTCGTCGCAAAAAGACAAAGTCGATCCTAAATAACTCTGTTGTATAATAGAAATTTACACCAATGTCTGTTACATACTGTATGAAAAAGTTCTTCAAAGATCGTTTTTGGATGAAGTACAGGTATTTAGTCGATGGGGGGGGGGGGGGGGGGGGGGGGGGTACAACAAATCATGAAAAATATTTGATTTGATTTGATTTTTGTTGTTATTCTCAGGTCAAATTGTGAGTTTGTTCCTGTTGGGCAGTGATATTTCATCCTCTTTTTTTATCATTCAATAGTCAAGATATGACGTTCTATCACTCCAGCAACTTTTTCAAGAATATTATCTCTATATCAAGTAATTATCAAAAGCGTATCACTTTCATTTGTCCTCTTGTTTATTTCTCTGACCCCAAATAAAATTTCAGACACTTAGACATATCAGGCTTACCTCTGGCAGGGATCGACCTCCGGCCATGATGAGGAACTCCAGGACATTGTCCACCCGTCCAGAGTCTGGTAGCCCCTCCTCCACCACAGGATAGAGCTGTTTGAGCTCGTCACCGTACTTAGAGCTGCTCATGACGCCCTCTCTAGCCCTCATCAGGTTCTCATTGCCTCGGATGGTGTTGATCTCCCCATTGTGGGCGACATATCTTTAGAGTCAATTATAAGGATAATTATAAATCAAAATCATTTGTCATCAATTTTTTAAATTTTTTTTTTTAGCAGATGAAAACATATATATATATATATATATATATATATTATATATATCCAAGAAAAAATGCATCATACAATATATCTGCATAGTAGCAACTGATCAACAGTGTACTACTAAATTTATCATCAAAGTTCATGCCACACAGATGCAACAACCTAATATACAATATATGTGAAATACAAAATCATAACAACATGTAGCATAATGCTATTAAAGCAGGATTGGTCCGATTACGGTATTACTTGCCATGAAAATATACAGTTAACAACTATATCATCCATACCCCCTTGTAAATTTAATGTTCTTGTTTCTTTTGTAACTCAAGAATGAAAGGTGAACTGGTCTAATTAGGGCCTATGTTGGGTACTTTCAGATGTTAGCTTTAATACGTCATATTCTGAAGAAACTTGGTAAGGGTATGAATAAATTGTTCACAAACATTAAAACTTGAAAACTTGGTAAGGGTGTGAATAATTTAGTTGTTTTAAACTGTACATGTATAGTTTAAAAAGTACACCTTTGTTCTGATAAATAATCTATTTCATAACTTTATTGATGTGAATAATGATGTTCATTTCATTTGACAAAGTAAAGAATATATGATTTTTTTTCTTTAATGATTATGGATTGATAACTATATACCGAGCATATTGAAGAGTTGCTATTAAAGGTATTACAAAGTTTTGGTATGGGGTCATGAATTTGGTTCAAAATAACATATTGGAAGCATATGACATCCTACAATATTCAGTGATCGTTGTTGCGATTTAAATCGAGTCTAAAGTTATAAAATTATTAATAATAAACTTTTTATGTTGTATAGCTCCCTCTCAAGGTCAAGATATTAATTTAGCTATGAAACAATATTTCTTGACTAAAATCAACCAATTAGCTATTCCAGTTTGGAATTATATATCACAACTACATATTCTGAGATTTTCATGGTCGCAGCTACCATTGTACGGCCAGAAGTGTTTTAGGGGCTAATTTTGTTAGTGCATATAATACATCCACATGGGCTTCCAAATATAACAAAATTGTAAAGATTTACTATCCACCCAATTTTCAAAATTTCCCAAAACTTTGTATTACCTTTAAGCTACGCAGTTGTTTTGGTACGGCTTTGGTAAAAAGGGTTCAAAACGAATCCCAATTTTTTTCCCCTTCACTCTCTCTAGTTACACGATAATGTGTTTGTATCTGAAGGAAGTGTTTGCACAGCTTGTTTCCGAGGGAATAGAAATGCAACACACAATTTACCAATGTATTAGTGTATGGTACGTCTTGCACTTTGGTCATTATAACAGCAAGATGAGTACATCATCATTCTTCCCAACCAAATTTTAACTTGAGAGTTAACTTAAAGTGGATATTCTAAACTCTGTAGTTCAAATTCACTTTTGCATTGAAGCATCGAAAAGTGTAGAATATTTCTGTACATGAAATATTTTTTAATGACCTGAAAATTAGCTCTATAAGTGTGTGCGAGAGGATGGGGGATATTTTACTCAGAAACAGAGAGCTGTGTTTGTATTGAAATAGCACCTTTAGACCTCAGAATAGAGGACACTGTCTGTTTTTCATTTGTAATTTTCTTCTCCCTTTTATTTTGTTGTCCTGCGACTCCTCCTTCGTTCAGGACAAGAATTTACCCTACTTTAACCCACTGGCTACTGGAACCTTGTCAGCCTAAGGAATTAGGATAATCCAGTTGCAATTTGGGTTAAAGACAATTTTTTGTAGCTGTTGAAAAAGGTATATGCACAATGATGCAAATAAATCTCCCCAATCTTGATTTAAGAGCAAAAGGCCTAGTAACTTTCTAAGAATGTTGACAGAAACCTCTTGGCAAAAGAATGTACTTTACTATCCTTGGGCAATATATTCAATGACATTCCTTTCTTCCTTTGTTTATATACATTTCATTCTTTTGCCTGGAAATTGTATTTTTAAAAAGTGAAATGAAAATAAAAAGCATGTGCGGCACTCTCACTTAGCATACCTGCCAACCTTTCACAGCAAAAATTAGGAATCTCTCAAGGACAAATTAGAAATACAGTCCATTTTGTATACTCTTCACAGAGAATATTTTAGAAAATTAGAGGAATCTAGGGTTCAAAACAGTACCGGTAGCTTAAAGGCCAACAAATAAGAACAATTCCTCCAAAATAGGAATAAATTGCAGCTATGACTTTAAAAACCCACTGCACTAGATTGGCCAGGAGGGACTAGACTTCCTTGCATGGTCACTGACAGGTGGTTGTCTCATCAAATCAGCTTTCAATTAACATAATAAAAAGGGGACCATGAGGGATCAACGGGTACCACTTAGGCATCATTTGCTACATAGAGGGAGCAAGTAGCTATAAGTAGTGCAGTGGAGCTTGAAGGCATCGTTTAACAATGTTAAATCTGAGATGCATGGCCCTACGTGTTTATCGAAGTGCCTTTAAAAAGTAAAAATCTTTGAGTGACCGGTTATACTATACTCATTTCCCCCAGTAGACTGTAGTGTTATGAAAAACGTTAGGAAAACACAAAATTTTATCTTGATTTCCAATCATAAATTTGTTGATGATCAGACAGGCGATCGGCTTGTAAAATTCATGGGGATCCTGACTGACCTAAAAGTTTATAATTATCATTATAGCATGAGCTAAATCCAGGATTTTGTTACAGAATCTGAGGCAAAGTTACCGGATCTCTTTAATAGGAGTGACATGTACCTGTGAGGGTGTGCTCTCTCCCAGCTGGGGAAGGTGTTGGTTGAGAATCTACTGTGGACCACAGCAAAGTGGGTCTCGTAGTCTGGGTCCGCAAAGTCTCCAAAGTACTTCCATAGCTGAAACGGTGTAAACAAACCCTAGATACAAAGAACAGAAGACAAAGTGAAAAGTGTGGAGATGGAGGAATTTTAGTCACATAAATCTTAAAGCTTATCTGCCATAGTTTACAGGAGGGATTAGACCGCTCTGCAAGGTCACTGGACAGGCGGTTATCTCATCAACTCAGCTCTCAGTTAACATAAGAAAAAGAGGATCATGGGGAACAATGGTCACCGATTAGGCATGGTTTGTTATATAGAGGGCGCAAGTAGCTACCAGTAGTGCAGTGGGCCTTTAACCCTTACTGTACTGGGCTATTTTGAGCACCCACTGACTGGGGGGGGGGGCCTGGGAGGCCCCCCCCCCCCTATGATCTCGGCCGTCGATTGTCCGATGAACACGAAAATTTGCATGTTTGTAGATATTTACGTAAGGAACAAGATGGTATAATTAGTTTTTTACGAATATGCAAATTTTTGTCGTTAGCCTAATTAATAATGCAAAATGCGCTGATTTTATGCATTTTACAGAAAACGTGTCAAACTCCACTTTTTTAATGTTGAAACTCATTAAAAAAAGTTATTTTAATGTAATTAATAATGATAATTTATGCAAATTTTGATGCAATTTTTTTTTTTTTTTTTTTTTTGATGACATGCGCATACTAATTGTTATGTAACGCCTTACAGGTATATCCGATTTCGACGAAAATGGTATCAAAATGTGCGTAAGACTTGAGGGAAAAAAGTCATGAAACGACAATTCAAAATTCCAAGCGGTTGCGGCGCAATCTCCGAAAATGTCGAGGGGGGGGCCTCCCAGGCCCCCCCCCCCCCCAGTACAGTAAGGGTTAATGTATTGTATTGTATTTATTAAACTTCATTGATGTACATCAATAATCTGTTCATAATAAACATATACATCAATTTACAATGCCATGTAACAAATCAATATTCTGTTTGTAAACATATACATGTATATCATATAAATTAATTAAAATGCAGTGTATATAGCAAAACAGAAGGAAAATCAAAGGTCTTTTTTTATTTTTGTAATAACATGTATGAGGGATAATAAACACTAGAAACAGACACAGAGATGTTATGACAATGTTTCAAGAATACAGAGCACAGAAATAATGGCAGACCTAGAGAGGGGCTCAACAGTAAGTCCCTCCAAAAAGACAAATAAAAAAAAAAAACTCTGGGTTTTTTGTATTTGTCCAAAACATTCAAAGTTTTAAGAATCAATCTTTTAAGAGTTCACATCTTTTAATTTTACAATAAAATTAAAAAATTTACACCAGAAATTACATAAAAATTGAAATAAAAAATGACAATGAAGCTTTCAAAAAGTAAGGAATCTTTCAGTTGAAATTGTTGTTCTTTCTTGTATACATATCCATGTACCCACATGTAAAAGGGTGTATACAGGCTTGTCAATGCAGTATCTGGAATACTACATGTACAAGCAGGCACATTATTCAATATTCTGTGCATTATCTCAGTAATCCAGCTATTGAACTTCAACTTCTATTTCCAGACAGTGATCAATAGAGTATTGACTGGGTCATCCTTCCTTAGTACTTTGTTCTGCTCTGGCAAAGACAAATTATCAGGGGGATTATCAGTGGGATTATCAGTGGGATTATCAGTGGGATTATCAGTGGGATTATTTAAGGGATTATAAGAGGTGCTTTTGTTCCAAGCAATCCTTCTTTTGAATTAGGCTTAAGAATTTCAAACTTATACATTGTACATACAAAGGTTTACTGGAAAACACAGAATCTAAAGTAAAAAAATGTGAGATTGCATGTACATGTACATTGTAGATGCATTAGACGGCATGTCATCTACATTAAATACACATTTATTTCATTACCTTATATAACACATATACAATCTGTATGTATGTAAAACTAGGCCTATTAATGAAAAGCCTAGACACGTACATTTCAGAATATCATTAAATATCATTATAGGGCAAAATGTGTGAAATGTGTTTAGCTGGAGCATCATTTGATATATAAGTTTTATTCATTTGAGATCAATGCAATATGAATTCCTTTTATGTGAGTTCCAACCACACAATTCTTCTGCCACCTGCTAAAAAAGGTCAAGCATTCTCATGCAGGACCGTAATTGTGGAACTGTGAGCTCTAAATCAAAACATCCGTTTGGCCCACGCACTGCTCACGTCATCCAGCCATCGGCCCTCCAGACGACCTCCATCTAAATTTAGCATCTCGTTTGACTAGCATCCCTGCATTTTACTTACCCCCTTCTCTGTCTGTCTCTCTCTTCCTCTCTCTCTCTCTCATTCTTGATCTCGCTCCATCTCGCTCCATCTCGCTCTCCCTTGATCGCTCTCTCTCTCTCTCTCTCTCTCTGTCATTCCCCCACGCACACATCAAATTGATGCCATCAATTATAGATTTCTGTCCTGCAATCCTCATTCTCTTCCGCAACTTGTATGCCCCTCCTCCCTCCCTCATCCCCCCCCCCACACACACACATCAATTTGATGCCATCAATTATAGATTTCTGTCCCGCAATCCTCATTCTCTTCCACATCTTATGTACCCCTCTCTCTCTCCCCCATCCCACGCAATTGCATACTGTCAAATGCCAAATTAATGCCATCAACTGCATATTTGTGCATGTTTAGCCAGCCATTGCACTATAGCCTAAATCCCTAAAGGGCTTTCTTCATTGATAATCAAGTGGCGTTTGACGTCAAACAGTGCTTCACTCCAAGCAATCCTCATGATCCTCACTATTGTGCCCGTTTAATTACGAGGGAAATTGCTTCACACATCGTTTGGATCTTATGTCTGCTGTAATCTCATTTCTTGGAAGTACATTGTACAATGAACATATTCTAAACACATCTTTCTGCATTCTTGAGATGTAAATAATAATTTTGTACACATATACTTGAATCACAGCACAATCGTATATGTATAACATCACAATCTTTTAAGTAACAAAATCCATGGCACATATTAAAGATACTACTTTACATGTATATTGAAATCTTGATATTTTTAGGACCATAAATAATAATGCAAAGGGTGTCCAGCAACTACCCTTGTGGTTTAAGTGTTGTATTTCATCTTGCTTGGTGTATACAGTATAGTCTACAGACTGATTTCTCCATGTAGCCTTAAATTCAGAATGGGTTGTTTCACATCTACTGTAGATGATGCTGTACAATCCATGTATCTTTTGTGAAAAATGGCTATAAAGACCATTAAAGAGATGAAAGGGTGTATTTACAAACACCTGTCAGGTGGTATAGGTTTCTTGACGTACATGTTTCAATGAGAAATGAGTTGAAAGGAAACAAATAATGTTTATACACAGGTGGGCTTTCTATACAGGTGGTTTTTAAAGCAGTTTTGACTATATTCTTGGTACACTGCTCAAAATCTTTGTTCTTTCCTATCTATGTAATTTTCATAATAATATCTATAACGTTCTCTCTGTAACTGTGTTAATTTATTATGGGCGTTCCCAACTCAAGCTATGCTTTCCGGGTTTTCGCCTCCTTCCGTATCTGAATTATTTACTGTATACTCTATGTTAAAATAATTGTTACATATATCATGTATATGTATACATTGTCTTTCATACTGTACTGTTGAGAAGGAAATAAATGTTAATAAATACAAAAAATACAAAATAGGTATGCTGAACACATTGCTAAGGATTGGGTACTCAGCATTAGTGTGTGTGTGTGTGTGTGTATTGGGGTTTTACAGAAGTGTATCAATCAGATATGATTATTTACGTCTGGGGACCGACCTTTTAGTGTCACCATCTGAAAGACGTGAGTCAGTTTCGAAACTACGTTCTCGGCTGAATCAGTTTATAACTTCCATTGCTAGCTGGATTACAGGCGAACGCCCCAATGCCTAGATATGAGTGATTGGTCTTTTATGAAATTCATGTCTAAGACCATGCGGGCAGGAAATTAAACCAGGTGTCCTTGAAAAGATATCCATGTGCAATGCATAAATAATGGCCCATGAAATGTTACTAGACAGCAGTGAGAATTGTATGAACTTGCATAATTTAGATGTACCTGACTGGGATGAATGGCCAATTCATTTTCTAGTTTGGATGAGGAGAGGGAGAGAATGCATGGAAGGAGAAGAGGAGAAGAGAAGAGGGAATAGGGGGTTGGGGTAGGGAAGAAGGAGAGGAGGGGGTAGAGGGAGGATGGGGGTACTTAATGTAGGGAGTAGAGGAGCAGGAGAACACACACAGACAAAATAAAAGACCCCAATAAAGTCCCAGAAACCTAATTAGAGTTCAGTACTAGGGCAGAGAATGTGTAAATTATTGGACAAAAATGAACCAAAAAAAATGAACTATTTGTCTTCTGTGACATTCAAATTGTTCTGTTGAATATTCCAAAGAGATACATTTCACTGGATAGTGGATACCAATAATGTGATTCTAATATCTGGACCAAGCCATCAAAATATTGTGACTTTTCTCAATTTTAATCATAATATAGAAAACTTTGGGTACATGTAGGAGGTACTTGGGATATGTGATTGGAAACAATAGAATATATTGGATTAATTGACAGGAGCGCGTAGCATTACTCCACAAGGCCAGATGCAACTATGTACACAATTACACATGCACATTCAAGTACCTCTTACCACACTGCCCATGTGATCAAACACAGCGGAACAATTGCCTCATAAGAATATAGACACAATATACACAGGGCTTACTGCTACTTGAGAGCTCAAAGGGCTACACATCACTGTACATGCTGCAGTAAGTCAATGCCCTTCTGTATCTCCGCAGACAATATCTTTCGTTACATAATCCAATCTAATGGTATGCGATTAGGTTTCCTTCATCAGTCTCACTCAGAGCATGTGATCAACAATAAGATGGCTGTCCAATACTCCAATTACTTTCCTTGTATCTCCTGTGCATATCCCAGGTGAAAGGTAATGCTATTCCATTATCAATTTATCTTCAGGGTGCAATTTCATATGTATGATACAACTGGGCCCCATTTCACAAAACTTGTCATCAGTGACGAATGACAATTTTTGTTATAAGCTAGTGAAATCCTTGCTTCTGATTGGTTATCAACAGATTTGTCACTGATTTTTGTCATTGAAAAAAGGCTTTGTGAAACGAATCCCTGACCTCATCATCTGTCAGCTGTTCATTTAGTTTTATCATAGGCAGAGTTGATTATTTAAGTGGAAAATGAAGATCAAATGAGTGGTAGCAGTGTAAAACAAAAAGTCAGCTGTTTTTAAAGATCTATGGTCTGTGTGGACCTAAAAGGGCACTGACTGTGTAAATGATCTGCTTTAAAGCTCTTCAGTCTAAAAACAGATTATATCGTACCAGCATTAATCCAAGAGGAAAGGCTTGAATTCTTGAAGGTGGTTTTAATAGCTAACCAAAACCATATGGCCTAACCAACGATTTGGTACTGGCATTTCCTCTTCAATCCTAATATTTCATACAAGTTCTTACCCTCCACCTCATTTTCTTAATTCTCATCTGTTTATGTTTTTGCTCTTTTCAATCTCTTTCTCCTCCTCTCCCTTCTCATTTTGTCCTATTCCTTTTCTCCTCTTTTATGTTCTTCTCTTCTTCTTCCTCCTCCTCCTCCCAGGGTTGGGCGGTAAATACCGGTGGCGGTAATTACCGGCAGTACATACCGGTAAATACCGTCCGGTAAATAAGATGCGCGTCCGGTAAATATGTAAAAAACAGGAAATATGATTTTAATTCTCTATTTATTAATAATTTTACTTGTTTTTAGCCTCATAACTGAAAATATTGTTCTCAAATAATAACACACAAACAGACTTATAAAATCCTCACTGCATACAAAATTGTACACACCCAAACAAATGGCATTTTGTGCATATATTCATGAATACGGTAATTAGCAACTGGGAACCAAAACCTTAATACAAGTTACTTTTATTGTAAAGTTTAAGATATTTGAATAAAATCAGTGAAAATTTGAACAAAATCGGGCAAGGAATAAGGAAGTTAAAGCTTTTTGAAATTCAATTTGATGACATTATTTGTGGACAACTCTCCATGCCTTTTGTACATCAAATTTCATGTTTTTCCTTCTTTCTTGTGATTGAGATAATAGAATCCAAAATGATATTCTACTTCACATGTTATGAAATCCGATCAAGAACACAAATAAATAGGAAAAAAACGAAAGACTTGTGAAATTTGATGTACAAAAGGCATGGAGAGTTGTCCACAAATGATGTCATCAAATTGAATATCGCCCTCTAGTGACTAGTCATTTTAAAAAGCTTTAACTTCCTTATTCCTTGCCCAATTTTGTTCAATTTTTCACTGATTTTATTCAAATTTCTTAAACTTTACAATAAAAGTAACTTAGTATGAAGGTTTAGGTTCCCTTTAATGAAGAACATCATATCTAGATTACATTGTAGGTGTATATTTGGTATCTTTTTCCTGTATTTTTTTCCAGCATTACATGTACATAATTACAGACATAGACAAACACAGAAACAAACACACACACACACACAAATAGTACACTTAAGAGCAACCATACTCACCACCATTGTTATTATGTTCAAAATTTGACAATCCCTACATTTATTAACAAGTGAGTGAAAAAATATATTTCCCGGTATTTCCCAGTAAAAAGTGGTAAATACCGGTAAAAAGCGGTAAAAAGCGGTAAATACCGCTTATTTCCCGGCGTCCGGGAAATATGCCAACCCTCCCTCCTTCCTTCCTCCCTCCCTCCCTCCCTCCCTCCCTTCCTCCCTCCCTCCCTCCCTCCCTCCCTCCCTCCCTCCCTCCCTCCCTCCCTCCCCCCTCCCTCCCTCCCTCCCTCCCTCCCTCCCTCCCTTCCTTCCTTCCTTCCTTCCTCCCTCCCTCCCTCCTTCCTTCCCTTCCCCTCCCTCCCTCCCTCCCCTCCCTCCCTCCCTCCCTCCCTCCCTCCTTCCTTCCCTCCTTCCTTTTCTAGTCCTCCTCCTTTCACCCCTCCTCTTCTTACCAATACAACAATCCTAGGCAATGAATATGGGAGCAATCATTATGTAGTAATGAACCTCCTTAAATATTCATAGACTTATGCGCTCAGACGGAACCTACAAATCCGGTTCTCTTGCAAACTCATCCCTACCAGTTGACGTCATTACTTTTAGGGTTTTGGGGGATGCATTACAGTCTCTAAGATTATTGATTTCTCCTTTTATGTTGACACAGTGTGCATGCATCCATCCATCCGCCATGTCTACATCAGGGTTTTACCCAGGGCAGAGTCTACAGTAGGTAACCTAAAGTAAACGATTTCTTACGGAAGATGCCCACTTTTTTGTTCATTTTTTAATCTTCATCTTTTACGGCCTTTATGTGGACACCTAATTTTTTAAAATTGGCATTTAAAAAAATGCTCCACATCCTTCTTTATCCTCTCCTCTTCTATCTGTCTTAAAATTTGACTGTCTTTCTCTATCTTCAGCATGTACATGTACATGTATATGTAATTCCATTTTTCCTTTCTTCCTCCATATTTTCCTCTGACTTCTAAAGGAACATAAACACACACTAATACCCTTTTCACATCTATTTTTCTTAACCCCGGACTATCCTTAACCCCATACTATCCTTAACCCCATACTATTTTTTTTGCTGTTCACATCTATTTTCTTAACCCCGGACTATGTGCTTAGCCGGGGTTAAGAAATTTCACGCGATTCACACTACGTTCGCCTTAGCCCCGGACTATTCGATAGCTCATGAATATTAATGCTTTTGCTACCGCGCATGCGCCTTTCGACTAAATGATTTTTTCATAATGACCTCTGCCTCGTAAAAGACTAAACGTCAATACAGAGAGCATGCATGCGTAACGTGAACTGCATGCATAGCGCGCGATAAATGCAAATTCACGACCACACGACCACGCTGTCTGTGATTGGCTGTTGCTTAGCCCCGCTTCTCCTTAGCCCGGTTCGGATTCACACTACGCAGCTTAGCACCACAATTGCCCGGCTAACCCCGCAATTGCCCGGCTAACCCTGCTATTTTGCAGGGCCAGATAGTCCCGTACTATTTGTGGGGTTAGCCCACTTTGGCAAAACGTAATGTGAACAGAAAGCCGGCTAAAATTACCCCGGGTAATTGGTGGGGCTAAGGAAGGAATTGGTGGGGCTAAGAGCCCCCTTAGCCCCACCTATTTCCCGGGGTTAAGCAATATTTGGTAGATGTGAAAAGGGTATAAATGGCATCTATAGTCTTTTTTCTCATCCTCTTGCAACTCGCTCATACCTCTTGACGTCAAGACATTTAGGGTTTAGGGATACTTTACACTCGCTTGAATATTGATTGCTCTTTTCAATGTTGACACAGTGTGCATGCATGCATCTATGATATCTCCTTATCCAATCTACATGGAGTTCAAACTGGATGGAAATATATGCAATCTTCTAATGGCATGCATAGTGGCGTAGCTACTGGTGCTCAGTCTGGGTGTAAGGGGGAAGGGCGGGGGGTATGTGCCCCAAATCAAGTGGTGGAAAAAATCAACAAAAAAAGAAAAAAAGAGACAGAGACAGAGAGGGGAAGATAGAAAGGGAAAGAGAGAAAGGGAATCGGAGAAGGGAGAGAAAAAAAGATGTCTGGCCCACTTCTTTCACTTTCCCCTTAATCAATAGCCTTGTAACTTTGCATTTTATTTTCAGAGTAAACCTGGTGCCCCTTCCCCAATAATTCCACTGACCCTTGTATTAGCGGTCTTGTACGCCCCCACGCCACCAGCATGCATGACACAACAGCTTTATTTAGTGCTTGAGAGTAAAAGTGGAGATCTTCTCTGAATACTAAATGCAATTATGCATACAATGTCAACATAGAATCTTGTTTGACTGTGTGATAAAAAGTTGCAAAGTGGGTACACAAGCAGAATAAAGTATACCATAATTTACGTTTTTTGGGGGGTTTTTTTTGCCGACTTAAAAAACAGTAGAGGACCTAGGATAGAACCTTGTGGTACGCCGTGTAATAGAAGAAAAATTGGAGGAATTATTATTATAAACTACATATTGAAATCTATCAGAAAGATTACTTTCAAACCAAGATGACAGACAAATTTGAGTGTTGTTCTAGTTTCCGAGTGGTGAGTCAACACACCGATTACTGAGCTGGGAGACATTGCCAGGCATAGCGCCAGGTTGAGGGGCATAAATCAAAATTTTTTTTTGTTTGTTTTTGGGGTGTACCGTGTTTAAACCGCACCCCCCCCCCCCCCCCCCCCGACTTTGAATTTTTTTTCGGCGGCAAAAAGGTGCAGTTAATACACCGTTAATTACGGTAGCCACAAACATTCAGATTTCTATCTGAGATAGAAACTATATTTTCATCCGATGCTCATCTTTCTCTCAATGTCCCATCTTTCTCTCCTCACTTTTCTTAATCAAGGACAAACTCTCACCATTTTCTCTCCGACTAATTTCCTCATTTGACCAAGATTTCATAAATTGGGATGAATAGAAAAAAAATTATATGATTTTTTTTTTTAAATAATTTTCCCCCAGTAATGAAGCAATTTCTTTGAGAGTAAGACACTATTGTTATGTAAACACTTTTCCAATTTGTATTCCTATTCACCCCAACTGCTCATATTTCCTCTGTTTTGAAGTACAGGTTATTTTATTTTCTCCATGTACTCAATCCTCATTCTTAAGAATCTTAAACATTCAAATTACCAATCAGACTGTCAACATTCTCAAAAGTACATGGACAGGTATCATAATTCGAAAGAAAGCATATTTGTCACAAAATATTTGTTACAAAAAATCCTTTAGCAAATACAACATTTATATTCTGAAATGTCAATATTACGTACCTTATACACAATGGACTTTGAAGACAATGTACAGATGTAGAAACGCAGGTCTTTCTTTGGAATGGTATGGGTAGCCCTTTTCCTCAATGCAAACACCTGTAAGAGAAAAAGGTAAGAACGATGCTCTTTGTTTGAATAATGATGATGGTAATACAGTATCTTGTATTCATCGAGCACAAAAGAAAAAATATCAAAATATCTGTACTTGTATTACGGCCCATTATCTACACAGTAAGCATTTGAAGCATTTTACCTCCTTAAGCGAAATTAATGACCTTAAAAGGGAGGTGTCATGGTATGTTACCAGACTGTGGATAACATGGTCTAAAGTCATGTTAAACAAAAGGAAAACTTAGACCTCGGTCTAACTCCCTTTGTTGAAATGAGCTAGACTTTAGAAATGTGACTTAAGAAAACAGATGTTTACTATTGAGAAGAAGAAAATTGTCTAACAAATTAGAGTACCGGTAATAAGAAATGTATTTACATTAATAATTAATAATAATGATATTAAAGATGTACATGTAATGGTTTACTATTTTTCCAGAATTATTTTGTTTGCACCTGTGTCCTCTCAATTAAATTGCCTGTTTATCCTCTTTTCTATTTTCTTAATCTGATTCCCGGAGAAGGGGGGGGGGGGGGTCAAATATATAGCTGCACACAAGCCTGAACAAAGAACGCAGAAAAGGTATCTTTTTTCTGCTCAAGGTGAGTGACACATTCAGGGTGTTATGTAGGTTGTTTTTTAAATCAGAAAAGAGGGCACCGTTTGTTGAGTACCCTTTTTAGACTTGATGATGTTCGATAGAGGTTGACCTTGTTATGAGAATAGTTTCAAGGGGGTTGATAACTTGTTAAGGTTATATATTTTTAGAGTAAAGGCACGCCCCCCCCCTGTGGTCATGTATTCATGTGTACAGTAATATATACTGCCCCCCCCCCCAATCTGATTGAAACGCTGCATTTTCTCAAACTGCTTACATCCTGCTGAATTCTATCTGCCTTTCTTTTCTGTCTTTTCAAAAGAGTGCAAATAAATATGTCACAATCATTAAATATTGTTTTATCATGACTGTTTACAACAAAGATCTCTATTTTATTATGCCCCTAGACCTTGGACTTTGTCTTTGTCCTTACCATTTTTATCTTTTGTAATTTGACCTTATTTGAAGTCCTCTAGATGATTCACGGAACAAAGAATTCTAGCACGTGCTACGATCGTGATATCTTTGTCTATCAGTCAATGGCATAGTTATAAATGAAGACTAACAGGAAAAAGAAATAGATTAGCCTCATTAAGCCCACCTCACTGTTTACACCTCTGCATCAATTTGGGGGAAATGATTAGACCCAAGGATTAGAGCTAGCATTAAACAGGAAACATCTTAAAGATGGGGCAAAGTCATACAGAAGGAAATAAAAATCTCAGGGATCGATTGCATGCTTACGGTTAATGGGAGACAAATTTAAAAGGTTAAAAATCATGTGACGCCAGACCGGTTGTTTTGATCGTCTCCTATATGAAGCTGATTTGGCAATTAAGTTTAGAGCCTTGCAAAATATTTCATTGTTATTTATATTATTCAGAAATGTAACTGAAATTTCAGTTGGATCATTCAGATACATGTATATTATGACACAGCTAAACCGCAATGGTATTTTTTCATAAAGATGTATATTGTATTACACTGTAAGTGTAAATACACTCCATATTTCTGTATCTAGTAACACAGAGCCCAATAAATTGCTCAGGACCTTTGTTCTGCACAAGTTGCCATTCATATACAACATAGTAAACAAAATGCTGCAGTTTATCATTTCACGTATTTGAATGAGCCTATTTACATGAATACTAGCTATACAGCAAGCAGGGGAAACATACATGTACATTTTTTGTTCTACTTGTATATGTACAGTGTATATCTATCAAATTCCTTGAAAGAATGGTAAACACATCCCTCAATTAAAGCGCTTCCCCGAAATATAATGTGCAAGCACATTTCATTGTGGAATTTTCGACTTGTGCGTTAAAAGGGGAATAAAATACATTGAAACTTAAAACCCTACCATACATTTCAGCCCACCCCTATATCTAACTTTTATGTGTACAGCGCAAACATCTTTAGATTATAAATGTTGAACAAGCCACTAATCATGACGATTGTCAAATATTTGATCAACCTGACACATGGATTAACCCTGTTTGATATGTCTGTTCTACTTTGGAAAAATAAGCCAGCTGTAATCTGATTTTGTTGTTAAATGTAATCTATGGGAAAACATTTAAAAAGCTGCGATGTTTGGACATATACAGTATAGTGTAATTCTGTTTAGACAATAGAAATATGTGGAAATCAATTCAAATTGAATTTACTTTTCAAGGTCTTAAAACCCCACTGCACACTATATAGCTACTTGCGCTCTCTATATAGCAAACAATTCGTAATCGGTGCCTGTTGGATCCCCATGATCCCCTTTTTCTTTTGTTACATGTATTTGAGCACCAGTCAGTGACCTTGCAGGGAGGTCTGAACCCCCCCCCCCCTCCCCCCTGGCCAAACTGTTGCAGACTGGCTTTAAAATGTTTTTAAAAATACCTATAAGGTGTTTGGAAAAGATTTTGTATAATTTGAACATGTATTTCATTTTTTCATTATCAAATTAGGGCTCCATACTATTTTGTTGTGAGGAGACCCAGATGGAACCATTAACAGTATGTATGAACATGAGCTCTATGTACAAAATGGAACATTTGGGGGGGGGGGGGTGGGAGGGGGGTGGGGTGCTGCTGTGTGAACAAACCTACCTGGTCTAGAGAGAGGACGTTGCTCTGATCACATTACATATGGGTCGATTTCAATGTCAGTACGAGGTGTCATGTTTATCATGTAACGTATCATGTGTAGTGTACTCATGTCCATACCAATGTTGTGACTTAACTTCTACTTGAGCTACATGTATGAAGGGCATACATCTTCAGAAGTCAGAAGAAGATGAATGGTTATTTTGCCCTGTGCATTGATGTACATGTACAAGGAGAGATCTATCTCTACATAGTTCTCGCCAATCAACATGTCCACCCTTGGTCAGTATGGAGGACCTTACATGTAGATTAAGAACATTTTCCCTCTCAAGAAATACTGAAAAGGGTGTACCAATACATCTAAATATCAATGCAACAATACATACTTTTATCCTGCAAAGTTGCTTCAAAGGTCTTCACTTAAGATGTTGCAAGACCACATTTCACTCAATTTAAAAGCAAGGGTAAACAAAGTTCTGCAGAGAAGCTTGGATCTCTGCAGATACCATTTCAAGAAAGGTTTCAACCTATCATATATCTTGATTCTTTTCCACACACAATGTGCAAGTAAATTGGAGGAAACAACATTGTAGAAAAACAAAATCTAACACATTGACAGCAATGTGTTATCGTCATCATTCCCTGCTTGTATTTATTGACCTAAATAATGTTGGGTGTCAATGGCTTCCACTTCAACATAAAAACCTTGAGACTTTTCTGTGACCCTTGTAAAGTAGGCACAATTACTTCCTGTAAGTCAAATTACAAGGACCATCAACATACATGTATTTCCCATCAAGGGTTATTTTGTTGTTTGTTTTTACAATTTATTTTTCTCAAAGGTTTCCTTTCACTCACGTGATGAGCAATGGCTCTGCGGTAGAGCAGAGGTCTCGTAAAATGGAAGTCCTTGGTTCCTAGGATAGGACTTACATTACAATCTCGAGTTGCTTTTTAAGAAACGTACGTTTGTTTTCTTAGCAATCAGGTAAAATAAACCATCAAACCATCTCTAGTTTTACTGTGCTTGTGGTTCTCTTTTATAAACGTGTCAGCTTGTTTCTGAACATTTTACTTTACTTGAACTTGATAGCAACCTAAAACACATAGAAATTGCAAGAATCCGAAATCAGTTTCATTCTACTATCACATTAAGATTGAACCCACAGCGTCCCACGCTAAACATAAGCATTCTATATTTTTGTACTTTCAATATTTTCACAATTTTGCACATGGATTTATTGATGGAAAGATTCTGCAAACTCAGCAGCCTTTTTGATTGTGATGACCAGCTTTGAAGATGAGGTAATCTTTTTGAAAAGTTGTTATAAAATAGTCAATATCTTTTTTTTTTTAATTTTGCATATTAACTGGCCCTTATTCAGTGCCAGATCATGGTAGAAGGAGGGAAGATTGAATCCAATGCCAATCGAGTCACCTGCACCCCCCCCCCCTGCAAATAAAGGCATTCTGCCACACTTGTAAACCTTCTTTGCAGAGTCCCCTGGATCTATTAATGTAGAAATATGTAGTTGAAAAAAATGTATGTATTTCTACTCTTATGATATCTGGCTAAGATTTTGTTTTAAATACAATTTCTGCAAACTTTCTCTCTGTCATATGAAATCGAAACTTAAGACTGCATTTGAACATCAAACGAATCAAGGACATGACCACACTCAGACTTACGCGTTGCTCAAAGAGTTCCTTCTCCTGCTCGCCCGTCACAAAGACCTGCCGCAATAGGGGTTCCCTTGCTCTGCCAGTATGGCCTAGAACGCTTGTATCGTGTGGTACGTTATGCCAGGCTAGTACCTAAAAAAAAAAATCAAAGAGAAAAAAGGAAATTTAGGTTACAATGCAAACATGGAGATAATACCACACAAAATTCCTTCATAAAGCTTTGAAAGTGATTTTATTTTATTTCATTTTTAAAATTGTATTCATGATGCCAATTCAAGGTTGAAAAACTGGTCAAATTCAACCTATCAACAAAAAAAACTATTTTGCCTCAGATTAAAAAAGCTCTCTTAAATTTACTGTTTCAGTTCTATATTTATATATACAGTGCAGGTCTATTTCAATAAATATGAATCTTATGAACCTATATACAAGGCCCTAAAAGACATCACACAAGTAAGGCTGCAACTTCCAGTCTCTTATGTATAAATCTGTACCTATAGGCAAGACTAAAATATTTAAATTATTTACCAAGCATATCACATATTTGAGTATATATCTGAATCATCTAACCAAATTGTATCAAGTTAAAAGCCCTCAAAGAGTTTGGATCAGAACTAATGCATAGTATAATGACACATTTGATGTCCATGCATTTATATTGACAAATTTCCCATAAATATTTGGTATTAAACATACAAGAATTGAACATCAAATGACCAAATATATTGGATGAACCCACCACTTTCCTCACCTTTAATTTACACTCAATGGCAAGTTCTTCAAACTTTTGCTCACACTGGCTGGCTGTTAGGGGGTCTAGGAAGAAGATACCAGTGGCATAGTGTCCAGGCTCTGGCAGCTCTATCTGCTGCTCCTCTCTGTATAGGGTAGAAGTGATCATGCAATGTATCTGTTCAGTTTACAGTACTAGACAAACACTGTCATGGTACTAGTGCATTGCGAGTTATGCATCTTGACATAAAGAGCACATGTACGTCGTTGAGAATAAATTTTAGGTACCGGGGTATCCTTTCAATTTTACTATAGACTGTGTATCTCTCAAAACTCTAAACTTTCTTATGAATCTGAATTAAATTACAAGTAGGCCTATGTATGATTGAAGAAAAGAAGAAAAAAATTGTATAAACTCTCAAATGAGATGAAAGAAAATAATCATACCAGTACTTGTCATTGATCAGGGTTTAATAATACATGTACATGAGTCTGGTAAATGTAAATGTACATATGGGCTTAAATTTCTGCACTAATCTTCCAAGCTAAAACTAAAATCAGGGCCACGCAAAGTGCAAACAGACAAACATATTACATTAATCTGTATGACCCTATGAAAAGATTAGCGTGGAGACCTGCAATATGTTCCATTTTACATTACAGTATGTTCCAGCTCTGAGCAGGATCATCTTAGTTTGAACTTGTTTGAACCTGACCTCCATGGAAGCTACATGTACACAATGCTTGAGTGGAATTTTATTTGCATGTGACCTTCAAGTATCATTCAGGATCTACATGTAGTACATGTACAAGGAGAGAGAGAGAGAGAGAGAGAGAGAGAGAGAGGGGGGGGGAGAGAGAAAGAGGGGGAGAGACAGACAGACAGACAGACAGAAAGAGAGAGAGGGGGGGGCGAGGGGGTAAGGAAACAGGAGGTGAGAAAATAGAGGAAGTGAGAGAGAGGGGAAGGGGAGGTGGTAGAAATTAAAGAGGGAAGGGAAGAAACAGAAGAGAGAGTGGGTGATAATGGGGGAGAGGAGAAAGTATAGTAGGAGAACAGAACGTAGAATTCACAAGTAGGTGAGATGTGAAAAGGGTGATACATGAACAAAAGGTAAAAGAGGAGATTCATTAGGGAGTGAGTGAGAGAGCAAAAAAGCTATGCGGTGAAGAGACAATTGAGGGAAATGTACAGAGATTTAGGTAAGCTAAAGAAAGAAATAAAGATAAGATAAGATCACAAAAATAATTGGGAAGAAAAAAAGTGACAGATATAGGGCTTGAGACAATGGAAGCAGAGGGAGAAGAGGGGAGGTAAAAGGGAAAGCGAGAGATAGATCAAGAGAAAGTAGGGTATATGGTTTGAGATCGGTGTCATTGACAGTCAACAGGATGCATGATAGGAGTGCATGAGTCCCTAGGAGACGGACTACGGAAAGATTCCTTCCCTCTCGGGAGATAAACTGCATCCAGTAACCATATACATGTATACTGTCTAGCATAAGGGGAGGGATATATCAGTTACAGGTAGGGCAAAACAGCACTTACAAATATATAGCATATACACTGTATATAGCAATTTGTTTCTAGAGGAAAGTGTTAGCCTGCGCATACTGTACAGTGTACAGAAGTATGTTCAAGGGCTAAGTTGCCTCATGGATTCTGTTGCCTTTACCTTATTTTTCCAATAAAAAAATACATGTAACGGTATGTACATGTAACGGTATGTACATGTAATTGTATGAAACAAAATTACAAGATAAAATTTCTATGCACTTCAATATATACTGTATATAGTAGATATGTATGTCTTCTCCCCACCCCCCCCCCCCCTCCTCTTCTCTTCTCTTCTCTTTTTCTTCTTCTCTCCTCTCCTTTTCTTCTTTTCTCTTCTCTTCTCGTCTCTTCTCTTCTCTTTTTCTTCTTTTCTTTTCTTTTCTCTTCTCTTCTTTTCTCCTTTTCTCTTTCTCTTCTCTTCTCGTCTCTTTTCTCTCCCTCTTTTACTCTTATCTCACTTTCTCACAAACAATTAAAATTCCTGAAAACAAAACAGAGGTCCACATATATTGCCCAATTTAAAATTCAATAACTAAATGTAACCTTAGCTCCCACTCTATACTCTTATGCTCCATTTACTCTTTGACCTACCTGAGTCTACGTGCGTAGAGTTTGTGAGGTATGCCTGTCATAACACCAGCACCATCTCCAGTGTCATTATCCCCTCCCGTAGCCCCTCGATGCTTCATGCGACACAGGATGGTCTGGGCATCCTTTATAATCTACAATACGATAAGGAAAACAAGAACCATACATTACAGAACATCAGGTACATGTACGTGTACAAGTAACACTAATTGTGTGCTGAGAAGAGCTTTGATTTTTAGAGCTAATATCTTGAGAGTTTTGGTCATAGAATTCCATTTTATGTAAAACTGGGTCTTTTAAATTTGAGTTGTTTGTAATAAGGTACATTAAACTAGAACACATTCCTTGAAAAACTTCAGGATTTCATCACATTGTAGGTTGAATGGATCTAAATATGTTGGCACTAATGTCCTTTTTTAGTACGTTTTCCTAATTATTCACCTATTTCTTATTTCAATTATGTTTACGTTTTATTTTCATGGGTTTTTGTTATTGTTTTTTTTTTATGTTAGTTCTCTAAAAATACAATGTACACACACACAAAAAGAGTTCATTATTATATTCAAGTAACTTATTCAACATAATTTGACAATGCTGTCAATACTTGATAGCATGTGAAACTGGAGTCTGCGTGTCTGTTGATCTCACAATTTGCCTGTCTGTCTTTCTCTCTCTCTTATCAGTCCCAAATATTATTCCCCTTATTATTTTCTTTTACTCAGGCTTGAACAAAATTGAGAAAATAAAGATGTACCTCTCTGATCTGACCTGTGACCTGGTTCATAGGGTAACAGACCGTTTAAGCAATAACAACAACAATAACTTGACAATGTGCACAAAAGCACAATGGATTTCCACAATGGACTTGGCAACTGTAAACTGCCATTAATATATTTATTAATAAACAATAACCACCTTAAATTACTCTGACAATGGATTGACTGAGGCATAAACCTCAGAATGCAAACATGTATACTTGACCTCTCAAACCACTGCCTGGTCATGCATTGCATACATGCACGTAGGCCTACATTCAAAGTCCTGAACATGCCAGTCTATCGACTGCCAAACTCGCACACAAACCATCCAAATGTCATTTTAATCAGCTGACAACGCAAACATGTACACTGTACAAGTAGATTCATTCTCTTCTCATAATATTATCATCTAAACAAACTCTAAAACAAATATTTAAATTAATTCAGGTGTATTTGATACCACGCATATGGAGTTGTACAAATCTTGTCTTCTAAGATTTTATCATTTTGAGTCCAATCACAACTATAAGGATTTAAAATGTTATTCAATTTTTTGTGGTATCCTACAACAACAAAACTATTACATGGAAAGTATAGGTAAAATACTCTTTTCAAGGATATATAATATACATGAAAGGGATTTTTATGCAAAATACGTACATGTACATGTACGGAAGTGTAAAAGTTAAATTTTCCCCAAATTTTAAATACAATGAAAAGGTCCTATCTTGGAAAACATAAATTTACCAAAAATAAATGTTTGAATACAGCCCAAGTCTACACCCAATTTCTAATTAACTGGTATTGTTCTTCTTTTATGTTGACAATGAACCCCGCCCCACAGGCAACTTACACAAACTCTGGGTTATACAGGACCGGAGCTGGGGGTACATGTAACCCTGCTCCTCACACCCCCCCCCCCCCCCCCCCCTCCCCACACACACACACAATGCCCTTGACAATGACTTTCTCTCTTACCTTATTGGATTGTTCTCCTTTGATGTTGACAATGAACCCCACCCCACAGGCATCTTTCTCATTCTCTGGGTTATACAGTCCCTGGGCTGGGGGCAGACCAGTATTGATGTCCAGCTTGGGCAGTGCCATGGTCAATCAAAGACTGGCCTCTGAAAAACAAGAAAGAAAATATTGAATAAATAAAACCTTCATTTTCAAATATTAAACCACCCCAAACAATTGTCCATTTTACCAGACATTATTATCAGCAAAGGAGGTTTGATGGGCATATTGTATGTAAATAATGTGCCCAGCTGATGCTGTAAAAGTGGTCAAATTGAACCCCCAATCAACAACAATAAGGTCATTTCGGTCAAACTCAAAATTGGCCTACCGGTATTGATTCTTGAAATACAAATGTGCACACCTGTACATGTAATTTGTATTCTCGTAAATGACATTATATGGCACTTGTAAGAGGGACACCATGATAGATGCCATAAGTATGTCAATTATCAAAGTCCATTTATGTGTTAGATTTTCAAATATATTTTGAGGGCCTTAACCTCTATATTTAACCAAGCTCTTGAACCTGGCAGGCTGATGGTCATCTTCAGAACAATATATATTTGAGGTCACCAAATGTAATCTGTACATGGTAAAACGATCAAGATAGTCTATGGGAATAGTCTGCAAGAACAGACTCTATTTTGACACTTTAATAAAGCCATTACGTCTTGAGTGGAGCCTAATCCAGCTGTGCAACCTCAAGGCAAGCATCCTTTTGTGGCAAACCTGGTAATTATTTTACTGGTTGCCAAACAAATGAACAACAAAAGCAACAATTACAAACAAGCAACAACAACAACAATGGTTAAGTACTGCTAGTCTGTTGATGCATGCTATTTGATACCGTTCCACCCATTTAGAACCTGATGCCGAGCCTACATGTACATGTTGTCATCTCTGTCATCTCAGGATGTGTCAAATGATTATGGGGTGTAGTCTACAGTCTCAAAGTCTAGACCCTAGTTAAAACAGACAAGGGTTTGTTTCTACAAACGAGGCTGCGGCAGCAAGTTACATGTAGTCTACAGCTGGATTTTGTTATGATTGTGACTGGCAAGAGTTTGAGTAAACTGAGAATGGAAGTGGAACTTCAAGGACTGGTTCAGATTTTGTTCATCAACCATGTCACGTTCTGATCACATGATCAAATTAATGGGAGTAAAATAACAAAGTGTCAACATCACAAAACAACCCCCATGCCATGCCCTTGCTTTTCACTAAATGCTAAAAGTAAACGTGTTTTCTTTCTGTACTGCATGTGACATCAAATACACTGAGGAGTTAGTGGGGAGAGGGAGGGAGGGGGTCAACTTTTAGGGAAAAAGAGAATGCACATGGGTGATATCACTTAATTTATTATTTTGAAATCATCCTAATATATAACAAAGTCAGTAAAAATCGCTCTTGCACATATTAAACAATTCACAGTGCTTGCATGTACAGTACATGCAATGCACATTTCCAACATTTGTCCCTTGCCACATATCAAAGCCCCACAGCTAGGTACAAAGTGTCACTCAAGAAATTCCTGCATGCTTAGCTTGCATCGTGCCTAGTTTGCTTGATTAATTATGTTTTGAAACTGTTTATAAATTTTCGGTCTAGACGAGTACCAGCATAGACATAGACTAGAAGTCTAAGTCCTGTATAAAAGTAGGCCTAACATCAATATAACCTTGATTAAGTTGATAGTAATGATGACAACAACAATAATGAAAACAACAGCAACAACAGTAAATTGTAATAATAATAAATTGGGTACAATAATTAATTCAGCAGATATATGTCATGAGCTTCTAAAAGATGACACCCATCCCTCCCCCCCCCCCCCCACACACACACACCCACACACACATAGGCCTAGATCTACTCAGAGTCAAGAGTAGATTGTATAGATCTAGTCTAGATTCATTAGATCTATAATTAATCGTGCATTCTCATTTTGATCTAAATCTAAAAACGCATCTAGTCCATATAGTCTAGATGACAGGGCAGACCTATGTAGTATGTGATACTTTACAGCTACGAAAAATTTGGCTGACCTAACAACTTTCATGAAGGGCAGTCTGATCGCAGATGCGGCACGGCAGATGTCGTCTTATACCAGCGCTTGACTCGAGTCGATACAGCTCGCGAACTTGATGCAAAACACTCCGCAGATGGTCGTCAAAGAAGTTCCTTTCCCCGATATACGACTCTTTGTGAAGAAATTCTTACACACTTGCCAGAGCAAAAATGTGTAAATTGGACGATTCGCAAAAGTATTTTCTCTCAAAGTCTTCAAAGAAGAGAAAACACGGCTTGCTTAGAAGACTTCATTAGCTTGGTCTCGCGTTAGTTCAACACACGCGCACACATTATGTAGACCTATACGTAATTTTATGCAACGGATAACTCTGTGTACAATGTGGATACACCACGTGCAAAGATCAGACGGGCCTAGTCTACTATCGAAACAACCTTGCGGTGTTTTGCACAGGTTTCAATGAGACATTTCTTTATTCGTGTGATTATTAGTCTCACAATTATTTTATTCCACTTTCATATAGATTAAAAAAAGGGATTTTAAATTACGTTTAATTTATTTCGACGGAGATGCGTGGCAACAATAAAAATGCATAGATCTAGAGTCATTTGGGTTATTTTGTTATCTCTCTCTCTCTCTCTCTTTCTCTCTCTCTCTCTCTGTCTCTATTTAATTTGTGAGTAAATGACATTTGATAATTTACCCATTTTCATAATTCCTGATATCATTTATCATCATACGAGTACATTCAGATTATCAAAAGGAACCATTCGTTCCGCGTTTTATGGAAACCGCTTTCTTGTTTATTATTCAAGTTTACCTTGCATAACGACTAGAAACGTGGGAATTAAATGAATCAAAACATTGGAGTTCATTCAAAGATCCACAATCACGCGGTCAGGCGATGTTCAGCTCAGTCAACCAATCAACGTCGAATATTATAATTGTGTTTCCTTATTTGGAGAAAATACTTCCATATGGAGCGCTTAACTGTTCTATCCTAGCCAATCAAAGACTAGAATTGTCCAGACTCTTTCGAAAGAGCGTGCTGTCCGCGCCGCTAGACGCACGTGTAAAACGGCAAGGTCGTACGCATAAACATGCAGCAGATTTTCCATTTCATGAGCCAGCGACGTGAGAAGTTTGCTAACCTTCATTTGTGTTTTGTTTTGATGAGTTACGTTTTCTTTCGTCTGCTTTGTTTACATATGGTGAAATACAAATTCGCGACCCAAAACAAAATAATATTAGGCCTATAAAACGTGGAGGGGATTGAGAAGGAATCTGTTATTCACCCATTATGCCTGAAACGCGATATGAAATAAATTATAATAATATTTCCAATGTTGCTGTGCACGTACAATCAGTCGTATTTTACCATGCATTCGATGAATGTTCCTTTTTGTGAAATCGTCATTCAAGATTGGATGGAAAAGGTACGAATTACGATTGACATGAATGATGAAGGAGATGCCATTTTGTGGATATACAATTAATTGTAACATATACATTACAAGACACAGATTTAGATATATATACACGTATATAATTTGTATTTGTATTATTTTTTGTAATAGGCATGTATAATGGAGAATAATTATATTTATTATATGTTTGACTTTGAATTTGATTGTTTTCTTATTCTATTTTGTTTTATTGCTGGTTAGCCCCCCCCCCCCCCCCCCCCCCCCTCCTCGCCCGCTTGTTTTCTAATGGAATTTAATTGCAACATGCATGGGAAAATGTAATTATTTATGAATCGAAGCATAGACCTACCGGGAGATCTACTTCCATTATTTTCAGACACATGCATGCACTACAAGTTTCATCCAATTTGCAATATCTAGCGAGTCTGAATTTACAAGACTCATCGGTCGCTCTAATATGAAGCCAGTCGAGCGTTCGCTCATCAATAATAACAACACTAGTCTAGTCTATTTATTCAAACACTTTTCTTGAAAACTTTACTTGTAATTTTGTAAAGTAGAAATACGTATTAGAATAATAATTTCTATATTTCCATACCTGTAGAAAAAAGAAAAAAAAAATTTGTTTTGATGTAGGTAGAAACAGATTAATTGTCAGGTTTTTCATTCAGTAACCAGAAACGGAAATTCTTTAAAGTACCGAGTATATGACTAAGCCTAAGTAAACATTTCCACGTGCAATTTTTACTACGGTTAGCGGATTTGTGAAGGTGACTTTGTATTCCACGCTGCACGGATGCAGCATCTTTTGCATGCACGAGCGGCGGGAATCTCCTCGAGCCTCCGCGATCCGGCGGCCGACTCTCTCTTCCAGCTCCAGCTCCCCGCGCTTATTATGGTATCAGTTGTGAATTCTAGCCCTGTACCGTAAGACGCCTGTACATGTGTGTGCATTTTTCAATCTAGCTTGCTTTCAATTCAAATTCGGTTTGAAAAACTTTGTGTTTCTGCATGATGGCAAATTCTACCATGTTCGAAACTTGTCCAATCGACATTCATCATCAAACTACCGATAGCGAGATTCTGGAAGAATTACCATCGCTCTTCAACACACCGGGCGTGGAATTTGAGAGTTTTTCCGGCTTCAGTGTTGCTCGAAATATTAACCAAAATTTGGACTCGTTCGACACTAGATTCTCTCGCCTTTCTCCTTCAAAGCCTAACTCGGGGACATCTTACCCATCAGCATCTAGATGTTTGTGGAGAAAATATGGAGTTGAAACCCATGATGACCAAGTAGGGGGAGGAGAAAAACTAGGACCTCACGAGATGGCCGTTTATGGTAAGCGGAGTAAAAAATTATCAGATCATGAGTTGGCCTGTGGCAGCGTGCAGGAAGCCGGTCGGTCAAGCTCCTTGGCCTTTGGTCAGTGCAGTGACTACCGATCACTCTGTCGCCATCCACATTGCGGTGATCATGAAACTAAAGAAGAAGGCCGGAGGAGCTAAATTAATAAATTGCCTTCACTTCATCGTTATTCACTCGATCATCAAGTGATGACTGATGTGGGCTAATATTTGAGGACGGGCCTCTCTCGATTCCTTTCGTTTCATTCCATTTCTTTTTAATTATGTAACAAACTAGATTCTAGGCCTAGAGTAGGCCTACTACTACAGATTTCTAGGTCTAGATCTACAAGGCCTAGACTATTATCTGCTATTAGTTAGACTCTATTACTTTTTATCCTATGTTTCTACTGTCATTCTTTTTTTAAACAAATTCGAAAAATTGAATATTTGAATTGTGGGAATAGGGTCGAATCCATTGTAAATCAAAATGTACAATTCTTTTTTAAACTTTCCACAGGAACGAATGTAGATGAAAGAATACTTCCCGGATTTAAATACCACGTGCGCATCCCAACCAGGAATAGGAAAGACCGTTTCCAGTTTGGTGGCCGAGCACTGCACCTCCTTCGTATTGGACAGGGTTATGGGAAACGCCTCACTTTCGAAGACGAGCACGCCAACATCAACACAAACTTCTTCTGGTCAGACACCCTCCCTAACGGCTATGCCTTCACCATTAGTGCCGTCCAACCAGGCGATGAATTTGTCCTGTGCCATCATCAGAACCGACGTCCGTTCGGTCATGCAACCGTCGTTGCCACAAGCCAGCATCAAGTGGAGATCAGCTCCTCGATCACCAAAGATAAGGACATCGTGAAGAAGGTGATCGTCGCGATGCATATTTCGGTGAGATACACGTGTGAGCCGCATGGCATGATGTCATTGAGAGCAGATGAGCTCGTAGACGTGATGGGGGTCGCTGTCGTTAGGAAAAGTGCCAAAGAATCGAGAGCGATCACAAGGTGCATTAAAGAGGTGGAGATTCCTGGACACGGTGAATGTCTTCTCTACAATGAGGATGATTAAGGAAACACTGACACGAACTTCGAAGTTTAATGGCGATATGTCTTTCCTTTAGGCTCGATATCACTATCAGGTTGATACATGATGTATCTGATGTGTTGGCCTAGTTTCCATCCATCCATGCTTAATGAGTGAGATTTTATCCCCCACCTACATGTATCTCCACACTTTTTTTTCTTTGAAGATATTTCTGCCTATTACTACTGAACAATTGCACTTATTCTCATCTCAACGTTAACATGTAGTTACAAGTCTGACAGGACAAACTTGAGGTTCAAGGGGGTGACACCCCCCCCCCCCCCCCCTCCACTTAAAATAAAAGAAGAATGATAGATCAATATTCAGGGCTTATTTTTTGCTCACCCCTCCCCCACCCCCCAAAAAATATATACCTGTATATACATAATACAGGGGGATGACTTTTGTTTTTTTGCCAATTTGATCAACTGTTTTGTTTGTGTGTGTGATTATCTACACCTCTCTGTGCAATGTGTGACTCTGATGAGATGTGCTCAGAATTTGTAGAAAGTGTACTGGTATGCCAAAAATATTATGTCCTTGTGTATATAGTCATTAGTTCTAACTTATATTGTTGTACTGAAATGTTTCAGGAATGGTCCACCTTGTTCATTATTAAAGCTATAAGAGGTTACTTTATATGCATGCATGATGCACAAGTTTTTGTTTCTTGCATTCAAATATGTTATTGTTTCTTTGCAATAAAAGAATGCTACTTTTATTGCAACTTTGCTAGAATGTGTAATATAAAACGCTCAATCTCTACCATATAGCGTGAGGTAATTTTATTGAAAAGAATTTGAACCAATAAGGGTAATTTGATGTATTTTCAATTTTGCATAGACCAACATGTATTGAATTTGAATATTTTATATACAGTACATGTATTGCTAAACAGTAACATTCTTAATTATAGAGGAATATCGAATCAGGTACCTTAAGGTGTTTTCTCTTCTACTTTTTGTTTTAACTGGTAGACAACTTTGTTTGGTTAGAGCAGGGAGATGTCAGTTAAATCTCCCTGGTTAGAGGGGCACATTTCATAAGGTCAATCAAATTGGTAGCAAACAAGACTCCCCCCCCCCCCCCCCCCCCAGCACAAAACCACAGTCATTGTGGAGCTGTATCAATTTTGGCTTTGACTGACATTCACTTTCACAAGGGAAACTATCATGCCAGAGTATAAATGTCAGATTCACAGAAAATACAATATATTCTTTTCAATCGTGGATGATCCACTATGTCTTCTTTATTTTCTGTGTTGCTTGCTTGCTGATCAGTATTTCTAAAACTGCTTCACCTCCCTCCCTCCCCCCCCCCCCCAAAAAAAAGAGAATCCTGCATCCGCCCTTGGATGTACACCTATGTACAGTAGGTTTTCATTTTTTGTCTTGCCAATACATATTCATCACATTATAGTTTTGTTTCCAGTATGAAATATATCTTTGTCCAATTACGAGTAGACAATTATACAGTACATTGCATTAATGTACATCACGCTAAATTTTTAAAAAAAACTTAAAATGATATCATTAGTTTTACATTATACACCTGTACCATGTACATCCAACAACAAAAATAGCTTACAATGTGCATTTGGTGCTCTAGAAGTCTGATAATAGCTTTTAAAACTATATTTTTTTATTTTGCAATGTCATAGAAACACAAATTATATGCACAATTATGAGTATTCATGTTAATTGCAATTTTGATTGCTGCATGGTTTATAAATACAATATTGTATGATTACTATAAGGTCAGCAAATATTTAAAAGGATCACAAAATTTTAGAAAATGCCTTCCCCTCACATGTATGGACTGGTTGGACTTCCATGACCAGTACATGCACAAAATTCTTCAATGTTGGACAATCATACAATGTGAACTTTATTTAGATTTTTGACAGATGTTTGATGTATTTGGATGATTGTTTAGCCTCATGAAGTCAAATGCAATGTCCATGTTAATACAAAATGTATGTATTTCTCTGTATGATATGCACAAAATAAGAATATATCTTAAAACAAATAGCCTACTGATCGCCTTTTGACTTGTTTCTTTCTTTTATATGTCCATTTCTTTTTTATTTTGTCTGTTCCAAGCCAGAAGGGCATTAGCTCTACTGTGATTCTACAGTCAAACCTGCTTTAGGACCAACTGTAAGGAAAGTTCTCCTGTTTACAAAGACCAACTGATGTGTTACCATGAAAATGTTTCGTCCTTGAAACGTACTAAAAGAACCTGTACAAAAAGACCACCTGCCTATAAACTATAAAGATTAAAGACCACTTACAGTGTCTCTCTTGAGGGGTCTTTATATACAGGTTTCACGGTAGGTTAATTAAAGCCCTTAAATTCTGCACGGCTCTAAACAGACGGTTTCTATGATGGGAGATGCACAAAGAGAGATCATTATGATTGTGTGAGTGCTTGCTGTGATACTGGTAAATGACTTATCTTGATTTGATGATTAATGTTCCTTACTCAAAGGCATTTGTTCTTTCTGCATATATGTAGGTAAATTACCTGGAAAGGATGGAATACACTACTCATTCTTACGATTAGGTCCATGATTTCAAGTCGGTCCTGTACTTAATAACCCCCCCCCCCCCCCATCATTTTATTTTTATTTTTTTTAATCTTTAATGTTCATTCATGCCATCCTAATGGTGCAGGGGAACACGTAATTTTGAAGTGTGTACCTATTGATAGCCAATACGATTTATGGTCCAGTGATCTCATCAGTCCGTGGACCTATTCATTACGTATTCCATTACTACAGGATGAAAGGAAGCGAAGGGGATGGGGGGGGGGGGGTGGTAATCCGCTCATCTAATGTACATGTACGTCTAATTACTCTGACGATGGCCCACGTAATACTTGTCTTTATACGTCATTCGTAAAACAAACGGGGAATCGGCATTCATTTTTTTGTGTCCCCCTGTCTGTTCATTCTCCATATTCTTTTTAATCAATTTATTAGCTGCGTAAAACCTATTCCCATTTCTCAGTTTTCGTCCTCATATCCTCCCTCTCTCTCTCTCTCTCTCTCTCTCACGCACTTTACCTTATTTTCCTTTTCCTATCTTTTACCTCTTGTGTTCTGATTTTATCGTTTCGAGTTGCCATCAATGTAATATCATTTTAAAAGTAACTATATAGCTTTTAAAATCAACTTTCTCACCTTTCCTGTCGTTTCCTTCTGACCTCATTCCCTTGAAGTTAACTTCTCTTTTCTTTCTCTCTCCAGTTTAGCCACATTTTTAGGTTCGTTCTCTCTTTTTTGTCCTGCTGATTCTCTTTTATTATTTTGTATTCTTTATATCCGATCCTTGTTTTCTTTATCTTGTCACCCTTTCTTGTTCTGTTCCTTCCACTGCTCCTCTCTTCTTTTCCAACTGCACGTACTTCAGTTTAAAACCTTTTTCTCATACTTTTGCTTGGTTTAGTCTTTGCGTCACTTTCCTTCTCTTCCTCTTTAATCCTAATCTACTTTACTCTACATTCTGCCTCTCCTTTCCAATATGGTGAAGATAGTAATGACAGTGAAGACGGTGACGACGATGATGATGATGGTAGTAGTGATGGTTGGAGTGGTGGTCTTGGTTTGGTGGTGGTGGTGATGGTAATGGTGGTGGTGGTGGTGGTGTATGGTATTGTTTTACACCTCTACATTATGATTAGATTATCATGGATGATTTCAATAGTGTTTTTTTTTATACACCAGACAAGATATTGTAAAAGAATATAACATAACAAATCATTTTCAATTCTACAATCCATTTTAATTCGACTTCACATGAAAAAGATTATAATTATAACAATGATTTGTTAAAGACAAAAGGGGTGTAGGCATAAGCTATTAAAGGGGGAAGGGGCGCTTCTTGCAAAGGAAAAGGGGCACCTCTCAGATTTAAATAGGGCAATTATCAGAGGTGAAGGGGGCACTTCTCGTACCTGAAAAGGAGCACCTATGGGATAGGAAAATTGACACTCATTGCAAAGGAAAATGGGAACTTGTCGAAGGAAAAAAAGCACGTGATGGGGCACTTATCAGAAGTGAAAAGGGCATTTTCTTTTGTGAAAAGAGCCTCTTTGGGGGTACTTGAGATTTGGGGGCAGTGTGCCCCCACCCCCTGCTCCCCGGGAGGGCCACCTCTGATGGTGGTAGTAGTGGTGATAGTGGTGATGTTAGTGGTAGCATTTGCAGTAGTAGAAATGGTGTTTCAATGGAGTTGACGTGAAGGCGGTAATCATTACGGTGATGAGGTAATAATAAGGGGTGTCTGAAGCTATATAGATGTGATGACGACGATGTCGATTATCATGATGGTACATGGTGATGGAAAAATTGAATATATATATCCCCTCCCCCCCCCCCCCTCTCTCTCTCTCTCTCTCTCTCCTCTCTCTCTCTCTCTCTCTCTCTCCCTCTCCCTCTCTCTCTCTCCCTCTCTCAAACAAACAAACAAATATTCGAATATCTATGCTCCATCTATAAAGTATTCAGTATAGCACAAGCGGTCGAGATCCATTGGTAAACCCTTCTTATTCAAAATTCGAAAAATTATTGTTTACATGAGTGGCCACTTTTGTATAGGACTTGTCTGTTTCCATCTGAAAGTTTTGTGAATCCTAATCGATGGCTCGGTTTACATCACTGGTCTAGCGCCATCTCCGTTCACTTCTAGATGTTTAAGGGTTCATACAGGATGTGAATAGAGATTCACTATAATATACTTCTACACAAATTCTCACTATCCCCCCTTTTCACCATAAAAACAAAAATCTTCATGGGTAATTGAAAACCGGACAGACCGTTTAAGGAGAGGAGATTTTATAGGCTACACGGCCAATGGTCAAATATACTTAAAACATCGAGCCTTCAAAGAGAGAGCCACCCTCGATCAATACTCGATCGCCTTTGCTTGACGAAATTATATTGGACAGTAGGGGGGGGGGGGGTGTACCCCTGATGTTATATCTGTAAAAAGTGAGACAAGGCTTAAACCTAGACCTAGGTTAAACCTGACTTCAGAAACGGAGTGTTAAACCTGGGCTTAAATTCTGAGAGTTAGGCGAGACTTAGACTGTCCTTTAACCTAGGTTTAAAGTTAAACCAGACTTCAGAATATGGGCCAGTATTGTTTGTTTCTCAACCTAATCCACGGTCTTATTTACATGGCATGTCCTAGCGCCATCTGCGATCACTCCTCGGTCTTAAATGGTTCGGGGCAACTCACTACCCGTTTTCAAAATGTAACACTACAATTATTTCCTTACTTTTTAAACAAATTTGTATTATATAGAAGAAAAAGATCTTTCATACGGCATGGAAAATTAACATATCCTATTAGGGCGACGTTATAGGTTGACACAAATTCAGTCTGAAACAAAACCAAATTGACAATTATTTTTGTGCCTACATTATTTTTAAGACAAGTTTTCATTAGAAAAAAATTGGCAATTCGGTGCTTTCCTCCCCCCCCCCCCCCCCCCTCCCCCCGAGAAGGTGAAAACATGAATATCGAGGTGCCTACATATTTTCATATTTTGGGCAGCGAGATCTGTTTTGATTATTTTTTTTGTTATTGTAACAAATTTTATTTCTTTTATATACAAATTTAACTACAAAGTCTTACTTTTCCCGAGAAGCGTCAGCCCTCATGGCCATTCCCCCCCCCCCCCCCCCCAATGTCTCTGGCCCTCCATTTCACTAAGGGAATGGGCATGCAGCCTGTTAAATGATCGATTAAATGTGGGTTTTCTGATCTTAAACATTTGCAGGCTGAAGTTCGAAGAAACAATTCAGTTAAAGCATCATTATGATCGAGTATTCGTAATGGGAACCTTTTAAATCACAAGATGAATCATTTGGAGTACATTTCGACAGTCCCTTAGGCGCAAGGGAGTCGATTTGTATCCGTGGTTGGGGGGACGATAGGTGCCAAAATATTTTCGGCAATGGATCAAAGCAACCAAGAGGTAGAAGCGTGTGGCAGGTTGCACCCCTCCCTTCCAAGTTATTAACTTGTTCAAGTCACCCTCAATAAAGATAACATTTCAGAGAATATAAGAGTGGTAATAAAATTAATAACATGCTAAATGTTAGTCCTGACTCTTGTCTGCAGTGTAGGTCTACCAGACTGATATCATCTATTTTTAAACGAAATTTAGATATTACCAAAAACAAATCCAATGGTGAGGGATAAAAACTTGTGAACGTTTTATGTTACCAGTGGGCAAATAGGTTCATGTTCAAGAGTTATTGTCAGAGGTGAAAATAGGGCACTTCTTACACCGTCAAAAAGAGGCACTCACCAGGGTGAAAAAAGTCAGTCATGAGATAGAGAATGGGCATTTGTCGACGGAAAATGGGCTCCCATCAGATTTTGATAGGGACCTTATTAGAAACGAAAAGGGGCTCGTTCAAAGGAAAATTATCAGAGGTGAAAAGAGGCACTTATCGCACCTGATAAGGGGCAATGACCAAATATGAAAAGGGGCACTTGTGTGAATGAAAAGGGGGCACTTATATAAGAAAGGAAAATTTTCACTAGTTGAAAGAAAATGATTTTAAAGGGGCATTTATAGGAGGTGAAGGGGGCACTTATCTGAAGTGAAAGAGAGTAACTTCTCGTATCTGAAAAGGGTCATTTACCAGAGAAAGCCTCTGGTCTGTTTCTTAAAAACATAATATAAAACTTACGTTCCAACTTCCAAACAACAAACTTTCATTATCTCCTTCTTCACCCAGATATAATTATCATACCAGATACGCTCTAAAATATAAGCATAATATTCCCCTAAGGCCCTGACCAGAGCACTATTTTTTTCTCCAAAAACCATAACCAGTCTTAGAAGGTGCATTATTATTGGAAGGGTGTTATAAACAAAACTTCAAACTTAATAACATTATAACCTTCAAAAACACCTTAACTATCTTATGCCTGTTACGTTTGAATACAATTCATAGGCCTAAATCAGCTTTTCAATAAAACAAAAATAAGTTGTGACATAATAATCTTTCTCCCA